CTATTACAACTTGTAATTAACATTTAAAATGTTATAACGAAATAATTTTTAAATAAAATCTGTTTTGCGATTATTCAGACTACTATTAAAAATAATCTCAATCGAATGATTATTAAGAATTTAATAAGAATAATATCCCTCTAGATATATTTTTTTTAGGCTCATACATTCATATATTTGAATCTCAATCACTTTACGATTATTTAAATCAAATTTCAGTCAAATATGTATATTACTAATTCATTTTATTTTAAGGTAATATAGAAGAATGTCTAATAAAAGATAGACTTGATATTCACTCAAGTTTATTGTAAAATGTGTTTTCTTTATAATAAATTGACATAAGTTTTATAGGAGAAAAATAATATACAAAATTAAAAATTCAATCATAAGTTAATTTGAGTAATTACACATCAGTGACATTTCAAAATATTCAATTTAATTTTGGTCAAAGTATATTTTCCTCTGTCGATCACACTATCATCAATTTAAATAATTTAAAATCAACTTTAGTCTTATAATTGATAAACTGTATATTTGTTACTCAAAATGGTTCAAACAGAAACTACACTCTTTAAATTAATTCGAATATTCCATATTCACTATATATTAACAATTTAGTTTTCGAAAATGTTCATATTTTCTCATCAAATTTATTTTAATTTGTTGCATCACTAAATGTTGATAGGAATCATCTAAATTTGAAAAATATAACTATCAGAAATTCATACTTTTTCAACTCAACATTATTTAACTTTATTGCCAATGTAAAAGATTTAAATTATCATTCAAACTTTTCTTAAATTGAATTAATTAACAGTAAATTTATTTAATCTAATTTCATTTTCTGTAATAGTCTCTTAAATTTTACTACAGGAATTATTTTTATGAATCATTTACAGTTAAAAAATCTATAAATGATAACAAAATCAAATTTTTTTTAATCATCATGCGGGAAATTAACTTAATTGGAATTAGTTGAATTAAATAATTGCTTGTTTTTAAATAGCTCTAGATTTTATTCATCAAATATCATTAGAATTAAAAATTTAATTTTTAATAATAGTTTCCTTCTTAATAGTCATTTGATTACAAACAATGTAGATTATATCAAATAACAATAAATTTTGATTAATGCATCAGAAATTTTAATAAAGTCTTGTTAATTTCTTAATAATAAATTTGATAATCCTTAATAAATCATACTAATTAAATAATATGAAGAAACAACTCGTTTTTACCTTTTTGTAGAAAATTTATTGTTATCTAATAATAGTCTAACAAAAAAATTGTAGCAGAATTAAATATCGTATTATTAAACCATAATTTATATTGAATGCTAAATCTGTATTTTAAACAATATTGAAATTTATAGAGGATATGGATTACCAGAAATAAGCATTCTTAATTCTAAAAATTTGACAATAAAAAATTTCGCAATATCATAAGATTAATAGTATATTTCAAAAACTTTGCATACTTCTATAGATTGTGTATAAAAGTTTGCTATTATGGATTTATATTTCATTCTTTATATTGGTCATTACTAAATTATCTAGATAGAATCATTTAACATTTTTAATTGCTTAAGTTTCAATAATCCTTTCATAATTTTCAAAGGGTATGACATCATGGATATTTAAATAAATGAGTCGATAATAATTTAAAACTCAAGTTTTTTTGATAACTTATTAATAATTATTGATGCTAATAAAAATGCCGCTTTGATCTCTTTAATTTCATCTTAATAATGCAACATAAACATTTCAAATTCAAATTTTGAAAATAATCATTTAAATTAATATTTTCAAGATCTAACAAGCGAGTACAATATTTATAACCCTATAATAAGGGTTTACTGTAATATAAAAATCTTAATTTCTTAATAACAGAGTTACAAATTCAAGTGATTCAATAATTTATATTAAATCAAAGATTTTGCATTTAGAAAATTTACAGTTTGCTAATAACAGTATAAAAAATCTAACATCCATTGTTAAAAGCTTACTTTTTCCCTCAAGATAAAATATAAGTTTATTTGATTTTGATGCAGCATTCCCAATAAAATCAAATGGCGGAAATGGGTATTTTATTATTTAAGACCTAATATTCAATAATGTTTGTATTAATAAATCTAATTCACTATTTGGAGGGGGATTCTTCATTTCTACATAAGGCATGAGCACAATTTAAATTTCAAACTCTTTTTTTTAAAACACATAAGCTCAACTGTAGAATTCTTCCTTTTCTAAAGGAGGATGCCTATATATTGATGCCTCTTTGTCTTAATTAAAATTTTCTATAGCTAATTTATCAATCGATACTTCATTAGCAAAATAAGAGGGAGGAGGTATCCATATTATTCCTTCAGAAATTTAGAATTAGATCGAGTTAATCAATCTAAAAGTTAAAGATTGCTTTTCTTTGAAAAACTCATTTTTCTCTTACTCCCCTAGTAAAATTGAAAATTTAATTTCGTTCATAAAATTTAAAAATATAACTTTTATTTAAACACAGGAGGGACTTTATATGTATCTTTCTGTGGTAGAGCAAATAACTAATACTTAAGCTAATTAAATGGCAAATTCTAATCCATTAATATATGCTAAATTTTCTAATTTTACTTTGCAAAATTGTAATTTTTATTCAACTTATATGCAGTTTTTGTTGTATTTAGAACAAGCCGATAATATTTTTTTCACTAACATTAAAGTTATTAATAGCTCAATTCTAAATTCTCCTTTATTCAAAATGAATTTAAGATCAGGTAATTTTTAGTTTATTAATTCTAGAGTTTCCTGGATTTTTAAGGATTTTAGATTTATAACTTATCAATGTTATCGAGTTTAAAAAGGTTTAGTAAGGAATATGTAGCAAACTAAATCAAACATTAGAAACTTAATTATCTTGTCCAGATAGACCTTAACATGATAATATAAATATAAATGATCAAGAATTTACCTTGAGAAAATAAAATCAACTACTTTGCAATCAAATTTTAATATTTTCAAGTATTAAATTTAATTTTAGTCTCTTTGAAATTGACTAATTAAATTCTCAACACAAATTAATATTTAATAATGTAAGTTTTCGAAATTCAATTTGTGAAACAAGTTAGTTTGGCCTTTTGAGAATCCTTGGTTTTGTATAAAGTTAGACATCTAACATGATATTTTCATATATTTAGATTGAAAATTGTAAATGTGGAAATACTGGATGTATATCTATTATAAGTTCTATTGATGTACCAATTAATTCAAATTAGTTATATATAAATAATCGTTTATTAAGAGATATTAATTATGATTCATTAGAAAGCCAGATGAATAAGTAGTTACTTATAGTCAAAAGTTAATTTAAAAATAACTCAGCAATATTAGGAGGTTCTTTATTTTTAATAGATGTTGAAACATTAATTAGATAATGTGTATTTTATTTTAATTCTGCCCAAAAAGGAGGAGCCATCTACTTTAACTCTTAAGAGAAATAATTGTTAATGTTAGAAATTAATATAATATTTAATTTTGCAGAAATTGGTGGAGGATTGCATATCAATTCTCAGTATTTGTAACAAACCAAAGAATTAGATGTTATTTTAATTAATAATAATTCAACTCTATATGGAAATGATGTTTTAGAGACACCAAGGTCTTTAACATTATCATTAGATGGAGGATTAACTTTTTTAAATAAAAAAACCTTCATAAGTTCTAAGACTGAAATAATTGAATAAATAATAATCAATCCCTATTAAACTTATGGGATTCCGAATAAATTAATTTATTTAACATTACCATCTGGATAGCCTATATCAAATTATTAATATTTTGATTACGTAAATTTAAATTTTGAAACTATTTCATATGAGTATAGATTAAGAATAATAGTTTTGGATAAGTTTTAAAAATAAATCAAAGGATTAAATAATTTTTCATGTCAGCTATCTCCTATAGTCTATAATTTCACTGCTTAGTCTGAATAGTCGGATATTTAATTTAGTCTATCATTTTATGATGTTCCTTATAATTAATCAAGTGGCGATTATAATTTAGATAATCTAATCATTTATTTCAATCCAAATTATAGTAAAGATCTAGTTTTAAGATTGTATCTATAATGTGATTATGTTTCAATACCATTACATAATGATTAACCTCCTTTCTTGGTAGAAAAAAATTTAGATTAATACAAAATATTTGTTGACATTTAAACATTTCCATGTTAAATTGGAGAATTTTTGAATTATACATCAGGAGGATGTGTTGTTTGTGATGCTTATAAAAATTAATATTCTGTCAAATTGGAAACAGTGACTTGCAGTTTTAAGGATGATTCAAAAATAAATTCAATTAGGTCATAAATGATTGAATTAAGACATAATTATTGGAGAGCCTATTATTACAGTGATGTGATCGAATTTTGTTATCATTTCCCTAAAAATTGTAGAGGAGGATGGATACCAGGGGATATATCTTGTTAATTAGGACATATTGGAGCTTTATGTGAATAATGTGATTTATATAATATAAGGGGAGATGGCTAATTTTCAATTAGTTAAGAATTTTCAATGTGGAAATTGTGATTAAATTTCTTAGAATATCTTAGTTTCAATATTAATTAGTCTATGGACTGTATTTTCAGTGTTAATTTCAGTTACCAGCACTGTTGAAATGCTAAAAGATGTTATTAGAGGGTTAAGATTAAAATTTTTTGGTGTACATTATATTATCAAAGAAGCTTCACCTGCTATTTTAATTAAAATATTTACAAATTATTTATAAATAATTTAAGCCCTTTCAACATTTTAATTAGAAATACCTTATCATTTTCTACTTGTTCTAGATAGTTTTGCTAATCCTATTGGATCTATGGCATACTCATTAGATTGTTTTATAGTAGATTTTTCTAGCATTTCAATCATTTACTTTAAAATAATTTGGAGTTTGATAATGGCATCCCTTTATTTAATTGCTTTTTTCCTTATCCTTGGTATTGCTATTTCTGTAAAACTGATTAGGCTTGAAATTTCATATATTTCAACGCCTTTTATTTTTTTATTTATTTATTTATAGCCAAATTTAGTTGGTGAAATTATTTCATTATTATCTTATAGAAAGATTTCTGAGGAGTGTTGGATTCAGGGGAATGTCTCATATAGATATGATACAGAACTTCATTTAAAATGGATTTATACTTTTTGTCTTCCACTACTAATAATAATTGGCTTTTTTATTCCATGTTTTTTATTTTATAGTCTTTTTAAAAATAAAAAACAATTAGATAAAATAATCATAAGGAAAAAATGGGGATATTTATATAATGAGTACAAAGTTTATGCATATTATTGGGAAACACTTAAGATTATTTAAAAGGAAGCGATTATAATAGTACTCATTTATTATCATGATCATATATAAATTAAGGCTTCAATAGTCTTTCTTATATTATATGGTTATAGCTTTTTAACAACTTCTAATAAACCATATACTACAGGACAATTAAATAGATTAGACACCCAATCAACAATCATTTGTGCCTTATCAATTATTATGGCCGGTTGTATATACACTGTGTAATAACAAAATTTAAATGAAATTATTTTGCCCTCTTACTTTATCATAGGCTTCGTAAATTCTTTTTATGTTATAAAAATGTTAATACAAATTATTTTATCATATCTTTAAAAACTAGACAAAATATTTGAAAAATTTTCAGGAACCATTTTAACATATTTCCCTCATTTAATTTCACATTATCCTAAAATTTATAATTTTTTAGAAGGGAGGAAATAAAAATAATTAAGAATCAGAAAAAAATACAATTAATTAAGGGATTATCTTTTACCTAAAGCCAAAAGAATTTTACAATTTAAAAAGTAATATAAATATGAATTAATAGGCTTAATGAAAAAGTTCCAACTATTCATCAAATTAATTTAAAGGGATTGGAACAATAATAAAATTTAATTATTTCACCATAGATTAAAAGTCTCCAAAGTGAAGTAGCCTTAAATTCAAGCTAATTACTTTCAGAAAGAATAAACTCTAAGCCATTAATGAATAATATTGAGAATAACTAAAAATCCTTGTTTTACAACTTTTAAAAAGCTAATGATAACAAATATAATTAAAACCCTTAAATATGAAAAATCTTCAACTTCATTTAATTAATGATATTTTAAAAAATAGTTATAATTATTTTTTTATTAGTATTATGACTTTAATTAAATTAAGATAATATTCATCAGGCTATTTTTATTTTTTGCAAATACTAATTGGACATTTTTCATATCAATCTTAATTATTAAAATAGTGGATTTTAATTTTTTAGTGTTTTAATGAATTAATTTAATAAACTACTTGATTGAAATTAAATATAATTAATATGATTGAAAATTTTAAGTTGAATTTAATCAAGAACAGAAAAAGAACTTTTGAGTTCAGAACATAATGAAACAACTCAGTTAGTTGATTTTTCAAAGAGGAGCACAAATTGACGAAACTGATGCCTAAAATGTGGAAGGAAATGAAATTTAATACAAAAATCAGCCAAAAATCTTCAAAAAAAGGGTTTTTTTAGAGTGAGAGACTCTCCATTAGAATAATCTAGACAAGATCAGCTTAAATGATTTAAAATAAAATTCAATAAGAGGCTTGATAAATAATTTGAAACTTTAATAAATAAATTTCATACATATAAATTGAAATGGAGAAAGAAAATTGATAAATAATTAAATTGAGACATCTCATATGCCTTTGAAGGAGTATCAACAGTAAAGAATTATAATGTTTAGATATAGCTATATATGATTTTTATTGTTATCAATTGAAGAATTATGTATTTTTTATAAAGAGATTATCAAACTTACAAAGCTCATAAGAATTTTAAGTTTTTTATTTGATTAAAATTATATTTGATTTATAATTTGATATTGATGATCATGTTTAATTAGATAAAGATTAAATTTGAATTTAAATCTTCTCGAAAAGTAAGAATTATTATTCGTTCTTTGAAAATATAGTTCATCTAATTTTAAAAAGTTAAAAATGTTAAAATATTATAATGTTTTAAAATTATACATATTCAAATGACTTTTCAGTAAAATATTGGCTCTAGTGATTCTTGTTTGTTTCTAGCATTTTGAAATAATTTTATTAATTTTTTAATTTACTATGTGATATCAATTAGAAAAGTGGCTATAAAGATCAAAGAAAAGGTAGCAATATGTAACCATCCTAAATTTATTAAATTTTCTGATGTTAATTCCAATTCAATTCTGTAATAATATAATATAAATGAAATTAGATTAAAAATTATTAATGATTCTGTAAATATTATTTTAACATACTCATTATAATTATTTAATGGTCTATTGAGAATAATGTGTATGAAAAATAATGATTAGAAAAAAGAAATTATTAAAGTTTGAATTAATCCATTGTCTTATAAAAATACGATAAAAGAAATAAAAATAAGTTTCTTAATCATCTAAACAGAATTATATTAGATTGTCCAAGTTTTATTGCTATTATTAATTCCTTCAAATATTTCTTGATACTTGGAGCGATTTCTAAGTGAAGTCTATTTTGAGAAAATAGTAGAAATATTCATTAAAAATAGGATAACTAAAATATATCTATATAAAATAGACATGAAAAGTAATAATTGATTAGTATGTAAATATTATTATTATCTTTTGGGTAATACCACACTTAAATTGCACAAGCAAAACATATATCATAAGAATTTGAGAGAAGTAATCTTAAAATAGCATTATAGTAGAATTCTTTTATTTAAATTTTCAATTTTTTCCTAAAACTTATTATAATTTTGCCAAATTTAAAACCAATCCAATCAATTTAATTTTATTGTATTTTATTGAGGAAATAATAAGCAATTTTTGCAGAAAAATAGCTCATGTATGTTGTTATAAGGCAGAATAAAAAACTCTCGAAATTCAGGAGGAAGTATGCATTAATATCATCTAATAAAAATTTGTTAGTAGTTTCTATAGTAAAATTTCCATTACCATCTAAAGCATCAAAAAATTTTTGGAAACCTAAAGCAGAAATTAATGGTGAGACTGTTATTAATTGAAACACATCAAAAAAGATATTTAAATTAGGCGAAAATTATATATTAATGTACTTGATGTATGATAAGTATTACAATTAATCCATAAGATTCCAAAAAATTTCTTATTAACCAGTCAATAAGCAAATTGTAGATATGCTGCCTAGTGATATTATTACAGCTTAATTAAATTTTTAAGTTTATTAAGCAATAAGTACTTGTGAAGATGTTAAAATTAGAGGAGTTTATAATTTAATAGTATCTTCATTCTTGATAAGTGTTTAGTTGAATTCAGATAGGATAGAATCATTTAGAAATTTTATTTAAAAAATAGGATGTTCAATAGATTTGAGGAATGTAACTCCAAACTAAAGATTTAATTAGGAAACTTGATCATAAGAGATTATAACTTCAGTAGTCATATAAATATTATAATCCTGATATTCAAGGCCAATGATTCTAGTTTGAATATATTCACTTAAATTATTCCTTATATGTGGCGAGAATTTAACTTTTTAATTAAATGCAATTTAGATATTGAGAACGCCATCAGGATTAGATTTAAGATCGATTAAAGAGAAATCTGGTCTTTTTTCAAATGAGCAAAGTGAGAATGTGTTTAAATAACTAATACATACCCAATCTTATTCAATAACACATTATGAATTACATCCATCTCCATTTTCATTATTTCCATCATCGCATTATTCAAACATTTAAAGATGATATCCATCTCCACATTTTGATTAACAGAATAATCCAAAAAGATGCATTCCAATAGGACATTCTTTACAAATTCCATCTTCACATTCAATACAATATTAATCACACATAAATTTACATTCATAACATCCATCATTTGCAATGGAATTCATATCATCACATTATTCATTTCCAATAATAAGACCATCACCACAATAAGGAGTACATTAATTATCTTTGATAATCCATCCTAATTAATTACATTCATAACATATTCCTTATTCACATAAAGTACATAATTATTCACATTAAAATTCACATAAATAACAACCATCAAATGGTATATCATTACCATCATCACATTATTCATTTAAATTAATAACGATACCATCTCCACATACAGTAACACAAACATTATTTTTATTAAGTTCCCAACCTCTAGTGTTACAAGCTTTACAATAACCACCTACACAATCAGTACATTAATCTTAACATAAATATTTACATTCAAAACATCCATCTGAACGAATCATATTTCCGTCATCACATTCTTCATTACCTAAAACTAAATAATCTCCACATATAGGAAAACATTCATTAACAATTAGTTCCCAACCATCATAACCACACTCTCTGCATTCTCCAAATTCACACTTAGTACATTCATCCTAACATTTAAAAAAACAATTAGCACAACCATCATTCTCTTTATCATTACCATCATCACACTATTCATTACCTAATACTATTTGGTCACCACAAATTGGTTAACAATTCATATCAATCAAATTTAATTACCAGCCATCTTATATACATTCAAGACATTATCCATTAACACAAATAATACATTATTCTTGACACTAAAGTTTACAATTTGAACATTCATTTAATAATTATAAATCACCATTATCGCATTCTTCATTATGTGTAATAATACCATTTCCACAAACACTATCACAAATATTTTTTAATTTATTTAAAGAATAACCTAACTGACATTCAAAACATATACCATTTTCACAAATCTGACAAAATTAATTACATTAGAATTTACATTCATAACAACCATCATATGGAATGTTATTTTCATCATCACATTATTCTTAATTTGCTAAATATCCATCTCCACAAAATGATAGACATTAATTAGTAAGATTATCAAGTTAACTTGAGATTTTACTGCATTTTAAACATTAACCTTGATGACAATGTTCACAATATTCAGGACAATCATATTAGCCATGAAAACAACCATCCTAGGCTAATAAATTCATATCATCACATTGTTCGTTCCCCATTATTTACCCATCATTCAAAATCTCTTGACATTTACCATTTAAATTATAATATCCATTATTACATTAAATACATTTTCCAAATTCACATATGATACATGATATCTAACATTAATTTTATGATAGATAGCAACCATCAAACATTATTTAATTATTATCATCACATTGTTCATTTCCAACTATATATGAATCTCCTGATATCGGATAACATCTTTTATCTATAAATAAAACCCACCCTTTTTTACAACCCATACAATCACCATTTTAGCAGAATAAACAAGAATTTTAACACTTTTTTTTACATGAAAAACAATTTTCATCTATTAAATCATCACATTCTTCATAATTTAATACAATTATCCCATCTCCACATACAGTTTTACATTCCTTTTATTACTAATCTAATTGCCATCCAATTGTATTACATTCTAAACATCCATCTAAACTACATAAAGTACAAGATTATTAGCAATTTAATTTACTTTCATAACATCCATCATATGATTGATTGTTTCCAACGAAACAAATATTATCTTATTGCATTATTACACATTATTATGTTATATATTCCCATTTATATCCTTGAATACAAACTAAACATAATCCTCTTTAACATTATTGGCAATTTTAATCACAAACCAACTAACATTGATCGCAAAAAGAATCTACATTGTTATTATCACATTCTTCACATTCAAGAACTAGTATATTGTCTCCACAAACACTTTTACATGATCTATCTTCTTATAAGTACCAACCATTTAATTCATTGCATTTGTAACAAATACCAAATTAGCAATCTATACAATTATTTGAACATTAAAATTAACAATTAAAGCAACCATCATATGGTACTATATTACCATCTTCGCATTATTCAGGAAAAACTAAATTTCCATCTTAACAATTAGGAATGCATTTATTTTATATTAATTAATAACCATTTTAACAGCTTATACATAGAGAATTTACACAGACTTGACAAAAGAGATCACAAGAATATTAACAGTAATTACACCCATCTGATGGATTTGTATTTCCATCATCGCACATCTCAGTTAAACTTGTAACTATTCCATCTCCGCAAATAGAATTGCATGTACCGTCAAATTAAATGTACCATCCTTTCTCTTCATCACATTCAATGCATATTCCAAATTCACAATTTATACAATTCTTAGAGCAAGTATATTAACAATTTACACAGTTTTTTAACTCTGTTTGGCATTATTAATACAAAGAAAGTTCCTTTCCTTAACAGATTGATCGACAGTCATTATTATAAACTTCATATCCACTTTTACATTAATAACATTTTCCATTGAAGCAAATATCACATGCAAAATTGCAAGCAAATTTACAATTATGGCAACCATCAAACGGATTATTATTTCCATCATCACAATCTTCCTATTCTACTACTAATTAATCTCCACAAATAGGAAAACATGGTAAATTTATTCCATCATCATAATATCCAGGCAAACATAAACATTAATTCAATTAAATTCCTCTGTGAAATTCCTTAACACAAGTAAGACAATTTTATTTAGAACTACCATAGCAATTTTCACAATATTTATTGCATGATACACAATTATTGCCTTATAAGAATGTAAATGGATTGCACAAACAAATTCCATTTGATAAAACAAATTAATTAGAAATACATTAAGTACATATTTCTGCATTTGTACATGTACTACATCCAGGTTAATTACAGTTAATGCAAGTGTAATCCTAAGTTAATGAATTGAATTCTAAATATTAATTACTACTACAAATAGAGCTAGTATAACCTGTATCTTAGCAAACATTTAAACTTGTGCAGATGGAGCAAAAAGGAGGACACTATTGTAAATTAATAATTATTACATAATGAACAACTATAAAATATTCTGATATTGCACAGAATTCTTTTGTAATATTTGGAGTTGATACATCACATTTAAATTCAACATAGAGATTGTTAGATTAAAAATTTGTCAAACTAACATTAAAAAAACGTGTAATTTCGTTACCTGTACGACCTATTAAATTTTATCCTCCACTAAGTTTTGAAAAGGGTCCTTAGTATGATGCACTAGTTGAACCTATTTTATAATAAAATGATCCAGTGTAATCATCTCCATAAGTTAAATTAAAATACACAGTAACAGCATAATGAGGCTTCTAGATAGACCATGACTTAATAAAGAAGCCATCATTCCAAACCAATAAGCCACCTAATACTATTTTATTATTTAAAAAAGAAAATTTTTATTATGATGATAAACTATTAGATTCTGTAAAAGTATCATAAAATTTTATGATTTCCTGATAAGTCATATTTAAGTCATAAAATCCTTTGGCTAAATATCTAGAATCTAAAAAGTAAATAACTAAATAATTTTACATGGAATAAAATCTTCATAGTCTATACAATCAGATGAGTGAATGGGGCAGGATAATACGCATTTATTTTTATATAATTTAAATGTTGTATTACACTATTCACAAGTAGAAAAATCAGTGCAAACCAAACAATTTTCTTAACAAAATCCTGTGTCAACGGTGAAATTTCTTAATCCCCAAAATTCAGTTTCATCCTAAAGTTATCCCTAAATCAAAATAGCAGGATTAGAGTCAAAGATTTAAAATGTCATTTCAACTCTTAATAAAGTATAATTATCATCACAATTATCAAACTATTCAAATATTTTTTATAAATTTTAAATCTAAAAATTTGATTAATCTTTTGTAATAATAGATTATATTTGATTGTTTTGAAGGATCATAATTTTACTTTAAACTTAAAATTTAAACAAATATAAAGTTATACGAATTCTTAAAAATTTAACTCCTTACTCAAAGCTCATTTACAAAAGCATTCCTTCACTAAATTAAAGTTTTCCTATAAAACTGATTCCATTACAATTTTCATAAACTAAATCAGTATTCTTAAGATGAAATTCATCTTTAATAAATATTAAAGGAGCATATCTTTAATTTGATTGAGGAACATCTGAATTTTAAAATAATGATAAATTTCGTTTTATGCGAGCATCATATACACAAATTTTATCAAAACGAGCTAATGAATAATCCCTATCACATTCTTATCTACAACCAATATTAATTTCAGAAAATTATTAATCAGATATACATTAACATTTACCACCTGATACACTTTGATTATTAAAACACGTTAAACATTATGTTTCTGAAGGTCCATTACAAGTTAAGCAAGTTGGATAGCATGTATTTACATAAACAAGCATATTTCTAATTCCTATCACCATATTGTCACTCCTAGGTTAAAAACAAATTTTAATTTAAAAATCGTTTGTGTTTGAAACACTACTTGTACTGACTATTGTTTATTAATCGAATTTGCTTGAATCACTAACGCATATTCGGCCACTATTTTATAATAAATTGTCATCTCTGTATACTCTTGAATATAGTTCTTAATCATTTTATGATCCTTGATTACTATCGTATTAGACTTTCAAATATGAATACTCATCATTTGCATCTTCAAAAAATGCATCAAAAATTACTTAAACTTAATAACACCTATATTTAAAGGATTTTTCTAAATATCGTTCGTCATGTGTCAATTTTACGTACTATAGGGAATTTTAACTGCAAGTTTATTTTTAGAATGAAGTATCAGATCCTGAACAACTATCTTTCATCTTCCAATTATTATTGGAAATTTGCGCTTCCGAAAAACTGTAATCTATAAGTTTCCAATCAGCTAAAACTTGGAATATAATGAATGAAAACTAAGCAAACGTCATAAAATGAAAAAACATAAAATGATGATAGAAAATAATTAAAATTTCAATAAAAATTCCTTAATTACGTAATGTATTGCGCAAATTATGAGTTTTAATTAATATATATGTTTGTATAAATATGCTTAACATTTAATCTTTTTAATTTTTTCATAATTAGACATTTCGGTTAGTATTTTATATTTTATTTAGTATTTTGGACTTGCAAGAAATTTTTGATCTATTTTTAGAATAAATTTCATAATAAAATTTTCAAAAAATTTTAGGTTAATGGAAAAAATTAATATTGGGAATTAAAAACATAAAATTTAATTTGTGAACACTGTTTCATTTATTCATCAGATTAAATTTTTATCTCCTAAAAAAGTTTTTTACTTTTTTATTGATCCTGTCCTTTATTTTTAAGGATAATATATTCAATAAAATATTAAGGATGAGATTTATGAATTGAATTGATGAATTCCAGTTATTTTTATGTATATTATATAATGAAGGATTTAATTTATTTTAGAGAAATAAAAATCCAAAAGCATTAAATTCAATTATAACATTCCATTTCAAAACATAAAATGTAAAAAAATCAATAATTTAAATAAATATATTATATTTTAGTATATTATTTTTGTACATATCTGATACCTGCTACAAGAAAGAACTAGTTTTGATATAACAAAATGAAATATATGAAACAATTATGAAATATTTCATTATCAAATATATTCAGAAACTTTAATAAATTATTCATTGTATAATTTAAAAATTATTTTTTTAGATTATGATTTGATTTGCTAAAAAGCAGAATAGGTTTTTCAGCAATCTGGAAAGTTTTATTTAAAATTAAATAAATATTCATATAAAAATTGTTTGTATATTAAATTTGTGCATTTAATTTAGAGTATTAACTCTAAAACTCTGGATAAGTATATTTAAATAGAAAAAGCTTCATTAATACTAATATTAAAATTGATATTATTTGTTAGCTTAACTAAATTGGATTTAAGAAAAAAATTGAATTAAGAGTAATTATCGAAGAAAATTTCTTAGTTGAGAAGGATTTATTGAAATATTTTATATTTTGAAATAAATACTTTCCCTTAAACAATAAATTATTTATTAAATTTATTCCTCATTTTTTCTTTTTATCTAAAATCTAATAATATGAAAATCAATTGTTTGTGATTGTCTTTCTCTTGTTGCGTTAAAAAATATAATCAAAAAGTTTATTTATTTTTATCTATTATTAAATAATTTACTTTATTTTGTAATTTTAATAGCTAATGAGCTTTTATAATCTAGCTTGCCTTGAAATGTAAAATTGAGTGAAATAATCATGAAAATGTGATGTAAAAAATCTAAAATGCTTAACTATTTAAGTTGAAAAAACTATAACTCCTGAATGATGTTAGCTTATAATAACTAAAGAATATTTTTTTTTAATTTGATATATATTACAATTGAAAGAAGATAATGACAAATAATGCCTTTTTTGAGACTAAGGATACTTATTTTATAGTTTGATACAAAGCTAAATAATTTGACCTTTTTTATAACAATAGAGCATTTCTAATTCAGAAAATCTTTAAATGAATGGCATTCAAATTTTGGAATTTATTGGATTTTCATGAGTATTATGAAATAAATTATTAAATATTACCCTTTATCTTATTTATATTACAATAAAAAAATCATATAGAATACAATATGTTTCTTTATTGTTATTAATTATAAAACTTATTTTCTCAATACTATCTTTATATTATATAAATTATCTATCTATCAGTTAAATTTGATTATTTTTTCATACTGATGTTATAATTTATGTAGGAGAAATCAATAATCTTATTGGAAATAAATAGAGACTTGTACAATCATATATTTCCTAAATCCAAACTAAATAAAGCTGATTTTTTTCATTTTATGTTAAACAAAAGATCATAATTAAATTAATATACTTCAAATATATGCAAAATTAAATTAATTATTTAACAATAAACTAAATTTTTAGATATTAGAAATTAGAATTTTTTATGACTCTAAATTGATGTTAAAAATTCTCAAAATTGCATGATTTATATTTATTAAAACCAATTTGTTCATAAATTATCATTTATAATTATTAAAATTACAAAATACCTAATAATTTGGATTTAATGTTCAAGATAAATTGTAATAAAAATAGAAATTCAATGAAAATCGATAGCTAATTAAAGTTCTGATAGCCCAAAATTATTAAATTTTGATGGAAATTAAATATTGGGCTAAAATCATCCAAAAAAATCAACACACTCAATAGAGAAATGCAAAAGATAAAAATCAGGTACTCCAACTTTAATTAATCATATTTTTGACTTTAAATGAATTTAGATAGAAAAGAGATAATTTATTAAATTGAAAAACATGAAATGGAGCATAAAATAGTTTTTAAGATGGGCTTTTCATTGAAATAAATAACAGAAAAAAAAAATCTCGTGATATTGCAATAACAATATTTCCTTGATAAGGAATTTTGATAAATAATGGATTGGCAGTTTGAAAAGAATTTGTATTGAAATATAAAGTTGTTGAATAAATAGAATGCTTTGTACTCACATTAAAGTATAGTACTCATAAATAAATTTAAAAAGAAGAAATGTTAATATAGATAATTTTTAAAGCTTTATTTAAGCAATCTGGATTTTGTTTTTCCACCTAATTGACTGAAGATAAAATTAGACAAATTAAATTTTAATTTATAAAAATTTAAGCATTATGAAAACTTTTAAAATTAGTATAATTCTTCTAAAATATTTTTATTTTGAAATTTCTACCTTTTTAGTATTTCTGCTCATATTTTAATTTATAAACGTATGAGTGATAACTTTAATTGAAAAAATTGCTTAATATGAAGTTGATCGAATCATTCTAACTAATTTCTTTTTTGAAATCATCTAGAACAATAAGTATAAGGTTTGAATTTTCAATATTTTTGAATATCTTTATAGACATTATGTCTTAATTTTCCAGAAATAATTTAATTTAGGCTGATACTTAAATAAGAAGGTTAATAGTGTTTTCAAATTCTCTAAATAAATATTTTTTAGTTCTGAATGGAGCTAAACAACTATGGGCTCAATTTTTATGTTTTTATCTTTAAGGTTGGTTATCTAGCGTTTAAATTTTGTAACTATTGATATGGTATTCTTTTTATCCTCTCTATACCTTAAAAAATATATGAATATCAAATTCTTCGTAATGAAGATTATTTTTTTTTTAAATACTCTATAATTCATATTATTTGAAGAAAAAATGAATCATAAATTTTTTTAATAAAATAATAGAATGGGGATTAATTGTTCAAGTTAATAAAATCAATCAAAGAAATTCAATTCCTCTGTAAGGTAATAAAATTATCTAATTCTAAAAAGAAATAAATAATAGGTTGCTAATGATATTTAAGACAAATAGCCAAATAAACCTTAAATATATGAATGCTTGTTTATTGATGCTTTAAATGGAAATAAAAGGCAGATAAGTAAATGTAATCGCAAAGAAGAAGAAGTATAACAATAGTAAAAAGTAATAAACAAAAATCCTAACTGTGTGAATTGGGCATATGAAAAGAATACATTGGAGAAATTTAAAAACATTTGTGGAAAGCACATTAATGTTCTGAAGATTTATGATATTTAAGAAGATGAATCAAGTTGTTTTGTTTACACCGAACCATTTGAAATGAGCCTAGAATATTTTTTACAACAAAAAGATAAAACTTAATGTTTTAGTTTTAATGAAATATGTGATTATGGTAGTCAGATAGTGAAAGGATATCAATGTTTGAGAAACCAAAAAATCATATTGAGAGATTTATCACCAAAGAGTATCTTAATTTAGAAAATTCCAAATAGAATAATTTTAAAAGTAAGTATTTTATAATTAATAGATATCGAATTTTAGTTCAAGATCTGTTAATGAATATGAATAAATGGATTCTCCTACTGAAATTCCATTCTATATTGCTCCAGAAGAATTCAATAAAGACCAAAATTAATTAAGATTTAATGATTCATGTTTTATCTATTCTGTAAGAGTGATTACATATAATTTACAAGCTTGGGATAATTCTTTTCATGATGTGCTATAATGGAGAAAGACCAGAAAAAATATATAACTCTAAAGATCTCAAAAAATTTCATGAAAATCTTAAACTATATGGTTTTTAATATCCAAACAATCCTAATTATCCAAAAAGTATTTTTAATTTAATAGAAAAAATGATTGTTTATAACCCAAATAATAGATTATCTTGGGATTAGTTAGAAAAAAGCTTTACTCAAAATTTTGTTATTTTAAAGGAAATATATTTTGTAGACCTAAATAAACCTATTGGTTCAGGAGCATAAGGAGTAGCTTATCATGCATATGATTTAAAAAATAAACATGAATTAGTTTGCAAGATTATTTAAAATAAGTCTTTTGGAACCTCAAGAGAAATTTAAATTTTTACTTAAATCAAAGATAAATAACATGAAAATGTGATCAAAATTTCTGAAATTATAGTAAAGAATGATTTTACCTATTTAATTATGGAAAAGTGTGATATGAGTCTACGAATTTATTTAGAGCAAATTTAAAAAAATGGACAGTTACTATCAAATAAATAGATAATTAAAATATTATACTAAATTGTAGAAGGTTATTGTTTTCTTAAGTAACTTGGAATACTTCATAGAGATTTAAAACCAGATAATATTTTATTGAAGCTGAATAATAAAGGGAAACATGTTGTCAAAGTATAATTATTAAACTTCAATAGATCATAGATTTTGGAGTTGGTAAGATTATAGGGTAAAATCTTACTTCAACAATGGCTGGAACTCCATTATATGCAGCTCCAGAAATCTTCTAAGGATAAAAGTCTTATGATTATTAATGTGATATCTTTTCAGTATTATTTAATTATTAATCTATAGTTAGGAGTGATTTTACATTAAATGGTCTTTCAAAGAATGATTAAAAATATTAGAGCCAGAGGGGAGCTTCTTCAATATCACTAGTCTTTAAAATATCAACCATTTATATGTCCAAATCATTAGGTATTATGATGTTTAAATTAGAATCCTTTATTCTCTGAACTTATTAATCAAATGATTGTGTATGAGCCTACAAAAAGAATTAATTGGGAATAATTACAAGCTCATTAAATTTTTGATGAAATTAAATTAAAACATCCTAACTCAATCATTTAAGATCCATTTGTATAATCGAAAAATCAATAGCTTTTAGGATAAAAATTATATTGTCCAATTTAATAACCTTCTTCTTCTTCTGAAAATGTTAAGACAGAAATATATTAATATATTATTTCTCTTCAAACTTTATCATTTAAGGTTTTTCTCATGTTTGAAGAATTCTAAAAGTAAGATTAAACTTTACATGATGAAATACTAATATCCAATAAATTTATTATTAGATTTAGCATATCATGTTTGATGAGTATTCTTCAGCTACAATAAAGTGGTTCTATAATTTTAGATGAAGAAGAATATAAATTAAAATCAGTATCTAACTTCTAAAATTGGTTAAATTAAATTAACATTAAATAATTGATAAATGAAAAAAAAGAAAAATACAATATCTTATAAACAGCATAAACCCTCAATTAAACTTAAATCATTAATGAAGGGAATAACCTCTTAAATGAACTCAATAATTTGTTTTTAAATAAAAATAGAAATCCCAACTTTTTGCACACTCATAAATACTTTAATAAATTTTATCAACAAGTAAGAGTTAATTTTTTAAAATCTAATATACCACTAAAAATTAGATACTTTATGGAAAAGTTTTCCAATATTTTCATTTAATTTCCAATCAGGAATTACGGATTAATTAAAGAATCTTAAATTGCCTAAATATTTTGTATAAAAGAGAAAATGGAAACTTATATTAACAATCAAATTAGCAATATTTGAACATTTAATTTATTTTTATGATTATATTACAAACGAATTCTTTTTTTAAATTAATTTTCATATATATCGAAAAATTATAATTCAAATTTTGAATATACTCACTCTTAAAATATATATTAAAGAACAAAATAAGATCTGGCAATTGTTAAAAATAAACAATTTAAATGAAAAATCTATAATTATTTAATTGATTATTATATTTGAATTTTTGAATTATTTTAAATAAATTGGATCAGACTTTGAAAGAATTAAGCAAAGATTTATATACTCTAATAAAATTCCATATTTTTGGCTTTATTAAGAAAAATAAAGAAAGAAATTAATAAATAATTAATTTTATAGAAAAAATTTTATATTATAAATTAGGTCTATTTAATAAAAGAAGCAAGAGTAATTATCAAGACCAAAGGATCAATTATTTTACAATTAAATTCAAGAAAGAGTCTTAAACTTACTGACAAAGAGATTGATAAAAAGAATAGATTATAAAAAAGATACAAAACATTTTGAAATTTAATTTTAATTAATATAGTAACTATACTTTAAAAAAAAAATTAATTATATTATTGACAATTATAGAAATTGCTAAAATAAGTGGGTTGAAGCATTTTTTGTTAGGAGTGAATATTCTTAATAGTTATTTATAAAATAATTGTAAAAATTATTGAATAAAATTTAACATTATTTATTTTCTTTAAAAAATGCTGATGAGATCGAAATCAAATTTCTACTTGAAAAAATTTAAATCCCAAGAGTAGTTTTCCATATTCCATTGTAACTATTTCTATTTAAAAATAGTTTTTTGTGTATTTAAATTTTTAAAGATTATAAAAAAAGGAGAAATTTTTTAGAAATAGAACTTACTAATTTTTATTAACAAATTATAATAAGTTTTAGAATAATATACAAAATAAATAAGTTTAGTCAGACATCTATATTGGGAAATTGTAATTCAATAATTAATAGGTTAAACTTTAATATTTAAATATTTTCCTAATTATAATTAGAATCAAAATAAATGGCTTGAATAAGCTTAATGATTATATCTATAATTAAATTGATGCTAATATTTTCTTAATAATAATAACTATAATAATCAAAAGTTAGCAGCATTAAAATTATAGTTTCAATATATATCACACATTTCAGCAGTTTAATATTTAATAAAAAACAATTATGAGCTTTTTAACTTTTAGAAGCTAAGTAATTAGATTTAATTGATTTATGATTAAAAATGGTCTTGATATTAATATTTGAAAAAATATCGGAATTACATCAAAATAGACTAAACTTCTATTAACCTTTGCTTCTATATCAGCATAATCTTGTGATATTTTTAGGAGAATTTTTTTAAAATAAAACAGTAACTTAAAGAAATTATATGGATTAGGTAAGTCTATTTTTGATTAAGACTGAACAGCTATATACTTAAAGTGCAATAATTACATAATTTCTAAGATAAAATTTTATGACCTCTCTAATCAAATTTAGATATGTTAATTGAAATTAGGAAACTTTTTAAGATTTGAAAAACTTAAAATAATTGTTTCTCTTTTTTCTTAATTTAAATATCCAAACTTAATTATTCCCTTTTTCTTGTCCTAACTACATTATTTAAAATCATATTACCCAAAATATTTATTTCAAATACAATTTTGATTATAAAGATATTTAGTAAACTTTATGAAGATTTTAATATTTTAGATTCTTTTTGCATTTTTGAAAAATTATGCCATATGTAGAATTATCTTAGAAGATTAGAGATATAATTTTCCATTAGAAGCCAACAACTCCAATACAATTTATTTGAATGATTATACTTAAGAGATTGTTTCCCCATATTATTCAATTCAAAGTTCTAACTAATTCAATTTAAAAATTGATTAATCAATATAACAATTTGGGAACTTGAATTTTAGTAAATTTTATGAATAATATTAGATTAATCAATACGAATAGGTAGTAATTATATTGCTCAATCTGAATCTGGATTGTATTCAAATTTTTTTTGGGCCTTAACTGTTTAATAGACACTTTTTAAAGGATTAATAAAAACAAATGGAGAAATATTAATGATTTAATTAGATTTTATGATTTCAATGGGTAATATAAATTATAGATTGTATTTATAGTTGAATAAAGCTGCTTCATAATATTCTCTCCTCTAATTGAGTATTATATCTTAAAACAAAATCAAATTTGAGGTAGAAATAATTTATATCAACACTAATTCATATAAGTTAATACAGTATCCTTTTTTGAGTTATGAATTTATGTTTATTACACATTACAATGAAAATGATATAACTGAGTAACTTCTTATAATATATAGCGCAGAAAATGGAAATTTCATTTAATCGATTTTATAGAATGTAACTAGAATTTATGAAAGCAATTTATTAGTAGCTATTAATTATGATAATGAAAAAGTTTATAAAATTGAAGATTAGCAAATATTAAAATTAATCCATCACACCTTTTTTTTGGAAATATTTAGAATTATACAGTAATATGTGATTTATGTAAATCTTTTAATTATATTTAACCAATTGATAAAATTAATTCATACTCTTTAAACATAGGCTATCAAAAAATTTTAAATTAAAAAGATTTCACTTATATATCAGATTAATAAAATTACTTATATTAATTTCGTCCTGAAATCAGATAATTATCTATGCTTTATAGATTATAAGTTTAAAATGATTAAAAATGGGAAGCTCTTTTCATTAAAATCTAAACTTAATTCCCTGTGTAATTTGTTCTGGAGAATCAACCTATATATATGCATCCAGCACATATTCAAATTAAATTATTACTTAGGAGTTTTCAGAGATTAGTTCATATTTTAGTTCAGACTACAAAAATTGTATTCTTGAAGTATTTACTAATAACAAAAGGACTAAATTAGATTATTTTGCATTTTATTTTTGGATTTAAAATAACGAAATAAATCTCATGTAAATTTATAAATCAATTGAAGTATGCAGCTTTTGTAAGGTTACTTTTGTTTATTTAAGATTGTCATAAAATTAACTGCTCAGCCTTGTTAAATATTTGGATTTATAACTACTAGTAGCAGTGGTTCTGGTGATACTATAGTTTTTAATCTACAAAAAATTGCATACTAAAGTAATAAAGATAATTTAGTTATTTTTCAAATAGTTAAACAGAAAAATTATCATAACAAAATTGAGCAATTTATAATTTTGCACCAATTTTCACATTTTATTATGAAATGCTTTTAAGACATTAAGTTGTGTAAATGGTATTTTCTTCTGAAATTAAAAAATACAAATTAATTTCCTAAAATAATTATTTTAAATTATTTGAACATTGATCTTTATTAGCATAATTCACATAAAGATGGACAAATTAAACATTTTCTATTATATGATGTTCTATGAGCATATTTATAATAGTTCAAAGAACACAATGAACAAATAAAAAATTAATTAGTTTATAATGTACTTTTTGACATATTTAGCAATTTTAGTGGCAAAATTAAATGCACTCATTTTAGAATAATTCATATCCATCCATACATTTTAAAGGGCAAAGATTAATACCCCCAATCTGTAATTGAATTCATTTTATTTGACTACCAAAAAGTAATTGAGGATGCTTAAGTTAATTAAACCCAAGCTTATTTTTATTCAAAAAAACAAAAATATTCTTTTTTATATTATTTTTAATTTAGTATGTTTTTGACCAAAGTCCATTAATGGGTTATATAATATATCCATTCTCACAAATAATACATTTTAAGGTTTTCTAAAAAGTTTAATAACACTTTTCACAATTATATATGTATTGTTGGCAATGTGTTGTTGAAGGAGCTGTATTGAAATCATTTACTGAAGATAATGTATAAATCTCTTAGCCTAAAGGATTAATATAAGATATGAGACAAAATTAAAGTGATGGATTTTAATAAACATAATCTCCAATAGTAAAGTCAAAACTAAACCCTTTCCATTATGCACATCCAACCACAAATTATTCGTCACTATCATTTATAATTTTAGATTAAACTAACATAGTACCTTTGGATGGATCTAACCGATTATTATCAAAACAATAAACTCAATTTTAAATAGGACCTATTTCACAGGTATTGTGAAAAGTTCGATAAAATGGAGTTTCACAGATAAGATTGAATATTACAGATAAAAAAAGTGTATAGAATTATTAGACTCTAAAATTAGTTCACTACTGTATTTGATGCACACAGGCCCTGATATTTAAATTTTATATTTTTAACAGTCTAGAAAAATATCTATATAGCAATATTCTAATTATTCCTTACGATTATTTTGTTAACAAAAATTTTTAAAATATGCATTTGTAGAAATATAATCTTTGTAAAAATTGCCTGGATTTTGGCATTCTTCACATAAATTTAAATCTCTACCATCAAATACATAAAATTCTTGAATTTCATTCTTTAATTAGAAAGGACTGTAATTTGTATCAGAGAAATAATACTTTTCACAATATGCATAATTTATCCAATCTTTGGATTAATCAAACATTCTGTACAGGTAACTAAATTTTTAAGAAGTTTTGAAGGTCTATTTAATCATATATAAATACTATCTCCAACAATTTTCGTCATATTACAAGTATCCAAATTAACATTTTTTATGTTTTAATTCAGTTTTTTTAAGATTTAACTTTAATAATGAAAAACTATAACATTAATCTTCATAGTCATAGGTAAAATATGAAAAAATACATGATTGTGCTCTTTACAAAAAATCTATTTTATGATTCATGACATGATAAACAATCTGATTTAGTTGGTCTATCACATTAATAACAATTATTATGACATTAATTATTTTCAGGAATAAATTATTCTGAAAATTAAAAAATTCTAACTTCACATTTCAACATTTAGACAATTTTATCATTGTAATAAATTACCATAAATTAATTAATTTGAACAAATTGAAATTAAATTATCTCGCTCTAAAATTAATATTGATATATTTAAAATTCTTCATAAAATATTATTTTCACTAATATTTAAGTTTCATATTTTTAAACCAAAAAATTATGCCATAATGAAATGTTATGATTTATGTCAAATTTTTTTGTTATTAAGAATGGATTATTGGATAAATCTAGTTTTACTGATGAAATATTAAACTATAAGTATTGATAATCAAATAATTTTAATTTTTTGATAATTTAAAATCATTAGAATGCTGATAAATTTTCATTTATCATTTAAGGATTTAAAAGTTTGCACAATTGAACATTAGAAGTATTTTTTGAAAAATTTGAATTTCAATAACCATTTTAATTAAGATGTCCATTTTTGATTCTTTAATAAGTTAATTAAACAAAAAAAAATTAGTATATTTTTAGAAAAAACTTTTCATCCATTAAATCATTAAAAGTAATTTCAATTTGAAAATAAAGAAATAGTGATGAGCATTATAATTTACTCTTATTTGAGAAACGAAAAATAAATTACTGAAAGAAAAAAACATTATTTTTTATTTATATTAAAATAATGGTGACTGAATAAAAAATATATTTATTAGCATTCTATATTATTATTAAAAATGAAATATTTTTATAAATATTTATATGATTCATAAACATAATAAATGCGTCTGGGGTCTTCTGAACATAAGATCATCACCAGATATTTTAAATATGATATAAAAAAATATTTTATAAATGCACTGCCTAGCGCCTCTCAGAAATGTCCAATAGTGCCAATAACATTATAAATTAAATAAATAAAGATTGTAATATCTCGGATATTTTGTTGCGATGATGCTTACATAAAATATCACTGGCCAAAAAATGCATTTGAATCACCATTGATTGATAATACAAGGCTAATGATAGGTACCAATTATTGAATGAATAATTTGAAAGATTAATGTAATAATTTCTAAAACTCTGTAGAAGAAATTAGAATAATTCAAATCATGTTATCAGGTTTAATTAAATGATCTGCTAAGGCTCTATTGCATTAGACTAAAGATTCTATAAAATCCAAACAAATTTTAGAAAAAAAATTAATTATGTAGCTTTTAAAGAATTGTTATTTTTGTTATTTATTAATGCCTGGGTTTGAGCAAAACTATTAATTTATTATAATCAAAGTAATTATGATTTATAGCACTCTAATTTTAAAATAGATTGTATTTAAGTTCTTTTATATTTTTATAAAAATTTTATAATTTTTAAATAAATGTCAGTATTGTTAGATATTGTTTCGAAAATATAATTAAGATTTCTAATTCATATAATGATTTATATCAACCAATATTATATAAATAAAATCAATAAAAAATTTAAAGATGAATTCTAAAACATCAAATAATCTGATTAGGCAAGATTTAGCACAATAGTAAAATTGCAATTAAGAATTTGAACTTGAAATTGGGATCAAATTCATCTTAGATTTGTGAAAGTTAAATTCCAAATAACATTTAATTAAGATAACTTAATCTATTATTCATATGATGGAAAAATTTTGAGAATGTAAGAAATCATCCTTAATTAAAAAAGCGAATAATATTAAGAAAATTAAAAACATCATGATCAATATCATAATATTGATTAGGTAAAATATCTTAAATGGAAGGTGAATTTGGTAAAGTTAAAAAAAAGTCAGGTAAATGGAGAGCATTTTGGTCAGGTTTAGTTTACAAAGAAGTTGGCGGTTACTATGATAATGGATTAAAGTAAGGTTTATGGAGCGAATTTATTAAAAATTATTCACGGTATATTACCTATTTTGTTTAAATATAGTAAAGCATAAATATGTGAAAATGGATATTACTTAAATGATTAAAAACAAGGAAAATGGAATTATATCTATAAAAATAATATTATGTATATTTAAACATTAAATTTTTAGTGGTTGGGGATTATATAATTAATTAGCTGAAAAATAAGGTAAATGGATTGAGTTGAGTGATGGATTTAGTAATTACTCGTAAGTCACATATAATGGTGAATATCAAAATGGTAAGAAAGCCGGTCGATGGGATATTTTGTTTAGGGATTAAAGGCAATATAGATTTTAATAGATGTAAATTTTAAAGTATCAAATCTTAGCGGAGGTGGATTGTACAATGCAGGAGTTAAAGTTGGAATGTGGATTGAATTGAGTGATGGATTTCAGATTTATTCAAAAGTAACTTTCCAAGGTATTTATAAAAATGGTAACAAAGTCGGCAAGTGGGATATAAAAATTTACAAATTTGATGGGTAACATTTTATTATTAAAATGAAGAAAATCAAATTGTAGTGGTGGATTTTACAAAGAAGTAGAAGGATGTTACACTAAAATGGGAAAATGGATAGAATAAGGCTATGGGCTTAATTTATATTCATAAGTCATTTTAGAAGGTGAATATAAAAATGGGAGAAAATTGGTAAATTGGATATTTTGTATAATCAGGAATAAAGAGATGTTTAGGAATTGATGTAAAAATTTAATAAAAATTTTTAGTGGTGGTGGAGTTTACAGTGATTAAAGTCTTAAGAATGGTAATTGGATTGAGTCGAACAATAGATTTTCAGATTATTCCTAAGTCACTTATATTGGGGAATATCAATGGTAAGAAAGTTGGTAGATGGGATATTTTATAGTTTTTTAGTGATGGTGGTTTGTATAATGACTAAGGTCAAACAAATGGTGAATGGAGATAGCTGAATGATGAGTTGTAAAATTATTTATAAGTGCTATAAAATGGTGAATATCAAAATGGTAAAAAAATCGAGAGTGGAATATTTTATTTAAAGGGGAAGAAAGTGAAAGCTATACATTGATGTAAAAAAAATAAAATGTTTCAGTGGTGGTGGTTTGTATGATGAGGTAGATGGAGGCTCAATTAAATCTGGGTCATGGATAGAGTTGGATGATGAGTTTGAGTTCAATTAATAATTCACTGTAATAGGTGAATATAAAAAAGGAAATAAAATTGGTAGATGGGAGAAAATTGATACTGCAATCAAAAATTTTGATAACTTCTAATTGGATGAATGAATAATCAAAATATATTTTATCAATTTAGTTTTTTATTATAATATAATTATATATTTTAAGTTGTTTGTTCCAGTAGTAGTTAATTTAAATAGTATAATAAATAGTAAAAAATTTAATAATCTCGTATAAAAATATTATAATTGCTCAGAATCATGCTTATTCATAATTGATGAAAGGTTAAATAATTTCTAATAATGATTAAAAATTTTTATATTAGCTTATAATTAAAATTAATTGATTTATGAGACTAATCTGATACAAGTAAATATTAAAAGATAAAATGGAAAAACAAAATGTGCAACTAAAAAGATTAGAAAATGGGATGGTTAAAAGAGTAAAGATATATTGATTACATAAAGGCGATGTATATAAGAAAAAAGGATTCCATTAGGGCGACGTAATGAGAAAAAAGTAAATTTTTTATGATACTTAATTAGTTAAAAGAATTTCTCTAAAATGTTCATTTTATCACTCAAACCATATCTATTTAAGAAGATAAATCGAGTATTTTCTCTCTCAATGAATTATTTATAATTATTTTTATAAAAAATGTATAGGGCTATATGATTTGAAATTGTTGATTATACCTAATTATCAATAAAATCCTAATTTTCAAAATTTTTTTTATTTGTCTTAATTTTAATACAGAAGATATTCTTGATTCATAATATAAATGTTAATATTGATAAAATAAAAAAATAAATATTTTAAAAAAAAAAAAAATGGAATAGAAAGATGATCTTTATGATATTTTAGCTTCATCAAAAGATTTAGACTAAAAAATATATAAGGTAATAATTGAGTAGATGAGAAAAGAAAACATTTCAGACTGTTTAAATTATCTTTCAATTGATGAAAATCTTAAAAATTGTGAATAGTCTATTTTAAAAGCAACCAATTTAACAAATAACGAATAAAAAGATGGGGTAAATAATAAAATCCAGATAATGATGAATATTTTGAAATAAGTTAAACATCATGACTTTAATAAAAAAAATTATTATGATAATGATGTCTGCGAAGAATCTAGAAAAATTCTCATTTAAAAAATATCAAAAGATGAGTAAATTATCTAATTGCTAAAATTCTTCGTTCAACTAACAACTATAGATGAAAAATTTATTCAATGTGGGTCCAATGGACTATATTTATTAGTAGTTATGAAAGTCGACCTGAAGAATTCGTGCTTCGAGAACATTAGGATCAAGAATACTACTTTGATTGGTGGAAATTTTGCCAGATGCAATTTTAGTGGGTCAGAATTTGATGATGTAGACATTAGTGGAGTGAATTTAAATGGGACTCTATTATTAAATTGTAAGTGGATAAAAATGAAAATCCATGAATTGAATCAATTGCAAGGTCATACTAGTTTTGTTTCCTCTGTATGTTTCTCACCAGATGGATTCACTTTAGCTTCTGGTAGTGTAGATAACTCAATCCGTTTATGGGATGTTAAGAAAGGATAATAAAAAGCTAAATTGGATGGTCATTCTGGTGCTGTCTGGCCAATATGCTTCTCACCAGATGGAACTACATTAATTTCTAGTGGTGATGATTATTCTATCCGTTTCTGGGATGTTAAGACCAGGAAAAAAAAAGCCTAATTAGATCAAACACAAACTGTCTCTTCAATATGCTTCTCGCCAGATGGAACTAATTTAGCTTCTGGTAGTGTAGATAACTCAATCCGTTTATGGGATGTTAAGACAAGATAATAAAAAGCCAAATTGGATGGCCATAGTAATAGTGTTAACTCAGTATGTTTCTCACTAGATGGAACTACTTTAGCTTCTGGTAGTAGTGATAAATCGATCCGTTTATGGGATGTTAAGACTGGGTAATAAAAAGCTTAATTAGATGGTCATAATAATTCAGTCTGGTCAGTATGCTTTTCACCAGATGGAACCACATTAGCTTCTGGTAGTGGAGATAAGTCTATCCGTTTATGGGATGTTAAAATAGGAAATTAAAAAGCCTAATTAGATGGTCATAGTGATTATGTCCTATCAGTATGCTTCTCACCAGATGGAACTACTATAGCTTCTGGAAGTAGAGATTAATATATTCATTTATGGGATGTTAAGACTGGATCAGTCAAAGTCAAAATGGATGGTTATAGCGGAACTATTCGATCAGTAAGCTTTTCACCAGATGGAGCTATTTTAGCTGGTAGTGGATATAACTCTATTCGTTTATGGGATGCTAAAACAGGACATAAAAATGTGTAAAAAGTTGAGCATACTGGTGCTGTCTTATCAGTATGCTTATCATCAGATTTAACAACCTTAGCATCTAGTAGTGGAGATAACTCAATTCGTTTATGGGATTTTAAGACAGGATAAAAAATAGCTTAATTAGATGGTCATAGTAATGGTGTTAACTCAGTATGCTTCTCACCAAATGAAACTACTTTAGCTTCTGGTAGTGATGATAACTCTATCCGGTTATGGAATGTTAAAACAGGATAATAAAAATCTTAATTAGATGGTCATAATGATTCAGTCCAGTCAGTAAGCTACTCACCAGATGGAATGACTTTAGCTTCTGGTAGCGGAGATAATTCTATCCGTTTATGGGATGTTAACACGGGATAATAAAAAGTCTAATTAGATGGTCATAGCAATAGTGTTAACTCGGTATGCTTCTCGCCAGATGGAACTACTTTAGCTTCTGGTAGCGGAGATAATTCAATCCGTTTATGGGATATTAACTCAAGACAATAGAAAGCTTAATTAGATGGTCATAATGATTCAGTCTGGTCAGTATGTTTCTCTCTAGACGGAACTACTTTAGCCTCTGGTAGCGGAGATAATTCTATCCGTTTATGGGATGTTAACTCAAGACAATAAAAAGCTTAATTAGATGGTCATAATGATTCAGTTTGGTCAGTATGCTTTTCACCAGATGGAACTACTGTAGCTTCTGGAAGTAGAGATTATTCTATTCGTTTATGGGATGTTTAAACAGGATAATAAAAAGCTTAATTAAATGGCCATAATGATTTAGTCCGATCAGTATGCTTCTCATCAGATGGAACTACTTTGGCGTCTGGTAGTTATGATAACTCAATTTGTTTATGGGAAATTAACAAAGGAAAAGAAATTTCTTTTTCGGATAAATATTAATAATATGCATTGGAGTTATTGAAAACTCCTCTTGTAGAAATTGGTATATATTTAAATGTTATCTAGTCACACATTATCCTTATCTAAATATCTCCTAATATTTAATCCTAGAAGCATAAGGTGCTTTAATTTTGAAAGGAGAATTTGTGAATTATTAAGGTTTTGATTTGCGACCATTATTAAAATCTAAAGGAACCTATTTTTTGGAAAAATGAATTGATTATCATGTATAAATTATTCACCTAAATTTATAAATTATCAATTATTATATCCCTTATAGTAAAATTTTAAATATGTAACTCTTTTCCAAATTATTTAAAATTCTCCACATTGCTTTATGACTTCTTAATTATATAAAATGGCATATATTAGATTCAATATAGTTAATTTTTCCGTTTATTTCAAAGGGATTATGGATGGCTTCAATAAAAAGAAAGGTAGATTAATTTTAAATGTAAAAACATATGGTGAGGATTAATTTTGAATGATGAATTATTTAAGTTAGATCTGAAATATGAGGATGGAGGAATATTTTATGTCAATTTTAGAAATGGATATAAAGGTAAACTTAAATTTATTATATCTGAATTCATTGATTTAATATTAAGTTTTATATGCGAAGGAAGTGAAAATTTGAAAAGGATAATTTAGAAATAAATCAAATGAAAAAGTATGTCAGAAGTTGTTTACAATTATGAAATGTTTGAAATTAAATTTAATCAACTTTTTGAAAATGCTTTGATGGAGAAATAGTAGTAGATTTAAAAGAAAGTTTAGGTGATGATAATATAGAAGGAGACGAGGGTTGATAGTACAAAAATAAAATTCATTATTACTAGATCATAGTTAGGAATTAATTCTCTTAATTCAAAATAAACACTATAAGGTATAAATGTTTAATATGGCTAATTGAAATCTACATTATTATAAGATAAGTATCCTGGAAAAATAGCCAGATTCTCGAAAATTGAAATTAAAGGAGAAGTTTACATAATTAGGTATTTTAGAATAGAAAGATTAATGAAAAATATTTACTAGAATTGGAAATATTAATTATCGAGGAAACTTCAATGATAGATCTATAATTTTTATCATTATTGGATATATATTGCTAATTAAGTTAGATATCATCTACTTAGTTTGGAGGAATACAAGTTTTTATTTTCGGAGATTCATGCTAACTTTAACCTGGATTATTAAAGCAAATCCATTATTTTAAAGTCTCATGTATTTTCAAGTAATATTTTACTTATATGATTGAATTATCATAACCCATACTACAATAAAGTGATTTAAATTTTTACAATAAGATTTTGTTACCTATGAGAAAAGGAATTTTTCATAAGAGACAGAAAATTTAAAAATTAAATTGACATATTAAAAAAAAGAGTTCTCTAATTAAATTCTATAGGCCCAATCCTAAAATCAAAAAAGAATTAGATTTATAATATCAAAATTAAAAATAAATAATATTATTTTTTCCAATTTTAAATCAAAAAATTTTACCGAAATAAAAACTAAAAAATAAATTTATGCAAAATATATTTTATTGCTTTTTATATTATTGCTAATGCTGAGTGTTAAAACAAATTATTAAGTAATTTTATATTTAGTTTCTTGTTTTTTAAAAATAAGTTTAATTCCTTCCGCTCAAAAAATTAATTTAATAAAATGTAAGAAATAATAACATGTTTAATTGAAAAATATTTTAATACTATAAAAGAATAGATTTTACTCTAGAATTTTCATTTCATTTATAAAAAGACCAAATAAAATATGATATCAAATAAAATCAAACCTTTTAAAAGTGCTTATTCTCTTTGGATTTCTAACTCTTTTTGCTAACCTAAACATAGATATCTCTAATGTTATTTAATCTAAATTAGACTTTGAAATTTACCTACAAAAACTTCAATAATATTTTTGAAATTAAATACTTAGGATTGAATATTTTTAAGAAAATAAACTATCAAATAATTTCTAATTTGATTTAGGAAATTATTGGACTGATATCAACAATCTGTTTTTACATGAAGAAAACACTAATGATAATTTATAAAATATATAAACTTTCCATCTACATTAAATCATTAAAATGTAGTCAAAAAAAGTTCTTTAAATAATTTAAGTCAAAAATATAATTAAGTAAATCGGAGGAAAAGAATTCATTATCCATGGCAATGATTAGATGATTATTAAAAATAAAATAAAATTTTTCAGAAAGATATAATTCATAAAAATGTATTGATTTTCCAAAATCCAAATTTAATAATCGTATAATTTAGTTTATAATACATTTAAAACATAGGAATCTTATCTTTAAATAGTCTTATGAATTCCTTCTTTATTTTATAAATCTTGAAAATAGTGGATTTGACTTTTAAAAACAATTTTAGGATATTTATTGTAAGAAGTATAGAAAAATAAGTAAATTATTAACATGTCTTTTAAAAATAGAGTCAAAATTCTTTGTGAAGAAGAAGTTTTTTCAAATAAACAAACAGTGAAATGAAATTAAATATTGAAAAAAATATTAAGACAATTTAATTTGTTTTAATGTATTTCATAGCTCATTATTATTAATCTTCTTCTTCTTCTTCTTAAATTGGTTAAATTTCTTCTTTTTGTACAATTCTCTTTTTTAATTTAATACCTGATTTCAAATTTTTCCATTTTATTGCTAATAATTCTTTATTTCTAGCTAATAATTCGTCTTATTCATTTTAGGATTATTGAATATTCTATTTCCAATCAATAAATTCATTTGATAATTCCAATAATTATTTACTTACATCAATACCTTTTTGAATTTAGATTTCAAGTTAAGAAAGTTTATCTAATAATTAATTACAAAAATGAAGATCTATTGAATCAATTGCTTAATGTCTATAATTTAAAATATTTCTAAATATAAAATAAAAATAATACTCTTATAATGCAAAGGTCTCTTTGATATTAACTTCAAATATTTTTTAATTTTTATTCAAATTTTTGTAAATCTCACGAAGATTCAATTTATAAAATTGTTAAAATTTGACAATCCAAGATTATTATTAAAATAAGGGGTAAGATCTAATTAAATATTTTGATTTAGCTATAATTTATTTATGTTTCATCCATTTTTTGAGTAAGTTTATTCCATTCTTTTTTAAAGAATCAGCTTCGATCTAATAATTTTCCCAGTTCGATAAACATTTATTATAAATTTATTCCAGCTCTTTTTATTATTTTGTATTGATTATTTCTAGTTCTGTTATTTATAAATCAAAATATTAATGTATATACATTGATTTAAATTGTTTTATATACTCTTGTTATCTTCCTTATAAATCTTTTGTTAAAATTAATTTAATTTTTTGATAAAATTTATATTTAGAGTCAAATTGAATTATTTAAGATATTTAGTCTATTACATTTTTTGTTAAAATGGGTAGATTGATTATGAAAATAATAAGTAATAAATTACCATGAAATTCATAATGTTCAGAATTACAATTATCAAGAAATTATCCTAATAGATCCAAATAGTCAGTTAGGATATCATGATTTTATATTTTATAAATAGGTATCTCAATCTTTTGATCTTATACTCCTTTTATGAATTCCACATATAAGCAAGGTATCAACAATTTTTATTTCTTTTCTTCTAAAATTGAAATTAGAATTGCTAAACCTACACGAATCAAGTGATATTGCCATTCATCTAGGTATAATTTATTCTAGAGATCTTAACTGAATTCATTAAAACAATCAAACATGTCTTCAGTTATATTGTATTCTTAACATTCTAAGAACTCCATATATTTTATATAGGGACTAAAAACTTGAGGTTTATTTAATTGTTATAATGTAAAAATAGCTATTGGAAGCTCATCGATGTAATTTAATAAATTAACGGCTAGAACAATTTTTTGATGGTTAAGTTTTTCTTTCGGTTTTTAAAGAAGAGAAATGCTTTCATTTCTTAATAAATTTTTTATTTAAGTAGGTAAATTTTTAGTTCTAATGTTAGTTTTAATTAATATCTTGAAAAAATCTAATTAATGAATTTATTTTATTTAATTTAGAATTGAAGATGCATGTTTCTCAATTTCCAAATTTCTAATACCTGAATCACAGAAGTTTTTAAATTTTAAGATATTCACTTATTTAGGATAAAATATCAAAGGTAATATATTTTTTTATTTTTACTCTAAAAAGTATAATTGTGTGAATTATGGTAAAAAAGTTCCAATATATTAATTTTGAGGAAATTATTTATTTTGATTAGTATAAATAGAGTAATAATTCAATATTTTTTCTGATAAATTATAAAATAGATCATTTAATGTCTGAATAAATGATTTATTTATAGCCTTCATAACAACATGATATGGTGTTAATATATACTCAAATCCGATATCAATAAATTTTATTTATTATTATTATTATTAAACATTTTGATTATCCTTCTATTTTTCTTTTGATGCTTAATGTAAATATTGTACCAAATCTGAAGTTAAATATACAAGCGAAAATTAAGAATAATGATTCATGATCTCTCCTTGAGGTTAAGAAAATTAATAGAGGAATGAGAATGAATCGAAAATATTAGAATTTGATGAAAATAATTGAATCTGATTTAGAAAATAAATTTAAATTTCTATAATTTTTGTAATATCTAGTATTTTGTTATTTTTTTATGATACCATTTATTTTAAAATTAAATGAGTTAAAATTATGGTTTCTATTTACTTTAATTACTAAGTGTAGGTTAAATTCAAATTTTATAAATTGCTATTCACTATGATTTCTTTTATGGTATCCTAATTTAATTTTTAATTATTTTTGAAGTATTAAATAGTAGGCTAAAATATAGGATTGAAGTTTAATTATTAGAATTAAAGAGCTTCTTAAATTTAGTTAAAATATTAATATTTATTTAAAATAAATTCTTCCTCTTCACTAATTGTCTTATTTTATCTATTTTCTTTAATTTTTTACATAATTATTATAATATCTTTGAAACTATTAAAGGATTTACATAAATTTAATGCATGCTCATAATTTAATTGATAAATGACTGTTTTCCAAAAGCCTAAACCAATCAATTCTTTATAGCAATTAATTCCAAAACTATTAGTTACATTAAATTGTTCTTCATATTTAAATTATAAAAATTAAGGATTTATAGATTCCAATATATTATTAACAGCTAATTAAGATACTGCTGCTTATTCTAATATTTATTTTCTATATAGTTTATTTGCAATAATCTAAAGATTATTTTTCAAGGAACTTCTTGTTAAAGGTGTATAAAGTGATGTTAAGGAAACCAAATATCTACCTACATGTTAGGCTAATTTAAATTAGTTACAAACAAAAATGCATAATTTATAGCTTTTAAATTATTCCAATAGATCTAGAATTAAATAAATAGTATCTATTTCTATATTATCTAAATCATATAAGAAGTTAATCATATAATCAAATTCTTTTTCTTCACCTGTTCTATTAGATAATAAAGTAGCTTTATGTTATTATTTTTCTATATGAGTTTTAAATTCATCAGAAAAGTATTAAAACTTTTAAATTAATTATTGCAAAACATTATTTTTAATAAAGATATTTGATTTTGACTTTAATAAAGATACATTTGAAGGTTAATTCATTAATAAAACATTTGAAAATTGTGATTCAACACTAGATGAGGCAATAGATTTTATTAATGTTTATTTATTGCTTTTTAACCATTCATCTTCAGGATCAAAAATTGATAGATGTTCGAATGATTCTTCATTTTAAACAACAAAAGATTCTGAATCATCTAATTCAATAATTTATTGTTTTTCTTATTAAATAATATTTATTTACGAACTTTCATTATCTTTTGAATCTTAAACTTCTTAAATTTGTTTAGATTCATTTATTTATGAATTTTCAATTTGGAAACTTTAAGATTAATCATTATTATTTTCTTATTCTATTGATCTCTCATCAATTAAATTTTGTTATTGTTATTGTTATTCTATTTCTTTTTCTTCTTATTCAATTTAATCAGTCATTTCTTATAGAAAACTTGGAAAGAATTTATTTAAAAAAGCCATTCTTTCTTCGATTGTAAATTCATTTTTATGTTAATTTAATAATTCAATAATTCTGTCCCAATTATTAGCTTTCTTATAACAATCTAGAGCTCTTCTAATATCATTAATTTAATAAAATAAATCTGCTGCTTCATCAAAATATTCTGCAAAATATGCAGATTCTGCTGTTTCACTCTTAAGATCAGTTTATTTATATAATTCATAAGCTTTACCATATTCTTTTCCTGAAAAATAACATTATGCTGCTCTTAAAGGAATATTAATTTTCTCAAATAATTTAGCAGCCTAAATATAATTTGTATAATTTTCATTAAAAATGTTGGCTTAAGTAGCTAAAAAATATGCAGTAGATTTTATTGATAATTCTTCATCACCAGAAAATCTAAAACACTTAGCTGCTTAATCATAATTATTAAGTCTAAACATTTTATATCCTTATTTTTTCCAATTAGCTTTGTTATCTATTGTATGATCAAGAATAAATTATGTGTCAGAAACTTTTATATTCTTTTTCTAAATAACTTCAACAACATCTAATTTCTCCCAAAGAGATTGTATTATTTATCTCTTTTATATAGATTAATCAAAAATTATTAATCTTTTCTTAGGTCTTGTTATAGCAACATATAGTTATTTTAAATCTTAACATAATGACATATATTCTTAAAATTTATCTACATTTTATTTAAACCTTCCTGTACTTTTTAATTTAATTTATTTTATTCCAACTAATTTTTTTTAATTATCATAATCTGATACTATTATATCAGTTGAATGAACTATGAAATTAATATATATAAATAATACTTGTTTTAAAGTTATTTAATTATTCTTCAGTCATATAGATCTATGAGATTTCCAATTCATTTAAAGATTTCCAATCTTCAATAGTTATTGTGCAATCATTAAAGAAATTATACAAAATTACATCCTCAAATTCAAGACCTTTAGCTTCATATATTGTTAAAACTAATGCATTTTATAATTCTTAAGGTAATTTTTCTTTAGATTCTTAATCTTTAACAATAACAGCTTAATTACATCCAAATTCAACTACCTTTCTTTCATTTGTAAAAAACTCTTAAATATATGATAATAAATCTAAACAATCTTCTGTTTATAATATAATTGGTTTAGGACCAGATAAATCAGAAATTTCTTTCATTAATTTATCTATTTTATAAGGAAAGAAAATTTCTAAAATTCTGATTACAGAATTAGCTAATTAAAGAATTTAATTATGTGATCTAAAATTAATATTTAGATCAAATAAGGTTAGATTTGATTCTCTTCTTTTCTATCGTCCTCTGAAATTTGATATACAATGTTAAACTTCAAAAAACTTAAATCCAATTCCTTTAGCAATATTTTATGCATTATCTCCACAACAAAATAATCCGAATTCAGCCATTCTATCTAATAATACTAAAGTAGCTCTAGGTACATCTTATAATTCATCTAACATTAAATAATGAACACTTTCTATTACATCATTACCTTAAGTTAATTCATAATTAATATGATTTACAATATCTAACAAATCATAATAACCATAACTTTATTTTAATCTTTCATAAGTTTAGAATGCTTTATAAAGTAATTTTGTTTAAACTTCTGATAAAACTCTATAATAATAAGAATAATTCTCAAAATTCATATATTTTTCAGGATATTCATGTGAAGTTTCATGACCTTTTATTTTTGTGCAAATTTCACTCCATATCAAAGTAGGATCAAAAGTTGAAACATCAATATATTCTTTTTTCAATTCCCTAACAATTTTAGGCCAAAATACTCTCTCAAATACATCCAAAGTAACTTCTTACATATTTGTTTCAATAAAATCTTAATTATCCATTAATCTAATATGTTAATGAAGAAGATCTTCATTAAATGCCTATTTATCTTGAGTTTAATCCAAAGTCATAAGTCCAGAAGATTCATTATGCCATTATGATAATTTATTTTAATATCCACCTTATATTTTAAAAAATGAATTAAGAAGTGAAGAATCAATAAGAGCTAACAATTTTCTTAAAGTTAAGAATACTGGATATTATTAAATTTCACTGAATTTATTAAATTTTCCCATTTCCTTTTCGAATTCATCAATTTCTCTATCTTCTAACTCATTTTCTTCTTCTTATTAATTTTTATTATCATTCTCTTCATCATTTTATTATAGTGCCTCAATTATTTAAAAAGTGCTTTATTCAAAGTCAATATTTTATTAATCAACATTTTCCTATTATTTTTATTTTTATCTTTATCTTTTAGAATTTATAGTATTTTAGATATTATTTACTAATTAATCATATAATCTTTTAACTTGACAAGCTAATAATGGACTTGCAGTTACAAATATTGTTTTCAATTAAGTATCTTAATCTTATTATTATAATTAAATATCAGATGAAGTATTTTTTATTTAATTTAGTTTAATTCTTAATTTATACAAAATATCAGTAGAAAACAATTTTAATAAAGCACATGTAGTCTTACCTGTTCCACTTCTTCCAATTACTAAAGCATCTTCTTCATGTGAAATTATTTTTTATTATTATTATGTTAGTTTTACTTTAAAATTTGGAATATTTTTTATTATTGTTAATAATTATTATGATGAAGGTAATTTACAATATTTTTTTATTTAATAATTATTTGTTCTAATCTCTTCAATTTATTATAATTTTTTATAATACTTATTTTCATCTTCTAAAGTCATCCATAAATTCAATTTTTAATTATAACTGTATTAATTCCCTTAACAAATTAATGGTTTAAACATTCTTGGACCTATAATTAAATTATCAATTTAAGGGGTTTCTCCAATTCTTTAATATTTTGTTCTTTTTTTATCAAAACTAGATTCTTGTATATATTTCATGTCAGTAAAAAAATTTGGTTTGCTTTATTATGCTTTTAGATATTTTTCATATTGTGACAAATCATTCTTATTTTTTTTATCAACTATATCAACAAAAATCATTTCATGGACATATTCAAATTAAATTGGATGCTCTGAATCATTCATGATTGGATATTTTTTTGGAAATATTTAAAATTATATAATCTCTCTCTTTTCAAGTTTCAATTCTAATTCAAAATCATATTAATATGGAAATTTTATACTACCAACTTAAAGAGGTCGTATAGAAAACCATAATTAATTTAATGTATTAAATTTTCCCTAAACTAAGACTTTGATTACAAATAAAACTCGTATTAAATCGTCATCTTTTAATAAAGCTAATTTTTATTGAAATTATTCTAACTTTAAATAGGAAAAATTTACTTGAAAAAGATAAATCCCAAATCCTTTATGAAAAGAAAGTATTTAGAGGTATTTTTGAGAGATATTTATTTAATTCTTCCTATATATTTAATGTTATTCCCATCAAGCGAAAATCATTTTATTCTGTAAATATTTAGATATATTTTAAAATGATGTTCTTTATTGTGAATGATAAGACAAATTATTCATTAAAACTATTAATTATAGGATTTATAGTTGCTTAGAAATCTGTTAGCTCTTTTTTATATTGTTTCATTATCGCCTAAGTTAAATTCATTTATTGCATAAGGTAAGTGATATATTTATTCTTTAATAATAATAATTAAATAAATAAAAATATCAATTAAAAAGGTACAGACTTTATTTAAATGTTTTGTTATGAGGAAATATAAAAAAAAAGACTTTCTTTCTTACAATTATATAACTCAAATATCTTTTATTTCATTAGAAATAAATACAGGGAATTACATTTCATTAGTATAATATAATTGTGATAAATATAAAAAAGTGTTAACTAGCAATATTATTTAGTTTGTTAAAAGATAATAGTTCTGCTGGAAGTAACTCTTTAAAATCAATTATTGCTATTTATAGGTTTTTTGAAAACAATTTATTTTTTATTATTTATTTTTTTCTTTTTCTTATTAATTTTCAAAATAATTAATAACTTCATTATCAGATTTGATAGAAAAAAAATAAGTTAATTAATTCATTTGAATTAGAATTTTCATCCTATTTTCTAGATACTTGAGAATGTTGTCAATTTACTTGAAAAACAGAATTGGAAATATCTTGATAATTGATAGTTGTACATCCTCCTTTTTATGACCTTGAAAAATAATTTTGATTATCTATATGTCATATTTTTGAATGATATATCATATTCTCTATTTCTATAAATAAATATCAATAATTATAATTAAGTTCATTTTATTATTAATATTTCTGTTATATATATCATTATAATATTAAAATTATATTTTTTTATTTTTTATGATGATCATTTTATTAGGTTAACTTTGCTTTTCAAAGTTTATGTACATATATCATTGAATATTATTTTTAATTGAGATTATGAGAAATATTGCAATCAAATATTAAATTATTATATAAAGATATAATAATCTATTCTTTATTAGATTATATTTTGCTTCATCTTTTTTTATAAGTAATCTTACCAATTTTATCAGAAAAAAATGATTAAAGTTCAATAACACAAATAATAATTTATTATAAATTTTTTTATGATTATTTTCTTTACCAAATATGTTAACCAATAAAAAAATAAGAATGTATAAAAGTGTAGATTAATAAATCAAAATAATGATTCTTTTTATTCAAAATTAATTATGTTCCATTTAATCCAAGAAAAATATTTTTGTATATGTCGTTTATAATATTACTATATAAATTTATATCAACAAAACTTGTGTATATATAGTGTTAATACATATAGAAAGGCCAAAAGAATAATGAAAAGCAAAAAATTTAGGTGAATTATAATATTGAATATTACAATTTTATCCGTTTTTATTAAGTAAATAGTAGTAATAAATAAATAACAATTAATAAAATGATGAGTTATTGTTCTCTTCATTTACTTATATACCTAACTATTCAATATGAATTCTAAGGCTTGGACCCTCAAAATTAGGAATATTAACAAATAATATTGTTGAAAAATGATGATTTAACAATTAATGATTTTTTAGTCTATGGTTTGTGGTCAAAATATAATCCACTTAGCATTATCAAATAGATAGGCCCAGTAGGAATGTTTGAAAGCGATTGTTTTTAACTTCACAATGCTATATCTCTTCAAAATAAAAACTTAAATCTAATTTACTATGATTGTTTGAATTATCAAACAAAAACGATTTCAAAAGAAATTTAATACATAACTAGGAGAAATGAGCAATATAAGTTGAACACAAAGATTGATGTTTTTGAATATGAAAATATTTGGTATTTCTTTGGAATTTTTCAATAACCAAAACAAAATAAGTTAGAAATTCTTATTTAATCAATATCAAAAATAATACTTCACAAGGTTTTACAAATATAATACCCATTTTCAGATTTGGAATTACAATTAACTTTTGGTGGAAGTTTGATTGTAGGTTATTCAAAAATAGATATGATTAAAGAAGGAACAAAATTTTCTTATTTTCCTGGATCCATTATAATTGGTGAATATAGTATTGAATAAAGATAAGGAAAATTTGATATAGAAACTTATGCAATGTCTATTTTAGGCAGTCAAGCTTATTGTTAATGTTTATAGAATGAAAATAGTTAAATTCCTGATTTTGATTTGAAATAACTAAATGAAAATATATATTTATCTGAGAATTTGAATTGTGATTATTTTTTTTTATAGGGATGGATTAAAATAACAGAGATAGTTAGTTCTTAAGATGAATTCGTTTATTAGCTTATTAAACTTACCTCTAATTTTGAGAATTTAGAGTTATCTAATTAAAATCTATCTCCTTTCTAATTATTTTACAAAATATCAAATAAATAACATTAAATCATAATAAGTACTTATAGCTATACATTTCCTAGTGTTACTTTAGATTTTTCAGATAATCCTTTTCTTATAGTTAAAGAATTTAATATTTAAAATGAACTATCTTTATGGCACAAACTGGAAGTTCAAAATAAAGAAAATAAGATTGATATTTAAATTAGCTTTTTTGAAGATGGAAATTAATTTTCTTCTTTTATTCATAGTTTTGATGTGTTTTTATTTAAACAAAATTAATTTAAATTACAATATGGTAATATTCTATAAGATCCTGTTAATTATATTAATTTTGAACTTAGAAGTTTTGTATTTAAAAATTGTAATCAAGATTAAGAATTTTAATACTGTCATTACACCTGTAAAACTTGTAATGAATACTCTGATGAAAGTTGTTTAACTTGTTTTGATGATTCTCAACGATTTTATTAATTGAAAAGCAAATCTTGTGTTTGTCCTTATGACAGTATTGATGTTGTAAGTTGTTATTCATTAAAAGATTCTTCATTTGAATTGATTGATGATAAACGTATAAGAAATTAATGCTAACATGGTTATTTTGAATATGAATAAGAATGCTTAAGATGGTATTATAATAAATATAATATTTTAGTCCTTCGATTATTCGGAAAGATTTTATAACTTGTTTAGAATGTGTTTAGAAACCAAAGAACTGGATTCAATATCCTGTTTGTTATTATGATCTATACACTAGCTTAGATGGAAGAGTGTAAGAAACAAAAGATAATATAGATTTTAATTATTTTGTTTATGATGGTATAGATTTGTCATATACTATTCTTGAGTCAAGTAATGAAGTAAAATTTACTAATTGGTTAATTGGTTATTAAATTAAAATTTTAGGATTCAAACATTTTTGTCATTTTGAATCATCAGAATGTTATTAATGTAAAATAGTAGGATGTGAAAGATGCTATTTTTCTATACAAGGTTAAAAATGCGTTTAATGTTATTAAGGATACTAATTGGCTGGTGATATTTGTATATAAGCAATTTATTTAAGCACTTCTTTAGTTTGCATTTCTCCATATTATATTACATCTACTAAAATTTGTAAACTTTGCCCAATAAAAAATTGCAAATATTGCTTTGAATATTTAGATTCTGATTTATATAAATGTACACTTTATAAAGATTTTGATAAATTTGAAGAAGAGAGTATAAAAGTTGGTTGTGCTTTATGTGAGAATAATTATTCTTTTGATTTTACTTTGAATGTTTGTAAATAAATAGAACCTTAGATATAAAATTGTTAAAGATCTTTTATAAATCTAGAAGGATAAGAAATTTGCACATTATCCTCAATTAATGATTTTAGTATTTCTCCTCAAGTATCAAATTGTGAGAAATACTATTCAAACTGTTTATAATGTATTTTACTTCCAGATTAAAAGATATTATGTCTCATTTGTGAACCTGGTTATACAAATTCATAATCTTGGGGAGGATGTTATTAAAATCCAGAGCCTAACGCTAATATAGTAATAGAAGGTGAATTTGAATTACAAAATTCTTGGATTTGGTTAGTCTAAAGTTTTATTCTGTAGTTTTTACCAAATCAATATTACTATTTATGATACTCATATAACTATTGATCCTTACTTATAAAAACCAAAATATTGCTTTACTTAAAATTGTTTTACTCATTTTAAATTAACATTAACTTAAAGTGATTATTACTAATGTTTTTTTGCCTATTTTCTTAATGAAATCGATATAAATGAATTGTAAATTGCCTATTGTAATATGATTGGAGTAGATTAGATAACTATAGACTTATTTTTAAATAATTTTTCTGAAGAATTTTAATGTGTGTTTAATTTCTATCCTCTTTTAGAAACAAATTTAAAAAATAGAATTGCAAGTCTTTAATTTGTTAGATTAAATTTAGCTTCTAATTCACTTAAAAGCCTATTTGATCTAAGAAGCTTTCCTTTTGAATTTCAGAATTATGACCAAATTTAAATTTCATAAATTAGATTTACTAATATTTAGAATTTTATTTTGGTGAATAAAAAAAAAAAAATAGATTTAGATTTAATTAATATGAGAATTGAAGATAGCAGTTTTTCAGGAAGTTCTATTTTTTAAACAGAATTTTTTGGTTAAATAACTTTTATAAATGTTACACTATTAAATTTAAATCTTTAAAATAATTCATTAATCAATTTAGAATTATCCAAATTTAATGGTGTTATTGAAATTGATTCTCTAACAATATAAAATTGTGTTCTAAACAACACTAACCTTTTCATTTTAGCTAATAACAAAATTACTATGTTTGCAAAAAGAATTATTATTGATGGATGTCAAGTTTACAATTCCTCTTTTTTTATGTTTTATTAAAACAACGATCATTTTAAAAATATGATACATTTTGAAAACATAATTATACAGAAAACTTTTTTTTAAACATCATATTTTATTAATTGTTTTAATAGTTTTAAGTTAATTATTCATGAATTTTACTTCCATGAAAATGATGTAAGAATGTCAAAAATAATCTCTTTTGACTATTAATTAGAATTATACTAAAGTTAAACTAATTTTAACAAATTTATTTAATCCTAATTTACTACAACAACTAGTATATTAAGATAAGAAAATGTAATTTGTATCCTTGACAATTATTAATGTAAATAAAATTATCTATAAGAATCACTTCTATTCTAGATATTTTCAATCTATACTAATAATTATGTAGTCTTTAACATTACTAATATAGAAATAACAGATATTAATGGACCTGAAAAAATAGGTACAAATTAACTTAAATTATTTAAAATTCATGGTAATTAACTATTTATTAAGAATGCAAAGATGGAGAAACTAATGAATAGTATTGCTTTTTTCATTTAAGAAAATTAAGAAATACTTATAGAAAATGTTGTATTTGAAAACAGATAGGATATGCTTAAGATACCTTTATCTATGAAATGTATGGATAAATTTGAAAAAAAGAGCACTTAATTTCTATAGATAGTTGGCTTTTCAAATTTAGTAATTAAAAATGTAGAAATTAAAAGATAATTAAGCTTTGAATATTCTTTGATTGAAGTAAGTTTTGGAAGATAATATTTTAATTATTCTTTTGGCAGAATATTACTATAAAATCTCTCATTTGAAGGTAATATAATGCTTAAAATAAAATAAGTTGATTTATATTCCTTATTATCTATTTATTCTTCTGATGAAATTAAGATTTTAATCAATAATATAACATTTAAACAAAATATACTTCACCAATCAGTAAATGATCCTTTACAAACTTCCTCTGGATTAATGTCAATTTAAACATTATTAAGTTCCTTAGAAATTAATAATCTATTTTGTTATTAGAATGCTTTAACAAATTCATCAAATTCATTTATTTAATTAACTTCTACCGAAATCAATATAACTAATTATACATTGATAAGCCATAATATGTTTTCTAAAGATGTATGGGCAAGATTTTTTGATTTTTAAGTTGATTTAGATGAAGATTAAGAAAATATTAATTTAATCATATAAAATTCTATTACAATCTTAAATAAAGGAGGAGGAGGATAAATAGTGGCTGGTAAATTTTCATGTATAAATTGTTATTTTGAAAAGATTCTGGCTTATCAAAGTGCTATTTTTGATATTTAAACATATTTTGAAGGATTAATTATATTAAGAAATTTAACAGCAAAATAAATTTAAACTAATTTAAAATAAACTGGAAGTGGATGCATTACAATTTATTCTTAATATAGTATTTTAAATTTAAGTATAATTGGGTCATTTTTTTCTGATATTTTTAATAGATTTTCCTCTTCTATACTCACTATTTAACCATCACTTCAATAAAATACTATAATTCTAAATAAAATTGATATTTAAAATTGCATTTCTTTAATGAATCAATTTTTTAGTTTTTAATTTAGTTCCTTGACTTACAAAGCCAATTATGTGGAAATCATAGATTTAAAAGCCAGAATTACTGAAGATGTTTACATTAAATACTTAACGTAAATTGGAATTATTACTACAACAGAAATGTAATTAATTATGAGTAATAGCAATGCAGTTATTTATGTTGATGAAAGTAAAATTACAATAAAAAAAATATTTTTTGAAGGAATTTATTTATCGCCTATTTTTGTATTCAATAATCCTCTAATATTAAAAATGAGCAATTGCTAGATTTATTAAATTTAAATGTTTAATCCATCTAATTTGATTTAAATATTTTAAAAAAAAGAAATAGAATCATAAATTTAATTTGATTCAGTAGGTATAATAAAAAGTTCAGCATTCTTATTAAAATCTGGCTTAACCCTTAAATTCTCAGAAGTTGATTATAGCATTACAGGATGTAAATTATATAAAAATTCTACTTAGAAATATTATTAAATATCAATAAGCGATATTCTAAAAGAATTTAAGAATTATGCTCAAAAATCTAATTCTTTAATTTATATTTCAATGAAATCAAATAATCATTCCGTAGCTTTTTCAAACATCAATATCTAAAAAAATAATTGCACATATTGTTCGAGTGGTATCGTTTTTTTTGAGATAGACAATTTATAATCATTAAGGATTCGCAATTTTTTTTGTATTTAAAATCAGATAGCAGAATATGGTTGTATCCATATCCTTTCAAACAATTAGATTTATCCAAAAATTTCAATAAAAACCTCAAATTTTATTAATAATAAAGGAGGATAAGGGGTAGCCTTAATGGCAGATTATTCATTATTATAATTAGATTTTTGTAAAATTCTTTACAATTAAGCAAATTTCTTTGGTGGTGGAATTTATTTATCAGCTATTAATAATGATTTTAAAATAAAAAAATCAATAATTTTATTCAATAATGCAAGAGAAGGAGGCGGAGTTTTTTTAAATGGAGATAATCGTCTAAATGCAAAAAACTTCATTTAATCGTATATACTCTAAAATAAAGCTACTCTCTATGGAAATGATGTTGTAGAAGCTCCTGATCACATTGCACTTTTTATTAATGGAAAAGAAATGATTTCATAGCCATATATTCTAAATAATACACAAACTAATATTTTAAATATTAAGCCATATAAAATTATTGAGTAAGGTAATTTATTAATAACAAATGTTTTAATGTTACCAAGTAATTAATAAATTTATAGCTATTTAATTTATTAACCGAAATATTTAGGGTATTTGAATTATATTTCTGATTTTACTTTATATTTTAAAAATAGCAGAAATGAATGGCTTTAAAATATATTTAATTCTACATGCATTGTTAGCTAATTGAGAATGTATGGATAGGAATTTACCAATCTTGATTAACCATAAGAAAAAGCAAACATTAAATTCGATATTCAAAATAACAATTTTAATTTAGGTTAGATTTCATTTACTTTAAATCCATATTAACAATAAAGTGGAAAATCTTTAATTTATTTGAGTTGTAAATTAGCAAATTCAAATAAGAATTTTGATTATGTAATATAAACAAAAGGTTTAAAATGTTAATTGGGTGAGTTTTTTATAGAAGATGGCTGTTAAATTTGCTAATCTCTTTAAGGTTTTTATTCTGTTACATACAATGCTATTAAATGTTCAGTTTTCGATAAAACTAAATTTTAAAGTATAAGTTCAAATCAATTATAACTCTTAAAAGGTTACTGGAGACCAAATTTTTTATCTGATTCAACTGATTATTGTTTTAAGAATCCTAATTTTTGTATTGGAGGTTGGAAAGTTGGCAATGATTTATGTAGTTTAGGACATATTGGAGGATTGTGTGAAGAATGTGATGTATATAATATTAGAGGAGATGGAGAATTCTTTAAAACTTAAAGTGACAATATGTGTTTAAGTTGTTTTGGTGATTAAGATAGCATATTACCATTTATTATGACATCTTTTTGGTAATATTAAATTTTATTTTTTTTTTAGGGCTTTAATATCCACTATTTTAACTTTGAAAAGTATCAAAGAAACAAATTTATTGTTTACAAAATTCAAACTTAGTTAAAAACATTTTTCAATTATTTTCAAATTAAATTAAGGTATCAAAAATATTTTAATTAGATCTTGAGAGCATATTTTTTAAAATGTTACTAAATTATGTATGGATATACTCTGTAATCTTTACTTTTAACATCACTTTCTCTTTTTCATTTATTTTTGTTAATGAAGCTAGCAATACAACTTATTTTATGGCTAATAATTTAGATTGTTATTTATCTATTTTTAATTAAGAAAGCTTAATTTACTCAAGAATTATTACTATGCTATTTTTAATCTTTTTATAATTCCTTATTATATTAATCTTGTCTCTCATATATTTTTATCTTACTAAATAAAGAATATTTCCTTATGAAACTATTTCAAATACATTAATATATTTATATGTATCTAACTTTGGAGGTTTAATTAAAATGTAATTTATATTTCTTTTATTATTAGGTTTTGCTCAGTCTTGTCAAAACGAGAAATCTCAGCATTGAGTTTTATTTAAGGAGATGTCTCCTTAGAATTTGGATCCTAAATACACCTTTAGTGGATATATGTATTAATTATTCCAGGTTTGGTATTATTTTGTATAGCAATACCTTTTTTTTTATTCATTTTAATGTATAAATTAAAAAGTCAATTTGATACTATTAAACTTAGAAAACATATCTGTTATTTATTTAATGAATATGATAATAGCAATTACTTTTGGGAGTAAATTAAATTAACAAAAAAAACTATTATAATTCTTGTCTTAACTTATTTTGAAACTCAAATTTTTTTGAAAACTTCCTTATTAGGATTATGTTTACTCCTTTATTAATTATTAACTGTCAAACATAAACCATACATCTTAAAAAGTTTAAATCATTTAGACCTAGAATCTGGTTAAATTTGTTCAATAACTATTTTTCTTGCCTCAACAAAATATGTTTGCGAACAAGAAAATAATTTATTTTTTTCTATGATGCTACAAATTATTATTATCATTCTTTGTATCAAATTATGTTATCCTTTTTTGTAAGGAATCCTTATTGTGTATTAGAAAAAATACTAAATTTAAGTACTCAATTTGTTAGATAAATTTTTCTCAAAGATTAAGAAAAATTCTAGTTTATCTAATATTTTCTAATAACTATTGAAAAAATTAGAATTTAAAGAAACAAGAAGGAAAAATAATTTAATTAAATTAAAATTATTATTAACGAATTAAGTCAATATAAGAAAGTATATAAATATTATAAATTTAGATAAATCTCATTAACAACTAAAATAAGTATAGAATCTAAAATAAATTAAGATTTACAATCATAGTCAAAAATGGGTTTAACTAAATTTACAAATTGAAAAGAAATTTATGAAAATTTAATATTAATAATTACCCAAATTAAAATAAAATTTAATATTAATATTTTTTGATTTTTCAAATTAATGGTTAGATTAAAGCTTAAATAATATGATAAAATTTAAGTACAAATTCAAGAGATAATATTAAAATCATCAAGCTAGAGCTTATTTATAAAACCTCAGTACATCCTTTTTTCTAAATTATTCTACAAAAAATATTAATTTTACAATTACTTTTCTTTCTGAAGAATATAATTTAAAATAAATGATAAATAATAAGTATTTTGAAAGCGGTTTTCTTCATCAAATTTTTACAGTGAAAATAAATATGATAAAAATATCTTTCGTTATATTCATAACAAAAACTATGTGTAAAATGAATAACTTTTATTTAATTTTAGATTGAAAAAAGAAATTGAATATATTGAACTTCCTAATTGCATTTCATGTTCTAAATCAAAAAATAGTACTAAATGATTGACTGATCAATTAAAAAAATTTAATACTTCATTATTAAAATAAAATAATCATAGTTATTTATAATAATTATTTAAATAAATATTAGAAGTTTTTTGGTAAACAAAAGACAATAATAAGCGAAAGAGAACAATTTTCATTGTCGCTTAATTCTTATTTGACATTTTATGTTATTTATAAATTTAAATTAAATTTTTATTAATCTATCCTTTATTATTATATTCATATATTTTCTATCCAATTAAATTTTATTTAAAATAATTAAAATAATGTATTTCCAAGTAAATTTGATCGAAAATTTATATAATTAGTTTTATGATTCACAACTATCTGTATTTTAATTTAACATTCTTCAGAGAGTAAGAAAAATAATAGAAGTAAATATAATCAAAAAGGGACACATGTTGGTTATTGTAAAATTCTTTATAAACAGTAATTTGAAGATGAGAGAATTAAAAAAATTCTCATATTTTCCCAATCAGATGTTTAATTGAATCATGAAATAATAAAAATGGTTTCAAAATTATAATTAGTTGGCCTAAAATTTTAAAATAGATAAAATATTTTTTTTGTTTGATACATATGCAGAGGCTATAATTCTTTATATTTATATTTTATGGATCAGCTTTTATAATTATAATCTTTGAAAAGGTTCATTTTTTATAATATAATCATATATATTATATTAATATTATGTAAAACTATTGAAAAATTAAGTATGCAACTTCAAAAATCATCATAAATACATTTACTTTGATTATTTAAAAAGGAATATGAAAAATAAACGAATTTGCGAGGATAACAAATATCATTGTATCAGAAATTAGATCGTATGTAAAAAATTGAAATTGTTTTTTAAGCATATTTAAGAAAGAAAATATTATCCTCTAATGAGAATATAAAAATTAAGATAGTTAGGTGATTTGATATAAATCGAAATGAAATATCGCCAATAGATATTTTTAATTTGTGTTAAATTCAAAGATTTTCAATATTTTGTGAAATGAGGATGGAAAACTTAAAAATGTAGATATTGATTCAATACTCATAATAATATTTGAAGATTGATTTATGGATTTAGAAACAAATAAATTTTCCTCTTTTTTTATAACTATAGAATTGATAATTTTCTTTTTCTTAAAATTTCTTTAATTTTTTTCTTTCTATTCTAATAAAAATGTGACCATTTGTATTTTTGTTTTCATTTTATAATTTAATTAAATTATCCCCATAAAATACAAAACAATTTTTTAAATTTGGTAGAATTCCAGAATTAGAATTAAAGATAAAATTTGAATAAAAAATTACAGAATGAAGAGTTCGTCTAAAAAGCAAGATTTTTTACCAATGAAATCTACAACAATTGTAAACTTAATCAAGGCTTCAGATTATTGGAAAGAATTGAGAAATTTAAGTTCAAACAACAATTAGTAAATTTTATAATTTGCTATCACTATCAGAAAGTTATTTTTTGATTCATTTCTATTTTGAGTTATATTTTAAAAAAAATTTGAGTTCCTAGAATTAAGTAAAATAAATATAACTAAAAATGAATCTTATTTGAAAGCTAAAAGCAAATTATAATTTTATTTAAAATTAATTTTAGATATATTCTATTTTAATCATTATTTAAAACTCAATTTTTTTTAATATCAAACACTGAATTATATGGGCTGAAGAAAATTTTTTTGCATAAATGTTGTTATTTATAATTTTTATTTAAACTCTAATCTATTTTTAATAAAGTGATATTATTGCTAATAAAAATAATAATACTAATATAGTAGCCAAAAGAAGGGTTGAAAAATTTATCTATTTTTTGAACATCAAATTACTAATTTTGGTAGTAAATATATATCCGTAATTAGATTTTCTTTATAAATGATGAAATTTACTGATATTAAAAGCTGGATATTTTGAATTATTGAAAGTTAACATATGAACATATTTTTATTTATAATATTTGATATTTGAAAATTATGAATTGAAGTAAGTCATCTCTTTTTTAATTAAGCATATTTATATATTTATTAAAAGAAAATAAAACAATTATAATTAAACTATATCATTTTAAAAAAATAAATCAAGTGTTAATACGCATTTTTCTTAGTTTTTAGCATCAAAACAAAAAGATAAAAAAATCATAATTAAAAAATGAAGATAATTTTGATAGCATTTTATCTTTTGGCTTTAGCTAGTTCACTTTCGACTGTACCACTTAAATCTATGTATCAATGTTCTTGTGTAAATGCAATGGTTTAGACAGATTGTTTAGGTGAGTATTGTGTATGGGATTCTAATACAAGCAAATGCTCAAATAGAGATTGCACAGTATTTCTAAAAGATGATTGCGAAGGTGTTCCTGATACTTTTAATTGTATTTGGAATTCCACTTCAAATAAATGTGAAAGCTTCAAAAAATGTTCGGATTACACTTTCACATTAGGGAACTCACAAAACTGTAACGAGAAATTGATAAAATGTGAACCTGATCTTGATTCTATTGATTCCAAAGCTGGAACGATAAAGTGTAAAGATAGTACATAAGATGCTTTTCTAAGTATTGATAATTGTAATTATCTTCCATATGATGCATGTTATTGGTTTGTAACTCCAAATGGATAATAATGTCTGTAAAATAAAACCACAGAAAAATGCGAACCTAAAACAATTACAAAATGTTCTGATTATACATCAGATAATTGTAATTTATTAGCTTGTTATTGGAATGGTACTATTTGTACTGAATTGACATGTTCTATCATACCAGAAGATGAATGTTATTGGTTCTATTCTGTTGATCTTAAATCGGTGAATTTCTGTAGTTTGAATGGAAGTAGTTGTGTTGATTTAGATGTCTCAGCTTTGTCATAAACACAATGCTTAGAATCCACATTTTTCACTTATGCATGGAATACAGACTCAAAAAAATGTGAAATATGTGTAACTGATTCAGATTCAAACTCAAATATGATTCTATATGGATCCATCCTCTTGGCCATGATATTATTATAATGAATTTGATATATCAAATAAGAGAATCAACATGTAAACATAAACCATTAATTTAATGATTCTTGAGGCCTAGCAGTTATTTTCTTCATTTCTTATTTTGTTGATTATTCTTCTCTTTTGAGATAGGTTTGAAATATCAAATATATACTTGGAATTCTTTCTTTTTTATCATTCATGATTGCTATGTTAATTTTCTAAAGAAATATAGATATATTTACTTAGTATCAGATAAATCAGATTTTCAATTATATTTTAATTACTCTTAGCTCTGAGGTCAAGTTTATTTATATTTATTGTGGACCAATCAAATTATTTAACATTAATTAGACTAGCTCATTAAGTATCAATCCTACTTCATAAAATAAATATTTAATCAGGATTTGCCTTAATAAATTATAATAAACAGAATTCATTATAATTGTAAAAATTTAATAATTGATTTTAATTTTCTATAAAAATTTCATTAAACCATTTTAAATTTTAAACATTTATTTTATTAAATTATAAAAAATTTCATACATTGCCCAAAACCCTCAATGTCTATATTTTGGGTAAAATTGTTTGTGTCAAACAATGACCACATTAAAAATTTATTTCTATAACATAGAAATAAAAGGAAAGTAAAATGTTTATGTAAAGTTAAATAAAATTTATTGATTCTTCATTGTTATTTTGCTTAAAAATTAATAAAACTAATCTGGATGATAGACAAATTTTAAATAGCCAAAAAATAATCATATTGCATTTTACAATTAATAAAAAAAGGTAATTTTTGTCATTTCTCATCTGTTAGATTACTAAAATTGTAAAAGTGAAAAAATAAAATAATTAAAAAGTTTAAAATACAAACTTGCTAAACTTCGGAAGATGAATAACAAAAATTATAATTTATTAATTTTTGAAAATGAATATAATTCATTTTGCTTAAAAATGAGTTTTGGATCGAAAACACTAAAAGATAATAAAACTAAGATGATCTTATTGTACAGAAAGGAAGTTCAAGTTATAGCTACAATGTCTTTATGTAATGAATAAAATTAAATGATGGTTTGATATGATAATAATGATAAAAATTAGATAAGCAAAAAATTCATTTTCGATTCATTTATTATTTAATTTGAATTGATGAAATAAAAACTTTGGTAATATCTTTTTTTTCATATTTTTTGATTAAAGGGTTTATAATTTTGAAAACTTACTTTTTATTATAAATAATAATATATCACAAATAAGTTTCTAGAATTTATATTAAATTTTCTTTATTGATTGGTTTTTCTAAATAATCTTCCATCCCAACAGATTAAGCTTCATATTTAGTCTACATATCAGTAAAGGCAGAACATGCAACAATTGTAATTTCTGGATTCTAAAGTTTAATTCTTTTAGTAGTTTCTAATCCCCCCATTTAGGGCATATTAATATCCATTAAAATTAATCTATATTAACAATGTTAAGAATTTCTCATTTAAACAAGATTAATTGCTTAAAATCCACTATTTGCTAAATCACTATCATATCCAAGCATCTTAATCATTATTTATAATGGTTTCAAATTTGCTAGTTCATCATCTACTAGAAGTAATTTACAACATTAACATTCAGGGAAATTTAAGGATGGAAACTTTTTACGACCATCTGGGAGATGATTTGGTTTTGGATCTTCTTCTATTGAATGACTTTCTTCTTCAATTACAATTGCATCATCATTCTAAGAATCTGTAGGAAAAAACACCTATTTTGATGATGATTTGGTATATGAACTTTTTTTGTGACTTCGTCTTTTAAATTATGATGGACAACTTTTTGAATTTGATAAACTTGGAGGAGGAGGAAAATTATTGGTTTTTTAGTAAAGAAATACTTTTTTTTCTAATTATTATATTGATTTATTTTCAAATTAACTAGATGGTGACTCTAACAAGCTATATTTCCATACTAAAAACCAAAAAATAGTTCCTTCTCCTTATTTCGATGAAAATTACAAGTATTCTTTATGAGCCTATTTAAATGATGATAGTTGTTTAATTAAATAATTAGAGTTTAATAATCCTAAACCTAATCCTGCAGTTCCTTCTGAGATCTTAAAAGTTAATATTAAATCATTGCTAAGCATTTATTTTATATTTTATGACACATTTTCATTAATACCTATACCTGAATCAATAACTGAAAATTTAATTCTTTTTTCATCATACTTTTCAGCTGTAACATATATTGAACCATTTGAATTTGTATATTTAATAGCATTTTATATTAAATTTTATAAAATCTACTTTATCCTTTGTTCATCTTGTTTAAAATTTATATTAACTTTATTAACCATAAATAAAGATATTTGTTTAGCAAGTGCTTATTAATTAAATAAATGATGTAATTCATTAAATAAACCTTCTGTTTTAACCTCAACAATTTCTAATTAAAATGTCTTACTTCTTAGTTAATGAAAATCTTTTAAATCTTTCACCATATTATTCATTATAACACAACAATTGTAAATAAAATCAAATTGTTCTTTTAAATTAGGAAATTAGGTATAACCATTTTATGAAATCAGAGCAATTTAATTCAATAAAGTTCCAAATTCATGACTAAATGATTAAAATAGTTTATTCATCAAAGCAAAACATGAATTTTTTTTTATAAATTTTGCAAATTCCTTTGTGTCTTCAAATTGTAATTAAATTTTATCTTTTTAAAACTGCATCTTAATTTAATGATACTCCAATTTAATAATATTTGTTTTTATAATCAAAATATCATCAGTTTTTTCAAGAATTAAACATTTGTCTATTAATTAACGTAAGGTGATTGATTTAATCTTTTAATTTAAATTGCGTTGTGTTTATTTATCAACTTTCATAATTTTAATTGAATCTAAAAGGTTAAATTCTGTTATATCATCATTCAATAATAAATCTTTTAATGTGTCTTCCATAGATTTAATTTCTAAATTTTAAATGTCAATTAGAATTGTGTTTTTGCATAACTAAATTAATTCACCTCCTATTGGTATAATATGTTCAATTAAATTTTTTTAATCCTAAAGTTCTCTACTAGTTTGTTTTTCCAATCTTGGCTATTTTGAAGACTTTATAACCCAATAAAAGTATGTAACAAAAATAATTGTAAAAATACTCATAAAATATGATTACACTTCATTTTTTAATGAATAGAAACTTATTATGGATACTTAGACTAAAATAATTTCCTATTACTACTTAAATAAGTGAGTATATGAGCATCCTATCTCTTCTCATCAATTTACAAAAAAAGAGCAAATCCCACAAATGTTTGGAGCAACAAAAATTGATTATTTTATTATGCAATTACACTCATAACATTTATTGCTAATTATCCATAGATATTTAAGTTTTCATTTTTTACCAATTGCATAATTTATAACAAGCTAATACTTATACATATTATGAGCAATATAAAGCTAGATAAAGAAGCTCTTATACATTCTATTATTGCATAAACAATTTATAGAATATATAGGCTATAAAATGCTGCTTTTTGATTATTCATAATTAAATATAATCAAATTATTTTCTAAGTTATTTGGTTCGAATTTGATAATGGCCTCATATTTTAAACTTACTGGTTCAATTTAAACTTGATATAATGTAGAAGAACACTTTGGCAAATTCATTTGTGCTATTTAAAAAAAAACTAAGAAGTAATTATAAAAAGTTCAACAAGTATTTTAAAGAATATGAAATAAATTTAGATTATTATTTTTATTGTGTATGAAAATTAATAAAGATTTAATGTATTTATGATTTTAAGAGTATCATTGTTAAAATTAAATAAGTATTTTTTATAATTCTATTACATTCACTGGTTTATTTAAGAAATAGCTCATCCCAATATCATAACATCGTTATTTTGTATCACTATCTGTATAAGCAGTACATGCAATAATTTTAATTTGATTACCATAAAGAGATATTAAATTTTTACTTGTTTCGTATCCATTCATTAAAGGCATATTGATATCCATAAAAATACCTTAATAAGCATATTTATTTTATTCCATTTATTTTAAACATTCAATTCCATTAAAAACATAATCAGAGTCTATATTCATTCTCTTTAAAATCAATGATAATCCTAAGATATTAATCATTTCATCATCTACAATTAAAAATTTCAATGTTTATTTTATATTTCTATTCAAAGTAGTAGTTCTTGTTTTTCTTTCTATTGAATTAACTTCCTCATTTATCAAACTTTCTGTATTTTCTTTTATTGGATCAATTAATCCTTTATAAGACAATACTTTTGGCATCGAATTCTATGATACTCTACTGCCCATTCTACTTAATCTTCTTCCAGCATTTTTATCTATTTAAGTTTATTTTAAATCAATATATGAATATTTATTAATTTTTTAGATTCCCAATCCATTTAAACTGGAAGTAGGCAATATATTATTAGCTACCATAAACCAAAAAGTTGTTCCTACTTCATTAATTTTAAACTATAGGCCACTTTATTAATTAGATAAATGCAAACACAATTTATTTGCTAAATAACATCCTAATCCAAATCCTGCTGTATTTGCAGAAATATGATGTTCACTTTTAAAATCTTATTTTAGCATTTCTCTTAAATTTTATTCATCATCTTTACTCATTCCAATCCCAGTATCAGATACAGAAAATTAAATATTTTCTTCATTAATTTAAATTGCTGAAATTATTATAGAACCATTTATTGTAAATTTTTATGCATTACATATTAAATGAATCAATATTTACTTAATTCTCCTTTAATCAGATATTATTTACCAACCATCTGGAATATGATTTTAATATTCTAATTATAATTATTTCTATCTACATTACTCTTGAAATAATGTTATTACTGATTCTAAAATTGTACAAATATCTAACTATTCCAATTATAATTTAAATTTTCTACCAAGAATATCATTATAATCTACCATGTCTAATATAAAATTATGCATTATTTCACATGTATTTTTTATTGAATAATAATACTATTGAGAAGGATATTTATCTATTGCAACTTATGCAATTGCTAATATAAAATTTAATAAAGTTCCAAATTCATGAGAAATTGTTGTAAATAATTATTTCATTATTTAATACAAATATTATCTCTTAAGATAATCATCTCTCTCTTTACTATCTTAAAATGTAATATTTATGAAATCAGTATTCTCTTCCTAATTTATCTATATTATATGATCTGGCAATATATCACAATCTAATATCCTTATTGAAGTCATCTTTTTTAATTTAAACTGACTTAGTAATTCAAATAAATCAATATTTTTTAACTTTAAGTCTAATTATGATTTACTAGAAAAGTCAACTTTTTTTACTTTTAAAGAATTATTATTCAATTTTCTTCTTATGTATTCATTCATGTAAATACAATTTAAATTTTTTTTATCAATCAACATAAATCCTTAATTGTCTATCTATCTTGGACTTTAGGATTTTGTTGTGCTTAAATATTAATTATTAAAATTATCTTATTTGTTTTTATATTATTTATGTATTTGTATTAACAATAATCCTAATGCAAAAATTGAATTGCGAAAATAGTCAACCAAAGTATTTGATACATTAATTATAACTAAAGTACTAATTCCTTTGTTACAGTAAACTCTTTACCTAAAAGTGTCAAATTTTTAAACATTAGTTAATTCTCTCTCTTATTGTCATTCATTAGTAGTAAATAAACAATATTGTAAGGGATTAATTATTTATTATAGACTGTTATCAGACTAATTTAAATGAATATAATCGTTGTTTCATACATTTGAAAAAATTTATTTCTTTCAAATTTTATACTGCCTAATTAAGTGCAAATTAATCCTATGTTGATGCATATTGATGCCAGATTTGAAGCATCAAAACAACTAATAATATAAAGTAAGAACATGGTGATCTTAATTTATAACATTAAATAATTAATATCATTTTTACTCTTTTTTCTGTTTATTATTCATAATTGATATACTTTTTTATCAAGGTTTTAAGCTTATGTATTTATAACTGCTTAAAGTTCTCTCCTTATTTGTTTAAAAATTATATTCCAGTTTAAAAAAATCTAAAAGGAATTCTTAAATTTTTATTGCAAATTTTTGGTTAAAAAATTTATTCTTACAATTTCTATTTCTATAATTCCATCTTCTCATTATATGAAACTTATAAGAAGAATTTTTCTTATTTAAAATAATATATACTTTATTCACTCATGATTTTCATTGAAATTTTTAATAAAACTTTAATTTCAAAAAAATTAAACTATAAAATAGATCAATTATCAATAAGAGCATTACTTTGAGTTTCTTGATTTTTGGAAACTTTAAGATTTAGTAGAATAGTAAAGACAATGGCAAATCTAAAATTTCGCAATAAATTTTGAAAATGATACCAAAAATATCAATATCTCAGTATTTTTTATTAAATTTATTAAGTAGGATTAAAGTGAGAAACAAGATTTAAATCAATTTAAAATAAATATTATTGATTCTATCATTTATTTGTAATTGAGGTTTTATAAAAAATCAAACAATCAATTGATAGTGAAAAAGAATTGTAAGGATGAAGAAATATTTTATTGATAAATAAAAATTAATTATTCAAAAAATTATTTCTTAAAACTTAGAATTTTCTGATTTGCTTACACATATTCTAAGTAAATTTAATATCCGAAAAATTTGATATCTAGATGTTGGATTTTATTTGCTTTATATAAAATGATTTTTCAAATTAGAAATTCTGATATTTAATTATAATGTACTTAAAAACAAATTGATTTGAATTTTTTAAAGAAAGCTTCGATAATTAGAAAATTCAAAAATGACTTTAAATAAGGTTTTGTATAATTATTCTGATTTGATTCATTAATAAAATACAATAAGGAGGATTTTTAAGATAATGAATTTATAAATTATATAACTTATCATTTAATGGCTGATAAAGATGGCTTTTTGAGTGACGATGTATTTAGTGATGCTAATTAAGGGTTCTTTTACGGATAGAAAAAAATAAAACAAAGTTGTCCTAAATCAAATGGTTGAATTGTGGAAGGAAAATGAAGAATTTAATAAATCAGAGTATATAACGAATGGAGTTTCACATTAATAAAATGATTTCTAAGAAGAATTAGATGAAGAATATGAATAAGAATATAAAGGAGTGAATGTACCAGAACAGATAAATATAGATTTAATTCATATGAATTCTTTATAGAAGGCATATATATATAAAGATAAGTATATAATCAGCTATTAAAGTAGCTAAGATATCCGATGTTGCACATAAGAAAATAAATACTAATATTAATCAGAACTATTTCATACATGGCTTTGAAGATTTCAAAACACTAAATATTTGAGGCATTAACTCTAGTAGTAATAATAATAAATTCAATATTGCTTTCAATATAATATGATGATTAAGAAACAATTGAACTAACCTTTTTAATATTATTTTACATAGAAGCTATGATAAAAATAATAGGGAAAGGTTTAATACTAAATTCAGATGCTTATTTAAGAGATATTTGGAATATAATAGATGCATTAGTTATAGTAGCAGGATCTTTGTAATATTTTATGAGTAACTCAGTATAATTAAGTGCTTTAAGATCATTAAGAGTATTAAGACCTTTGAAAGCAATTTCATCAATATAATCACTTAAGTAAATTATGACAACATTCTTCTTATCTTTTAATGAATTGGCAAATGCTTTATTAGTATTGGGATTTACATATGTTATTTTTGCAATAATTGGATTATAATTATTTTAAGGATACACTAAATATAGATGTTTTGATGAACTTGGAATCTAATCAATGTAAATTGAATAACAATATTGTCATAAATGTCTTGATAATTTTATTTGTGGTAAAATGTTAGAAAATCCAAGAAAAGGATATTTAAGTTTTGATAATTTTGGTCTAGCTTTATTATAAGTTTTCATAATAAGTAATTTAGAAGGTTGGGTAGACATAATGTCATCTATTATTTACACTTTTTCTGAAGCAGCAGTTCTATTTTTTATAACTTTCATTATTATTAGTGCTTATTTCTTGATTAATTTAACATTAGCTATTTTAAAAGTAAATTTTAAGAAATCTAATTAAATTGAAGATATTACAATTGAAGAAGTGTCATATAATTATAGACAATTAAAAAGATTAAACATATATAAACCAATTATTGAAAATAAAAGAAAATCAAATTTTTAAAGATAATAAAGTATGAGAAGATCCAGAATTGTTAGATCAATTCAACCTAAATAGCCAACTTTTATTGAAAATTCAGCTAATTAAACTGCTTAAATTAAATTACCATTTAAACCATTATTAATTAAAGAATTTAGTAAACCTAAAAAATTAAAACATCATAATACTATGATTACATTACACGGTATTTATGGAGTTAAAAATGATGATTAAAAAGATTAAAAATTAAAAAATAATGATACTAATAATCAAGCACATCTTTATAGAAGAGCTACTTAAAGAAATATTCTTCAAAGAGGAACTAGTATTTTAGAAAATAATCCACTTTAAGAATTAGAATTAATGTTATAAGGAGAAAAAGAAAGAAATCCAAGATAAACTTTAGCTTAATAAAGATTAATTAAAGATGTAAAATTAATTGCCTCTTCTTTTTAAAAATCTCCAGCTATAATTACTACAGTCAAATAAGCTTTAAGAAAAAGTAAAATAGAATAAGAAATAAAATAATAAGAAAATTCTTTAAGTGTTTCATTAACTGAAATTGAATCAATCACAGATGAAAAAGTAAAGGAAAGATTTTAAGAATTAGATATTCTTTATTAAGAAGATAAATAAGAAATAATTGAAAAAGAACCTCCTAAATAAATATAAAACACTTAAAAAAAATAAAAGAAAGTTGAATAATATAAATCTTAAATTTAAGAAATTAGTAAAGAACATGAAAAATTAAAAATAAGACTATTTGAAACTAAATTATATCCAAGAGTTCTTTATAATGATTATCATTGTGAATCTATTAAAGATATATTGCCATCATTAGAAAAACAAATTTAATTAAATGAACTTTAAAGTAGAGAAGAAAAAAGAAGAAATATGAAAATTTTATTACGTTACTAATTGTAAATTTAAGTTATTGAAAAGAAATTTGAAAAAAAAGATAGAAAACCAACTTATGATTCTTCTAAAGAATCATCAAATAAAAATTTGAAAATATTTCCTGATGTTATAAACTAATAATCAAAATTTGCTAGATAAGCAGATTTTATAGCTAGATCACCTTCTTCTTTTAATGGTAGCAATAGATAAAAAGTCATTGGAAAATCATATTATAAACCATATAATTAAATCTAAAAATACTCATATAAATAATATAAAGAGTTATTTAATTAAGATTTAACTGATTAATAATTGCATAATAGAATAGATGAAGTTGAAATAAAAGATCCTGAAGTTAAAATACCAAGGGAAGAATACTTTCATCATCATAAATTTTATTAACAATTTCATTCCCAAAAAATATAGGATATAGAAAATATGAATGGAGAATTAATAACTGAGGCTTCAATTTTAGAAGTTAAAGCAGTTGATTTTAATCCTTATATGATGAATAAATATGAACAAATTATTAAAGCTTTAAATTATACATAAGCCAATTTTTTCATCTACATGAAAGGCATTGTTGGTATTTGTATATTAGCTAGATTTAAATTTAATATTATTTTAAATACAAATAGTTTTGAATATTTTATTAATCTTTTTGTTTTAGCCAATACAATTGTATTAGGATTAGATGGTTTAGTTAGTAATACAACACAATTGGAGAATTTAAATTTATTTTTTACCATTTTATTCACCTTAGAATAATTATTAAAGATTTTTACTTTTGGTATTTCTAAATATAGTAGAGATATTATGAATATTTTTGATTTATGTATTGTTCTTATAAGCTTAATTGATTTACTTTTTTTATCTACTGGAAGTGGATCTCATTTATAAGCATTTAGATCTCTTAGACTTTTTAGAGCATTTAGAATATTGAGAGTAACTAAATTAGTTAGGTATATATTAATATAATTTTTATTAGGAGTCTGGCTTACACAAGCTTTTTAATCTAAATTTTGAGTAATGCTTTCTATTCACTAGTTTATATAACATTTTTATTATTTCTGTTCATATATATATTTACACTATTAGGCATGTCATTTTTTTCAGGAGCACTAACAAACACTTAATATAGAACTAGTTTTGATACTTTTTTAGATAGTTTATTAGTTGTTACTTAAATTTTAATTCTATAATGGATTGATGTTTTATATGAATTGCTTTTTTCAGAGGTGAATAATTCAATAGTTATAATTTATCTACTAGTTTGGATATTCATAGGAAATTATGTTTTATTAAATTTATTGATGGCTAGTCTATTAAATTATTTTGAAGATGAATATTAATAAGTATCTATTTAGTATCAAAAACCCCAGATTTCTGTTACAATTGTTGATAAAGTAAATGAGGACAGTCCAGAAAACCTTATTTTTCATAAAGATAGAACATAATTTAGTAATTCAAGCTCAAATGATATGAGAATGTCAACTATGAAAAATGCTTTTACTCATAATTTTGATTTTAGACAATGTAAAATTTCCCTGTTTTTATTTAATGAACAAAATAGCTTTAGAATTATATGTTAAAGAATTATAAATCATAAAATGTTTTCATTGATCATATTTTTTGCAATATGTTTTAGTACTATAAAATTGATATTGGATACTTATTTTAATGACTTTATGCTCGGATTAGATATTTTTATTACTTGTGTATTTTTACTTGAATTTATCCTCAAAGTTATTGCATAAGGATTTATAGCTGAACCAAACACTTACATGAGAAATACATGGAATGTCTTAGATTTTATTATTATAGTATTTTCAATTATTGATATACCTTATACAGATAAAAATTTAAGCTACATTAAAGTATTAAGATTATTAAGAACATTGAGACCACTAAGATTGGTTAAAGAAAATAAATAACTCAAATTATTAGTAACAACTCTGTTAAATTCACTCTCAGGTGTAATGAATGTGACACTTATAATTTTATTAGTGTTTATTATGTTTGGAATTCTAGGTGTAAGTTTGCTTTAAGATAAAATGCATTATTGTGAAATGATTACAAAAAATGAATTTAATTATTATAATTAAAAAGAATGTGAGTAATTTGGAGGAGAATGGAGTTATAGAAACATGAATTTTGATAACATTTTTAATGCAATATTGACATTATTTATTCTTAGTAGAAGAGATGATTGGGATAAATAGATATATTGGTATATTGATGCAAGTGAAGATGGTCCTAAGAGAGATGCTAATTTATGGATAATTTTATATTTTCTTACATTTATTTATACAGGTTCTATATTATTGATGGATTTGTTTACAGGTGTAATCTTTGTTAATTATAAATTTGCTGATTTCTCTTTGAAAGATAAGATAATGTCAGCCGATTAAGAGGATTGGATAAATATATAGAAAATGATAATATCTTCTAGTCCAAATTTTGCTTTATATTATCCTCCAATGAATTAATATAGAGCAACTATATTTAAAATGATATCAAATAAATATTTTGATGGAATAATAATATTTCTTATAATTTTTAACATTGTCGTGTTGTCTTTGAATTATGATGGTAAGAATAAATTTAATTTTAGAATCCTCAACAAATTACAATCAAATATTAGAGACTTTAAATTTATGTTTCAACTTTATTTTTATTGGAGAATGTATTCTAAAAATAATTGCGTATGGTCCAAGAGGATACTTTAGAAATAATTGGAATTAATTTGATTTTTTTGTTGTTTTAACATCAGCTCTTGATATTACTCTGAAATTGAGTGGTGCTAGTAATTAAAATTCATTTTTATCATCTGGACCTTAATTATTTAGAGTGTTTAGAGTTTTGAGAGTAACAAAATTATTTAGATTGGTAAAATAATTAAAAGGTTTAAAAAAATTGATTGATACTGCTACTTTTGCATTACCTGAATTATTTGAATTAATCTTACTTTTGTTATTAATGTATTGTATATTTGCAATCCTTGCAGTTTTTTTATATTCTGATATTAAAGTGGGAAGTATTATTGATGATACTTATAATTTTAAGAATTTTCATCATGCACTTTTAACACTTTTTAGATGTACTACTGGTGAAGGTTAATATTTAATAATATATGATATAATGTAGTCTCATGGAGCAGTACATAGTCTATTCTTTATAGTATTTTCAATAGCAATTTAAAGAATAATGTTAAATTTATTTGTTTTAATTGTTATTCAATAATATGAAAGATTTTATATAAATTCCGACAATCCTTTATAAAGATTTAAAGAATTTGAATAAGATTTTATTGATGGTTGGGCTCCTTTATCTAAATAATATGGTGGAAAATATATAAAAGTAAAATAGTTGATCAGTCTTGTTTTAACAATCAAATCTCCTTTGGGTTATGATTTAAATGAAAAGATATTATCCGCATTGGATGATTGGAAGAAATTTAATTCAGATGTTAAATAAACTTAATAGAATATTGATAGAATTATTAATATTGTTACAGCAGATTCTAAAAAGAAAGTAGCAACTATGATCATGACTATGGAAATGACAGCTACTGATGAAGGTGAATTAGAATATCATTATGTGTTCTTTACCATCATGAAAATGTTTTAATAGAAATTTATGAAAAAAACTACTAAAGAAGCGAAATCTAAAATAAAATAACATGAAGAATAAACTTTATAAAGAATTAGAAAAAACAGAATCTATATTAATGGAGTGAATCCTTGTGTTTAATTGTTGTATGTAATGATGTGTTTCAAAGCTGTTAAAAGATTCTCAGAAAAGGCATAAGATAAAGCACTTAAAAAACCCTAAGAATTTAGTGAGTAAAGCTCTGATTCATATTATTGCTATTCAAGTTCAGAAATCGCTCAACGTGAACCACAAAGCATTATTTCAAATACATCAAGAGAGTCTTATAATTAATTTTGCACTCCACCTGATTTAACTGTATATCAGAGCGATCTTAATATTAATAGTAATAAAACTTCTTTAATTCAAATTTTAAACCGATAGCAAGTATCATTAAGTTAAACAAGTGAAATCAATAGTCCCTATATTGAATCTGCTAAATGATTTAAAAATATCTACATATTTTATTTTAAAAATATTATTATTAAATATTTTGAAAGTTCAATGAGTTTTGATTTTGAAGACTTTGAAACTAATTTCGAAACTTAAAAGAAATTGTTAGAAAATCGAATATTATAAATCTAGAAATAGAACGATAATCTGATGAAATATCAATCAATTAAGTAAATTAAATATTTAAGTTGAAAAGATAAGAGTAATTGAGAGAAATTAAATCAGATATGAAATTGGAATTGTAAGAAATCAAATCGATAATTGCTTCTCTTGAAATTACTGCTAATAAAGACTAGAAATTTTTACTTAAATAAATAAAATAAAAAATTTTGAAACTTGAGGAACATCATAAAGCCATAGTTAAATAACTCATCAAATAATCAATATCTGAATAATTTGATAGGTTATCTATGCAAGAATCTTAATTTATTTAAGAAAATTAAGTGAATGAGCAACAGAGATGTGAATCTAAACCTAAATCTTTACAAAATTCAATACCAAATAGCCTTCCAAAAGATGAATAAATTTTAATTACATAATCTAAAAAATAAAGTGGATTATCATTATCTTTAAAATAACCACTTCTTGAAGTAGAAAATGAATAATTCTTAGATAAAAGAGACTCCAGTGATAAGGATAGTAAAGAAATTGAACAATAAGTTGTATAATAATTAAATTAAGAATATATAGAATATTAAAATATGATTGTTGAATAGGAGAATTTAGATAAATATAATCAAGAAATTGATTAACTTGTCACATTTTAAAAAAGTGACAAGAAATGCTTCAAATATTCAATAATCAGTGCAATTGTATTAATCATCCTTGGTGTTCTAATATTTTTGATTTTACATTATTTTTATATAAAATGATATTAGCTTTTTTATACACTAGCATTTGGCTTTGTAATACAATCTATGAAATGGTCCTTGGAATTGAGTACATTATTAATATGATAGAGACAGCTGTTTTGCCATGGTATTGAGTTTGCAATCATACTTTGTTTCCTCTCAGTTCAATATTTATAAAAAACTAGAGAATAATTGTGTATTTTAGTTCCAATATTACTTTTGTTATTGAATGTTGTAAGTATGTATTTCTCATATCATAGTTATTCTTTCTGCAATTAATTAGGAAAGATTTTTACTTTTTCTTCTTCCTCCTTTGATATATGATACCTTAAATAAAAATGAAACAAAGAGATATTTTTTTCTCATTTGCAAAGTATTGCATTTGGTTTCTCTATGTATTTGGAAAGTCCTTCTAAATTTAAATAATGGTTAGCCAATTGTTATAATATTTATTTTAATCCTATTCGCTTTAGTTAATCCAAAAGAGAAGGATAGATAATTAAAAAGAAATGATACTGATTTCGATGATACAATTCACATACGAACGAATTCAGATTCTGATCGTTTATAAGAAATGCAAAACAATTTAATAGGTATTATAAAATTAGATTGGACCTATAATCTTATAATGTCCAATTCTAGAGCTCATAAAATATTAAAAAATACAAAATTTGAAAATATATTAGAAAGTCCTGTCATTTCAATTGATAAATCAACAAAATAAGTGTTATAGGATTAATTTAGTGTTAAATTTTCTTCAGGTTAAGATTTAAAAGAATTCTAATAAGTTTATACATTAAGGGAAGTTTTGGAATAATTAAAATAAGTCTAAAAATACCCTTATGAATTCGAAGTTTTTTGTATAAAAGGATATAATGACCTTTATTTGAAAATATTTATTTTCGATTGTAAATCTTTTACAATAATTTTATAAAATTTAGAAGAGTATAAATTGTAGATAAAAAAGGTATTCACATAAACTACAATATAATAATTATTTAAAAGTTTTAGCCATGAATACAACACTTCATTAAATTACATTTTAGCATTAGCTTAAGTAGCTGAGTGTCATAAATAAGTGCCAAAATGTATAAAGGAATAATATTTTAAACCAATTTTAGCTAATGGAAGAGTAATGCATAGTATGGTATTAGATATGATGGATTACAATAGTATTTTAGGTAAAACATTTAGTTTAGAAGTGTCTCATTTTAATATTAAAGAATTAATTTTAGAAGTGATATCATTATTTAAGGATCAAATTAAAAAAAAGAATTTAGAAATTGAATTTGAAAATAATATACAGATATAAGAAATTATATCAGATAAAAATAGAATAAAACAAATTTTGATAAATTTAGTTTCAAATGCATAAAAATTTACACTTCATGGTAATATAAGATTGAGAGTTGAAGAATAAATATTAAATAAAAAGAATTAAGAAATAATTTTTCATGTTTAAGATACTGGAATAGGAATGACAAAAGATGAATAATAACGGTTAGTGTTGTTATTGTAATAAGGAGTACCCTCAATATCAAAAATATCTAAAAATACTGCTGGTTTTGGTTTGGGTTTATTTATAAGTAATAAGATAGCAGAAACATTATCATAATAAAGATATGAGAAAGGTGGAGGTTTAAGATTTGAAACTTAGACAGGAAAAGGATTTCATTGTTGGTTTTCAGTTTATCATTAGATTGTTAGTCCTTCTATTAAACCAAATAATCCTAAAAGTCCATTAGTATTATTGAATAAAAAAGTTATAATTGACACTAGATAAAGCTAAGTTAATGCTGGAATTGAACATTTAAGAATGACTTAAATGAGATCAAAGTTTTCTCATCTTTTGAATAATAAAGTGGCTCAAATTTAAGTAAATTAAATAAGAGAAAGAAGATCTCATGATTAAATAAAATTTGTCTAGAAATTAATTAATGGTGTTTCTTAAGATTCAGTTAATAAAGAATGTTCAATTGATGAGTATCAAAATAGAATAAAGTATATGAAATCATAAGGATAATAGTAAAAATAGCTTTCATAATAACCAAGTTAAACAAAAATTAATATAGATTGTCATTGTCCATCAATTTTAATTGTAGATGATGAATAAATTAATATAATGGCATTATCAATTTTATTAGAATAATTCAAATTATCATCAGATTAAGTTTTTAATGGAAAAGAATGTGTAGATTTAATATTTTCAAATCAAAAAAAAAGTATATTAATTATATAAATTAGCATATTGTAGTAGATGTAGTGATAAATAATATTAATTAATATTTATGGATATTAATATGCCTATTTTAGATGGATGGGAAGCATCTAGATAAATAAAAAAGAAATTTAAAATATCAATTATAGCTTGCACAGCATTTACAGATAATGAAACAAAAGAACAATGTTATTAAAATGGTATTGATTATTATATCTCAAAACCTGTTAAAAAAGACTCATTAGCATAAGTGCTTCAATATTACGATATTCTTTGACTATTTATATTAATTTTCGATTTTAAAATATTATTAATTTGTTAAAATATATATGAAACTTTGTCAAATTTGTTTTACAAATGAATCATTCATATCCCCATGTAATTGCTAAAATTGCATTCCTTGTTTAATTAACTGGTTTGGTATTAAAAATAATCAAACTTAAATTGTCAACTTTAATTGCCCAAATTAATATTGCTCTTATATATATTCAAGACAGGAACTCTAAAATATATGTAAATATCCACTTTATGAATTACAACTCTCAGATATCTTATTAAAAGAATACTTAAAAAATTAAGATATTAGACCATGTCCTAATAACAAATGTAAGAATTTCGGATTTATTGATTTAAATTTCAGATGTGATTAATAATTACAATGTACATCTTGTTATACAAAATGGTTGGATTTATCAATATCATATTAAGCTATTCAACTCGAATATGGATTTTCAAATATTTATTTTAATATCAAGGATTTCATATATTGTTTTTTATTTACCAATGAATGTCCTTAATGTGGAGTTTAAATTTAAAGAAATGGAGGTTGTTAACATATGACATGTAAAGCTTGTCAACATTAATTTTGTTGGTACTGTAAATCTAAATGGAATGGACACATGTTAAGACTTTGCAGTTTTTCATATACTATTAAATTAGGCGTTTTTATATACATCATAATGTCATTCTTATAAACTATTGGATTTTTGAATTCTGTCTTGTTTTTATTATCTTTGCCATTCAAATGGTTTCTTTTTATCATTTTGGCTAATTCAATACCATTTGGTTTTGTAGTTGGAATAGTTTATTTTTGTTATGGATTCTCTCACTTGTTTACTTAAATTTATAAAAAAGGAACTTTAGAAATTACTATATCAACTGTCTCCCTATTAATTTGGCATCAATTACACTGTTTCATTGCTGAAATTTTTGAACTATCTATTTCTATATATATAGGTGCAGTAATGTGGGAAGGAATTATTGCTGTTGTTATTGTATGCTATTTATTTAGACAACAATTAACTTGGATTGTATTACCAATCTCTGCTATGTCTCTCCTTTATTATTTTGGATTAAATGGATTATGCATTTTATGTTGGGGATTACCAATTATGAAAAAGTAATTTGCAAAATAAAAATACATATTTTAATTTGCAGGATATGTACTCTTTTTCATATTAAATATATTTAATTTATAAGAATAAATTTCAGAAAATAAGGTTACTTATATTTTTATTCTGAACTTGATTTATATTATTTTTGTTGAAAAATCAAGATTAATAGACTATATCAGATTTTGAAAATGATATCAATAAATGAATATGATAATTTATTTTTTCATTGTTAATATTAGTACTAATTTAAATTAATATAAATATAATTTTATTTCATTATGTAATTTATGACGTATGTTGTTAATTCTAATTCTAATTAAATAGATTATGTCATCAAATTAATAACCAAAAAAGTGATTTCTAATTATTAATGCTAAATAATATTGCTGAATTTTTGAGGAGAATCGATCAATTTGGAGCAAGTTACAAACCAAGTTATGCTCATGGAGAGGTATAATTCAAAACAAGTTTGGGGGGGTTGCTATCAGTTCTGCTATATGGATTAAGTTTGGCGTACCTTATTTATGAATTGATTTTATGGAATTCAGGAAAGATTTTGCCAAAAATTACGAGTTAATAAACAAAAATTGAAACATATTCACTTTTATTTGATTAAGTAACTATAGCTTCATTTTGTTTGAGAAAACATACAAGTATATAAGATTAAATTGATCCATTTGACCCTAACAACGTAATTTTATTGCCAATTCTATATGAAATTTTAGATGATGTAGTGACATCACCTTAAACTTTATTGTCAAATAAAAAATCAGAAAAACATGGTACTTATTTGATAGAAGTAAAAAATATAGAACTATCTAATAATGAACATGAATCATTAGATCATCCAAATAAAGAATATTTATTAATATTTTAGGCTTGTTTATAAGAGCTTTTACCATATGGTTGGTAATGTGCTGAAGAAGAAACAATTAAATAGTTTTTTAATCAAAAATAAAACTAATTATCTGTACACACTTATATAAATTAATATAATACTTCCACCAAAAAAATAGATATTGTTGAATAAGACTATTATGCATCTTTTGATAATAAAACTACATATTTTAGTTAAATTGTCGTTGGTTCTACAAATATTTCAATAGATACTGGATTTTTATTGGAAAGTTTAGAGATACTTGAATTTCCTAGTTAAATATAATCTTACATTTAATAAATGGATTTAGATTACTTTGCTCATATTTTTAAGCATAACGTCTTTATAGTTTTTGAATTTGAATTAGGAACATTATAAGAAACTTTGCATGTAGAATATCCAAAAGTATCTGAAGTATTGGCAAATATTGGATCTATTATTTCTTTCTTCTTATTCTTTTCTCATGTTGCCTATATGATAAATGAGAAAAATCTAGAGCTTAAAGTCTTAAGAACTTTAATTGAAATGTATTATCCTTAAATTAAAGACATTACTTTTAAAAAAAGTTTTTTTGGAAAAGTAATTGAGATTATGTACAAAAATTAAAAAGTATCATAATCATTTTATTAAACATATAATAAATTATTAGATATATCTAAAACTAAATTATGTCTAACCAATCAGTTATATGAGGTATCAAGATTATAGTTCATATTAAATTAAATTTGTGATAGATAAGTTATGAAGAATTGTCATAAAATTGGAATTAAATTAAAATCTCTATAATTTGAACGAGAAAAAGAACAATTTAAGCCAACTAATCTTAAGATTGAGAATATTGTTCCATAAGAATTGAAATAAGAAAATGTAGAAAGTTAATCTATTGAAGAAATCAATATTATAAAAGTAGTAAAATATTTAATTTAAACTTATAGAATCCCTAGCTTTCAACTGAAAACCAATAATCCTCACTATAAATTTACTAATTAAATTAATCATAAAGCTTATTTTTAAGAAATGTAATTGAAAATGAAGAACCTCAAGATGAAGAACAAAATCTATCAGATGAAGATTTTTATCTTTTAATGTAGCATTAACCCAAAAGTCTAGAATCTCAATAAATGGAATATGAAAATGTAACACCTTAAAATAATTTTAAAATAACAATCAATCAAATTGAAAATTGAAACTGTTTATATATATATAAGATCATCGAAAAATATATCAATCTATTTATATAAACATTTAATAAATAAAATGAAATAGGATTACTAATTTAACTTTCGATATATATAAATCCTTACTTTATAACATAGGAAAAATAATATTGTATTAACAAATTCTTATAATAAAAAATAGTTTTCATGAATAAAAATAAATTAGAATTCTTTGCAGGAATTCACTAATTTAAAGTCAACTTAAATCTAGTTATCCTTATCCATAATTCTAATTTAAAATCAAATCTCTACTGAATGAACTAAGATTCTCAATTAAGCTATTGAAATTGAATGTAAACTCTTTGAATATCGAATATGTTCTGATGAACATTTTTTAATTATTTATAACAGTACCTCAATATTTTTAAAGAGAACAAGTATTAAGAATAAAATTGATCTTTTTAAACTAAACATTTTAGAATTGCTTCCAATGTTATATCCTGTTAAATAACAAATTCCTTTAACTTTTTAAAATTGTCGAAGAAAATTATAAAATTGTAATTAGACTAAAAAATATTCTTTACTCAAATAATGAGAATAAGGAGCTAAAATAACAAAATATTGTGAATGGCAATATGTTTACAATATACAACAACAATATATTATCAACTGAGTGGATTTGAGGTAACGAAAATTGAATGGAAAAAATTCTAATTATAAATTAAATTTTGTAATCATAAGAAAATATGATAATAAAAATCATTTAAAATGCTCAAAATATTAGAATAAGATTATTAAACTTTATGAATTTGCAAGTTAATCGAACAAATTAATCGAAAATATAATTTGAAAATTATTGAAATAGAATTCGAAAACATATAATAAATTTTGAGAAATTTTATGAAAAAAAAAATCACTTAATAATTTTCTGATATTATTTAAAATTTGAAAACCATTCAAAGTAAAACTAATTCATAATATTAGATAAAGAACATTTGGATTAAGAATAATAAGACATTCAATAAACCACTTAATATAAATGGAAGTTTAAGATCTATAGATCAAAAATTTAGAAAATTCAATCATTAAATGGAATGCTTTTTATTTATAACAAGATAATATAATAAATAATGATGCAACCATCAAAATGAATTTAAGTTTCTCAAGAAAATTTTGAATAGCATTAAAAATATATAACTAATAAACAAAAACATCTAATTAATATATCTTTATTAAAGCATTATTGAAACTAATTTTTTACTTAATTATAGATGTCTCTGCAAGGTTATTTTATATTTTTAATATATTGAATTAACTAAATTTAGGTTGAATTATGTTTATGATAAATTTGAATTAAATTGAGTTCATTTTAGTACTTAATTTTAAATAAATAATTTTTTTTCATTAGTCATATTCTAATACTCTGTCACACATCAAACTGGAATTTTTAAAATTATAAAAATCAAAGTCTTGTTTAATTTTTAATAAATTTAATTTTGCTTTTATAAAAATATTATTCTTACATTTAATAGAATTTTTGGGTCTATAACATTAAGGACAATTGACATTATCTAAAGAACAGCAAACACCAATTTAGTGAGATTTACATTATAATTTTTAACGAAGATTGTAGGCAGAAAAATTAATTTTACATAAAGTGCATTCACCTTAGGATGTATATTCATTATTTTCTTCCTCGTTGTCAAATATTTCTAATTTTTATTCATCATTGTTGTTCTAATTTAGAATTTATAAGTCTTATTAAATATTTTCTTTTTAGGTTATATTTGTAACTTTTTCTTATAACTGCTTATTAGATTAAGATTCTTTATTTTATTTTAATATTTAATCTTAGAGTTATTCTTTCTTTTCTTATTCTTACAGTGCAATTTTTTAGTTTTACTCAAAAAATTTGTTGAATTAAGAAGAATCTAATAAATTATAACAATTATTAACTGGACATGAATGATCTAAATTATTTTAGTTATTTTTCATAACTAATTCATAAGAACAATTAAAACACAAAAAGTGAGAACAATTGAAATTTAAATATAAATTTTCTCTATCTAGTTTATTTATGCATTTGGAGCACTAAAAAAGAATTTTTTCTATTTTAAAAAATTGAATCAATTATTCATAAGATATCTTTTAATAACATTATAAATATGGACAACTTAAATTAGTTGATGTATGTTTTGCAAATTTGATTGAGCAATCCCTACAAAATGTATGGAAACACAAATTTGTAAATGATAAATTTATCAATTCTCTTTTTGAACAACCATCACATTTAATATATTCAGTTTAAAATTCTTGTTTTTATATTTAACCATCATTATTTTAAAATTTTTCATAAAAGTTAAAATAAGAGAGAGAGTCGATTGGTTATTCACAATTTACTTCTAAGCATGAATAGTTTACATCGAGATCATTTATTAATTAATTTAAGCATTTAAGACAAAAAGTATGATTACATTACTTATTAGTAAATATTTGAGTTTGTGATTTATCTTTACATTTCATACAAATTAATAATTTTTAATTTGAATTATCTTAATATTATTGCTGTTCTATATCATTTTCCACCTTTCGCTTTTTAATTAATATATCTGTATTAGTAATTTATTTATTCTTTTATTGTTGAAATTAATTTTCTCTCAATCTGTTTATATTTGTTGAGGAATTTTATTATGATATTTATTGATTATTTTATAAATTGCATTTGTTACAAATGTAATTTTTAGATTTCTGATTTATAAAATTAATTTATTTAAGTTTTTTGCATTTAGAGCAAGTTTTTAGTTAAATTTGTTTATTTCGATTATCAAAATATTGCTTAATGTAATAATATTGGTTTTTTTCCTTATAAATAAAAATAAACTATTTTTTATTTGAAATTTTCATATCGATTTCTCCAAAAAACTAAAAAGAAATTAAAAAATGGTCACTCAATTTATTTAGTTAATTTTAAGAATTATAATCGATTGATATTTAATAAATATTGCAATATTCATGTAGAAATTCTTTGGTTTTGATAAATTAAGGATCATCAATATAAATCTATTCATAGAATTATGATAAATTTCTTTCTTTCAAAATGTAATTGTAAATTTTATTAGCAATTATTTATGATGATTTTGAATATGGTTAGTTTGGATTGACTAATTTTTAAATTAATTGTTCATTATTATTAAATAATAGACAATCAAGTATGGAAATTAAAAGAGTAAGTTCAAAATTTGATCCTAAACACTACATAAAAGAATAATGTTAAAACTCTTTGTATTTAGATTTTAATTATTCTGAGATTGGACCTACTTATCCATTTTTCATTATATAAAAGAATTAATAATGTTAAGAAATAATATTAAAATTGATAAAATATAATTAATATCTATATAATATAATAGAATTAGTTGTTAACGAAGAATGGTATAATTAAATGGTAGTTTACAGTGTAATTTTCTAATCAGAAATTGATAAATAGAAGTATGTAATATTGAAATGAAAAATTAATGAAATAAAAATAAGAATGACTAATTTGTGATTCATGAATATATAATAAATATATATGATAATTGTAAAAAGGATTTGTGATTGAATATAAATAATAATAGATGGCTACAAAAGAACATTCAGTATATAAATTAGTAGGAAAAGATGAAGCAGAAGGATTTGCATGGTCATTTGAAGGACCAAATACAGAGGCTGTTTTGTATCCATTTAAATTTCCAGTGATCTAAAGTCATGAAGTTAGAATTCAATAGACATATTTTGGTTTATGTTATACAGATTGTAAAATATAAAATATAAAATAAAAGGTCATCTTGTAAATTAAGATTGGTTTCCAATAAATTATCCAAGTGTTCCAGGACATGAAATATTAGGTCGTGTTGTCATGAAAGGAGATTAAGTGACATAATTCTAAATAGGTGATTTAGTAGGTGCAGGATTTATAAGAGATAGTTGTGGAAAGTGTAAATATTGTATATAAGGAAATGATTAATTATGTGGTTAAATGGGAGATGAACATTTTATTCCATTACCAAAATTTGGTGGTTTTGCTACTCATGTATAATTTCCAGCTAAATGGGCATTTCCAATTCCAAATACATTACCATAAAATTTAACACCTCCTCTTTTATGTGCAGGTATTACTGTATTTGCTCCATTAAAAAGATATTTCAATCCTAAAAAAGAGGTTGGGATAATTGGTATTGGAGGTCTAGGACATTTAGCTATTAAGTTTTCAGCTGCTTTAGGGATGAAAACATCTGCAATATCTACTTCTGCAGATAAAGAATAAGAAGCTAAATCTTATGGAGCTATTGATTTTATTGTTTCAAATGATCCATAATAAATGGCTAAAGCATCAGGTAGATTTGATATTATTTTAAATTGTGCACATGCTAGTACTGTTGATGAATTTATAGCTTAAACTAATCTATTAAAAAATGGAGGAGATTTTATTATGGTTGGAATCCCTGCTGTTAATAAAGTTGAATTATAATTACCATTCTTTTAATTAGTCTGCAGATAAATTTCATTTATTGGATCTTTAGTTGGATCCAGATAAGTAATTATATATATTATTTTTATAGGAAAATTATGAAATGATTTCATTTGCTAATTAACATAAAATTTATCCAACTTGTGAAGAATTTGAATTCCACAACTTTAAAAATGCTTATGATAAATTACTTAATGGAAGACCTAAATATAGATGTGTTGTTAAAGTTGGCAATGCACCTGAAACATTAAAATTATGAGTTTTTAAAATTATACATATTAAATTAATTCATTATATTCGATATATTCATATATATAAAATATATATAATTATTCATCTACAAAACATTTACTTTAATCCTCTTAAATTTGTTAATAGATTCTATAAAAATTCTATTAACAAAAATATAAGTTATATCAGTATTGATAATCCTATTAAAGTTATTATAAACCATCCGATGTTGTATTTTTAATCAAAACTCAAAAAATTTGTCATATCATCTATAGAAATTAATACTGATACTAAAACTATACAAAATATACAAAAATCTGGTATAGCTGTTTAAATTAATCCGATTCTTGAATTAAATGGATTTTAATAAAGTAAAAATGCTTAATTAATAAAACAAGATAAACAACAAAATGTTGTTTATAAAACTGGTTTCTCATATAACATTACGATGGAAAATATAAAAGCTATTTTTCTAATTAAATTAAAATAACAGTATTTCTTTGCAATTTTATTCCCAAAATCTATTCCATCATAAAGGGAAAGATATTTCCTTTAAAATATGAAATGATCTAATAGTATGTAATGTTTTGAACTAACAAATTCAAATAATTTATACATTACTAAAATTAATATTAAACCTAAAATTGCTAGAAAATTATTAATAGTCACCATAAAATTATATTCTTTCTTTTCACAAGTTAGTTATAGAATACAAGCCATAAAAATATCTAATAATAACAAATTTATAATTGAAATTATTTTAGATAAAAATGTGAGTTTGTATTCATATGATTACCTAATGATGAAGTCAAAAAATCTAGGAAGTTTTGAAAGCCTTTCTTAAATTGGCTCTTTTGGTTATTATTATTGTTCTTGAGTTTAAATATTTGTCTCTTAATAACAGATAGTAAAAACAGTGATACCTTATCGTTTTTATTTTTTTTAATTAAACTTTTTTTCAAAAATCTTAATCAAGACTAAAGTTATAAAATATAATAAAATAGCCAATACTATGAGACATCCAAATACTTGTAGATTATTGATTAATAGAGGATTGATATTTTTTTCGTTAAATTTTGGAGGTGCTTCAAAATAATAAGTATCTGTTGGTTAATTAAACGAAATAAATTCTGGTATATTAAATATGTCATCCCATTATAATTTTTAAAAGAACAACTTAACATTAAGTGGATAATCAACATTAAGAAAATAAAAATTATTAATCCATGTTAGAATGTCTAAAATAGTCCAAAAAAAGTTAAGACCTCCAAATAAAATAGTTAATGGGCCAATTAATTATAATAGGAAAGTTAATTGATTTGAAGTAGAAACAACTGTTTATGCTTAAGCTTTTTATGCCTCATTATAATACACTTATTTTTTAGGAGTGATAATAATTTCTTTAATATCTTCTTCTTCTTCTAAATTTCTGGATGAATTATTTGTTATTGGAATGAGTAAATGAATTAAATTAACTTCAGTAATTGTTTTGAAAAAATTAAATTAAATTTGACATTCATGAAATTAAGTAATTGATTCACTTTGATTTGTTTTATTAATTTATACAGGAATTAATATTAATGAATAATTAAATTCATTATTTTAAAAAAATTCTACATTAATTTTGATTTTTGTGCAGGAATTTTGAAAATCGAATTCACTTTTTATTTATAAATAATTAGAAGTACTAGAGTTAGGATAAAAATATTAAATAATTTTTTCTTATTTTAAATTGCATTAATTTAAAATACAATTATATCCTTTTTCAATAAAACATTTAGAATTACATCCATCTTAATTAAGATGATTACCATCATCACATTATTCATCTCCAGCCATAATACCATCTCCACATTTAGTAATACATTTTTTTTAATCAAAATCATAATAATATCCTTCTTTATTATGACATTTTTAACAATTTTAAATTATACAAATAGTACAATTATTAGGAGTGTTTGAACATTCTTGACAATGTTCAGAACATTTTAAACATTGACCAAAACTGAAAAAATATCCTTTATTACAATTTAGACATAGTAATTAACCATTTTTAAATTCACAATCTGAACATTCAGATTTACATTAAAAACAAAAACTTTTTGAATCAAGAATTTAACATTTATATCCTTTATCAATTTTACAATTAGTACAACCATCATTTAATAGAGAATTTCCATCGTCACATTATTCATTATCTAAAATGATTCCATCTCCACAATCAGGAATACAATCTAAATTATGTTTCTTATATCCAATTTAACATTATTCACAGTCTCCTTATCCACATTTAATACAGTATTAATTACATGAATATAAACATTAAAAGCAGCCATCATATTCTATATTATTTCCATCATCGCATTATTCATCACCTGCTTTAATTGAATCTCCACATTAAGTAAAACATAAATTATTTGATTAATTATAATAAAAGCCTTGTAATTCATCACAGTCCGTATAATCTAAACATCTTTCTATTTTTATGTCTAAAAAATAATCTTATTAACATAGACTACATTTACCATATTGACAATCTATACACTATTCCTAACATTAATATTAACATTAATAGCAACCATCAAACATTAAATTATTGCCATCATCACAAAATTCTTCAATCATGATTAGATTATCTCCACAAATAGAATGACAAGAATTGTTAATTATATGCAAATAGTAACCATTTTAACATAAAATACAAGAATCTTAATAACAGATTTAACAATTTATTGGACAATTCTATAAACATTCAAAGTCATTTTGATAACAATATTCAGAATTGTAATATGATATTAATAAGTTTTGATTATAACAATCTCTAATTTAATTTATTTTCGAACCTTCTTATTTATTCAATGTTATACAATTAAGAGGACAAGTTTCAGTTTAACTAAAACAATTACTATACAGATAATTTTATTAATTTGTAAGGTAATTTGTAATTTATAGATCTGTTTAGAAAAAGGAGTGATTACAATTTGCATATAAATAAGTGAAATAAACAATTTCATTTTATTGAATATGTAATAGTATTTTTTATTCTAGTGATTCTAAACTAATTCTATTGAGATAAATATTGTATTCATAATCTTGATAAAACTAATAAAACTATTGTGTATGTTCATTTTATTAGATTTGAGTATCAATAAAAGTAGGATTCAAATAATGATAATAATCAACAATTTATTAACATCTTCCATGAATAACTTGATAATTAGAAATACATTTAAAACATTTACCATAGATGCATTCTAAACATTAAGATTCACAATTATAATAACATTGATGACATCCATCTCCATATTCTAAGTTGCCATCATCACATTATTCATTTGAAGTAATCATAGAATCTCCACATATAGTGAAACATTCATTATCTATTAATTTGAATCCAGATTTACATTATAAACATCCTTTTCCAGTGATTAATTCACATAATTAACATGATTAAGCACATTCACATCTATTTAAAGAAGGATTGAGCTAATATTTATTTACACAATGTAAACATTTATTATACTAACAAATGTCACAAATAGAGTTATTTTAACATTAAAATTAGCATGTTCTACTGCATCCATCATAATCTATTAGATTACCATCATCACATTCTTCATTAAAAGGAATATCAGGAGCATATACTTTAATTCCATCTCCACATTAATTTTTACAATAATTATTTTCCCCTATTAATCCTTCTCTACATTTAACACATTTACCATTAGCATAGTTACATTCTAAACAATCAGATCTACAATAATATTAACAATTTCTGCAAATACTTGTACCTTATAATGCATCATCACATTTTTCACTTCCTACTACAAATCCATCTAAACAAACTTCTTTACATACATAATTTTATGGCATAGAAATATCTAAATACCAACCTCTTGTGGCACATTCATAGCATATTCCTTAAATGCATTTTGTACATTCAATTTAACAAGAAAATAAACAATTATGACATCCATCAAATTCAATTTGATTTCCATCATCGCAATATTCTGTTCCTGATATTATCATATCACCACAAGTACATTAAGTATTTATTTATTAACAAGGATTACATAATTATGATACTGGACATTCCAAGAATTTATCTAACGTTGCTTAATAATAAGTATTTGATTATTATATGCATATTCCACTCTCACTTAAAATATATCCAGTTTAACAAATTTCACATGATGTTTCTTATGAACATTTAATGCAATTCAAAATACATTTTTTACACAATAATTCAAATTCAAAATAACTATCTTCACAAATACATTCATTATTAAATAATTTTCTAAATTATCCTTACACACATTCTGTACATTTTTATTAATTTATACATTAATTACAATTCTAAGGACAATTATAACATTATTCCTATTCCAAATATTAATTATGAGTACAAATACAGCCTTATTAAGGGTTTGTGAAAGTATTCTTACATGTTAAACAATTCTAATAAGATGTACAAGTCATACAAGAAAATGGACAATTCTAACATTGTAATTAAAACTAATTAAAAAATTAATTATCTTGACAAGTATTTGATTAGTCAACATAATTTTAATCAAGACAATTTTAATCATTTGAACATGAGTTACAATTAGGTTTACACTAATGAACTGTTATATAATGTTAATAAAATCCACAATAAGCAGAAATTGGCTCATTGTTCACACCTAAACATCCAATTTCTATTAAAATATTTGATGTATTATGTAATTATTTATGTTAAATAGAAATTTCTGCTTATTAATAAGAAGTACACTCTATTTAAATCTAACCATCTAAACTAAATATAAATTAACCATCATCTGGAAAAGTTGGACCAAATACAACTATAAAAGATATTGTTATTGAATAATGAGGATTTTCTATGTTTATATTTCTACTAAACTTTGCTTATGCCCAAATAAATGGACCTCCAAACATTCTCCATGCAGAATTCCAAACTGAATAATAGATTCCCTCTCCTTTTAAAAAGTTTGATCCATTCGCATTTATAAGTTTATACTCTGGATATGTCTCATTATCTAATGCTAAATCTATAAATTCTTTAATAATATATTTAGAATCTATTATAATCAAATTAATTACAATTTGTTTCATCATCATCTTCCAAACAATGAGTACTATTTATTTTTTACTAATAAGAACCTAAACATTAAGTACATGTGCCCCACTTTGATTTTAAATATCCATTTTAACATGTTAAACAATTGAATTTTTCTTCACATTTTAAACAATTTATTGGGCAATAACCTGAATATACATTGCAACCTCTTAATCCCCAACCAGTATTTTGATCTCTAAAATATCAATAAATTTTACGAAAAATTTCCTATAATTTTGATAACAAAAGTATCTGTTATATTTGCATACAAATACAAAGTGTGATAGACATTATTAGTATATGAAATATCATTATATGTAGCACTTTATCGATTATCGGTCCAATATAAAAATAATTTATCTGTTTTCACTAATCCTGATTCGTCAGAATATATCTGTCCATAATAAGTATTATTTATTAAAAATTGAATGCTACTTGATGAGGGCATTTTATTAAATAGAATTAATTCTACAGTAATTGCTATCATATATGATCCTTGATTAGTTGGCAATGTTAATACTCTATATATACCTTATTTATTTGTAAAAATTCCAAAGATATAAAAGCCCTCAAAATATCTATTTTCTGGTAAAGGTGTATTTAGCTGTTCAAAATCATGAATAATTTACCATCTGTATTGTTCCGAACTTTTTGACTAATAAATATAAAGGCTTAAATAAGTAAATACTAATTGAATAATAAGCAATAAATACTTGGATATGGTTCGCAAATTCCATTCAAGTATTTCTATTAACCTATATTACAAGTTGATTTGCAACCCTAGTTTTTAACATAATACATAGCATTAAGTGGGCATATGTATTAGCATGTATTTTCAGTAGAAAGAGTACCATGTATAAAACAAGATGTACATTAATTAGGTTTACTTCCATAACATCTAGCGCAGGATCCATGGCATTATAAAGCAGAGACAATAACATTTTTAATTGAAACACTTCCATTTGAAGAATTGGTTATAAATTTATTAGATCCTGTAATGGTAGTAGAATTTATAGTAAAATTAAAAGTTTTAATGCTTGCCGTTGTTGTATAGCAAAATCCACGAGAGATGCTAATCTGTTATAAACTATTGATATATATTATATTTGTATTAGCACCAATAGTATATTAAACATAATCTAGATTGTTCCAGTTTTAAGAAAATATGAGATCATATGTTATAAAATACATTGAATAACTATTTGTAGATAAACTATTTATAGAAGTCGCTGATAAGAATTAGGAATTCAAAGTTATATAGCTTCCTTCTTGTGATGAACAATTTATATAATTTGCAGGTATATTCGGATCACCTATCTAACTTATGAACCCATCAGTATCTAAATTATTAAATCGCTTTATCGATGTTAATTATGAACTGATTCTAACCCATATGCACGTTATTTCTTGAAATTGTACCATAATCGCATAAAAAAATATCATCATTAATAATTTTAATCAAATTTCGAATATCTTCAAGTTAATCTTTAAATATAAATTTTATATCTAACAAAAAACACATCTCAAAAAACTTTAAAGGACTTTTTGATATTTTTAACACTCAGTAATAATTTTATGGCGATTAACTTAATTTATAATTTTTTATAATGAAAGGAAATATTGGTAAATAAATAGTGATTTATTTTAGAGAATAATAATGTTTTAATTTCTAAAAAAGAAAACAAAATTACTGAATTAACTAATTCAAAATGTTACAAATTTTTCTTAATAACTTAAAAATAATTTTTTTAGAGTAAGAATATCAATTAACAAAATTTAATTTTATATATATAATTATGGTAGATCATTAGATCCATCATTTTTTTATAGTTAAAATCTTAAGAGTAATTAATTTTTTATTATAATATATAAGCAAAACAATTCTAATTAATTATTTGGCAGATTTTTATGTATTTCTTATTTTTTAAATAATGCTTTAATTACAAAAATTAAGGATAATTAATTTCAAATATTAGGTTTGATCAAATAAATTATATATATTAAATGTGATTTATATATAAATTTTATTGGAGTAATTTTTGTAATTTTATTCCAATTAACATCAGACTTGAATTTATTTAAAACAATAATGAGTTTAATGAATATGGAAATAGTAGATACTTAAAAGAGAACATAAAAGAACCTAAGGAAATTAATTAGTCAAAATATAAAACTATAATAATAGGTTCAGGAAATTTATAAAAATATTTTCAAAAGGGAAACCAGGATTAAAATACCAGGGAATTAATGTAATATTTAATTCAAACAGAAAAATAATAATATAATGAAGCTTGAATTAAAAAATTTTCTTAAGATGTGGCTTTTATATTTATGGAATTTATATATAGATATTTTATACTTGATAAATCATATATATCATTAAGATGGAAAAAGAATAGAAATATTTAAAATAAATGATAGATGTGCACTTTTTTCTTATGAATGAATAATATATAGTGATTCTGAATAATTTGTAGAAGATAACCAATTTTTAATAATAATTTAAATCTCATTACCAGATTGAAAACATTGAAGACATAAAATCAATGTCTTTCATATAATAGAAAATTATTTCACTGGTTAACAAAAATATATTTTGGATTTCAGATTTTCTAAAGAAAAAATAGAACTTTTTAATCAAGCTAATTCAAGATATTAGAAAGTACTTAAGGAATAATGGTATTAGTTTAAATTTTGAACTAAAAGGATGGTTTGAGTATATTTAATTTTAAGGAGGAAATGAAAAGGATGTATAGATAATTTTAGATTAAGGGAAAACATTTGATATTTCTTTTAGGCGAATAATTTATTTGTTTTTGGGGTTGATATTGAAGTTATTTGAGGTTGGATGATTTTATAAAGAATAACGAATTAATTAATTAGATTAAGTAAATGATTAGAACAAAAGATTAAATAAGAAGCTGAAAATAAATATTTATCTGAAAGACTTGTAGTGGGAAGATTGATTAATGATAATAATCTATTTATGAATAGTTGATGGGATGTGTCTGTTATTGGTTGTTAAAAATTTGAATGATATAAAATAATATATATAAAAAGATAATTAAATTCATTTCTTTATATCTGAATCAGATATATAAATCTTAATTAAAATTTAAAAAATATATAATGGATCGTCTAAACCCATCATCCAAAGATTGTATTGTTCCTCTAATTGAAGAAAATTCTCCTTGTATTTGTAATAAATAATATAATATTATTAGAAAGCAACAAACAGGAGATTGATTCATAATTTTTGTTACCACAATTTACATAGATGTTCCAGAATCCTGATCTTCTACTTTAAACTGTTTAATTAGAATAATTGAAGCTACAAGCCCAATTTTATTCTTAAATGAATAATTTACCACTCATTACTGATGAACCTAGAGTAGTTGATTTATTTACTCAACAACTTTTGTAATAATAACTCATGATTAATGCAGCTCTTCTTAATCAATTTTAAGTAATTAAATATTCTAAAGTAGGGAGTTGAAAATGTTAATTAGAGTCAAACAAAGGATTTAGGTGATAATAAAATTAAAAGAAAACATATTAAAAAATCACATAATCCTTAATTTAATACTGGTATTTCTTATTATTATCATCAATAGGACATTGGAGTGCATAAGAACATTAAGTTTATTTAAACTTTTTGTAATAACACAGAGAAGTAATGGAAAGTTCTGAATTAAAAAAAACTAATAAAATATTCAAATTAATGTCTGATATCATTAAGAGTAGATCACCCTCTTAATGTAGATCTCATCATTAAAAATTCAATCCATATTCTAAATACTTAATAAATGTAATAATTATTCGAATATTTTTAGAATACGATTGTTCGTAGAAAAATGAAAGAACAATAGAAGGACACTTAATAATAACAATAATAATAATAATAATAACAATAATTCATAGTTTCTGAAAATGAAAATAATCAATAATAATAATCTCAAGAATGTAATTTAAAAATTGAATTCCAATAATAATTATAGGATTCAAAAATTGAATCATAACAATAACTTCAAGATAGAGAAGACTAACAATAGGCTAGTGGATAGAATTGATTGATTGCTTTATCAATTTTATTTTTTAATTATTATTATCATTATATAAATAAATGTATACGTTAATAAATGACCTATGGAATGCATAACAAGCTAATCCTTTTCAATTTTCTATTAGTATTCCTTAAACAATTATCATAAATTAGGGATTCAAAATTCAATGGTACTTTTCATAAAATAATAAAATACTTAAACGAAAATCTATAAATTGCACTGTTGCTTCAATTATTAGTTATTTAAATTTAAATTAAATACAAATGAACATAATAACAATTAAATCTCCTTATGTTGTTGAAGGTTTTGGTTAAATTTAATTGAAAAATGAACCAATATCAATTGAATAAATATAATAATTATTAGTACATTATTAAACTTATCCTCATATTATTGAGAACCCTATAATTTTGTAGGAACATTTTTAATTAGGATAGTATATCTCGCTAAAATGGAATAAAAATTATACATTTATTTAAGAATGTGATTAATTTACATACTAAGAAAATTAATAATGTTTGAAATTGACTCCTCATTATAGATCTTAAATTAATATGCTAAGTTCATAATTAGTTTAAAGAATTCAACAAATCTATTAAGATAGAGGTTAATTAAATGAAATGAACATTATAATGTGTCTATTAGATAAACCTATATTCTTATGGTGTATAGAAATTAAATTCATTAAAGATTAATTTGTAAGATAAGATGATGACTAATTCCGATTATGGAATAGAATCAAAGAATTCCGATTAATGTTCAATCCAATTACTAAACATCATCGATGTCAGAGTAATTTAGAAGGTTAGAGAATAAATTAAAGTTCATAAAATTTAAATTAGTCAAACTTATATCTTAATTTAAATTGTTTATTATCAAATAGAGAACATAAAGTTAATATAAATGGGTTATAATCAAATAAAGAACACAATGTTAATATAAATAATTTAATATCAAACAGAGAACACAATGTAAGTGTAACATCAAACGTTTCAAATTCTAAGTAATATGTATAACCTCTGTTTACTTAGATGAAATCAGCTAGAAGTAACATAACATCAAATATAAATGTGAAATAACTATTGAATAATAATAATAATCATAATTAATCATAAGAGCTTTCAACTTAAAGATAGAGTAGAGGAGGATCAATTTTGAGATAATTAACAAATAGATCATTTTCAAATAGATCTTAATCTATGTATAAAGTACATTTGAATGATGATAATAAAGTTTAATAGTAATGTTGTAATTAGAAGAAAAATGGATCAATGACTTAAAGAACAGAGGCATCTGAACAGGAATTATAAATATAGCCAAAAGTCTCAAAGAGTAGTTCAAAGGTTGTAAATAGTTTAAGATAAAGATTACAAGAAATAAAATTAAAATAGTTATTATGATGATTTAAATTAAATATAAAATATATAATTTATCAAAAAATAAAAAAATTTCTCCTAATATATAATGTCAGATATTGATTAGTGGATAGAAACATTAAGAAATGGTGAGAATTTAAAAGAAACAGATGTCAAGATTCTATGTAACAAAGCAAAAGATATATTAAATAATGAGGATAATGTAATAAGAGTAGAAGCTCCGGTGACTGTAAATAAAAAGTATATTTAGATATGTGGAGATATTCATGGATAATTTTATGACTTAATGGAATTATTTAAAGTAGGTGGAGATGTTCCAGAGACAAATTATTTATTTTTAGGAGACTTTGTAGATAGAGGATATAATAGTGTGGAGACATTTTTATTATTGTTGGCTTTGAAAGTGAGATATCCAGATTAGATAACATTGTATGAATATATAATATATAATAGAATTCGTGGAAATCATGAATCAAGACAAATAACATAAGTTTATGGATTTTATGATGAATGTCTAAGAAAATATAGTACTTTGAATGTATGGAAATATTGCACTGAAGTTTTTGATTATTTAGCATTGGCAGCAGTTGTCAATGATAATATATTCTGTGTACATGGTGGTTTAAGTCCATATATAAAAACAATTGATGAGATTAGAGTGATAAATAGAAAACAAGAAGTACCACATGAAGGAGTGATGTGCGATTTAATGTGGTCAGATCCTGATGGTATTTAATAAGAAATTAGAACTTCTAGAAATTGAAGGATGGAGTTAGAGTGCTAGAGGAGCAGGTTTTGTATTTGGTGCAGATGTTGTTAAAGAATTTAATCGTAGAAATGGCATTTCGCTTATTTGTAGAGCACATTAATTAGCTATGGAAGGATTTAAATTAATGTTTGATAATTCTTTAGTTACTGTTTGGTCTGCTCCTAATTATTGTTATAGGTTAATTATTTATCTATTATTTATTCTAGATGTGGTAATGTTGCTTCTATTCTTGAATTAGATGAAAATCTAAAGAAATATTATAAGCTATTCGAAGCTGCTCCTAATGATAGAGCTTCAAATTCAAAAAAAGCTATTGCAGACTATTTCTTATGATCATTAAATTTTTAATATAAATATCATTATGTAAGAAATAATTATCACAACACTCTTAAAATTTAATGATATCTTTGATGCTTTCTAACAAATCTTCAAAATTCATAATTACAATTCCTATCAATAACGATAAATTCTAGAAAAATGTTTAGATTAACAATATTTAAATAGTTCTATATATATTACTCTTAATAGTAATAATCAATTCTTTCCTAATTATTAGGATCTAGAACAAATTCAACTCAAATTTTCGAATGATAAATTATTCAATCAAAATAATCTCATAGGTCTTTAAAATATTTATCTATAGAATTAATTTAAACCAATGTTTAAAATGAAACTAAAGAATTCATCAAATCATTTGATTAACTTTGCTTTAACTAAAATGAAAAACTTAATGATTTTAAATCTTATGTTTCAGATATCTTTTTAACTAAAAATGATATTCGTTAATTCAAATCAAATTCTGAAGATAAGATTAATAAATTATAAGATCAGATTCAACAATTCTAAACTAAATATGCACTCAAACTTTATACAGAATAACATATTGTATTTCATTTTATTTCTATCATCAGATTGATATCAAATAGGCTATATCTTAAATATAACAAGCCAATGTTTTAATTAAATAAGATTCCTAAACCTTACATAAACTTAATAGCGATAATAGATTCATGATCAAATAATTAAATGAATAATTGATTTTTAAAATTGAAAATATGGAAAAAGAGTAATATCGAATTTTTGAATTTGAAAAAGATGTTGAAAAAATGAAAAATATAATTTAAGAATAAAAATGTGGTAAAATATTATAATTAATAATTATTTTAGAAAATGAAATTTTGCAAAATAAAGTAAGATCATTGTCTTAATTATTTTAAGAATTAGAAGTCAACAATTCTAAAGTTGTTAGATTTGAAATACACTCTGCATTAAAAAAAGTTGATGAGGAAATGAACTACTTTAAAAATCGTTAATAAAGTTTTTAAGATTAATTATAATTCTTTAAAGAAAACTTTTAGAAATCCGAAATCTCCAATAATTAATTCTAAAATGTAATTAATGAATAATTTGATTCAATATCGGCTGAATTAGTTTAAAAGAAGTAACAATTTAAATCTATTCTTAAAAATATTGCTCTACTCCAACAACAGTAAATATATTATTTAATCTAGAGGGAAAAAAATTAAATTTCATCTGATTTACCATAAAAAGTAGCTATGTTATTAAATAAAGTATCAACTCTAGAATAAACATCCTAATAAGCTTTCGATTAATTGAAAAGAATTATTGATGTCATTTAAGAATTTTGTGAAACTTTATAAATTCCATCTGATAGCCAATAAAAAAATCTAACAAATTTAATTTTATTATTAGACAGAAGGATTTTGGAATATGGAAAATCTATATATGATCAGCAAATCCAGTCAGTATAAGGTAATACAGTAAAAATTAATACTGCAAGAATTTCAACATCAGTAGATTCAACATTCAAAGTTGGTGTTTTAAAAGAGAAAAAGACTAAATTTAATAAATTGTTAAATAAAACAGTATATTATGGTAGTAGAAGAGATACATTATTCTGAATATTTTACATTCATATATAATCATGACTTGGTAAATATATAGATATTCTGGTTTTCTATAAAATATTTATAATTATATTTACTAGGGATGAAATTTATTCTTATTACTATTTGATCAAGCTTTCTCCAGATTTGATTGCTTAATATTTTTACTGTTTTTCTTACATGAGTAGCTTCATCATTTATTATATTTTCTCTTGATTCAAATTTTTTAATCTCTTCTTTTCTTCTTTATCATCTTAAGGTACCATTTGATCAATAATGCTAGTAATTTAGTCCATTTTTTCTTTTGTTTTTTGAGTTAATTATTTATTAGGAAATAATAAAAATGAAGTTTATTTTAAGTCAGAAAGAATTGAAATGCATTCTTAAACTGTTGAAATTGTATTTTATTATGAAAGTATTTGATTTTGTGATTTGTATGATTGTGAGAATTAACTTTTGTGATGTATAATATGAGTAGATTATCTATGAACACTTCCTTTATTTGAATTACAGGGTGATGATTTCAAATTAATAAATGTTTAAGATTAATAGGATTTTGGAGTTCTAATAATATTGGGTGTTAACTTGATTTCATGTTGAGATTAAAGGGTAGGTTTATCAAATTTATCAAACTTCATTAGTTTCATTTAATAAGTAAATACTTTAATTTATAATCAGATTCTGAAATAAAATTAATAAAAGATTAAATTATACAAAAGATCTTAAAAAAATGGATTTTAAAGTTAAATTATTTCTAATCTTTAAGAAAAGATAAATTAATATTTAGTAATTTTATTGAATCATAATAAAATTATAAAAATGTTGGGAAAGTTTAAAATAATTAAAAAATTTTTATTTATTTTATAAAAAGAGCAATAAAATTTGAAAGCAAAACAAATTAAAAACATAACTGAATAATATACAAATACCATATAAAAATCTATCAAGATTGATAAATTTAATTTTTCATTATAATTATTTTAATTTTTATAATGTTCTTTGTTAATAATGAGCTATGTATTCTTTTGCAGGACAATATCTTTATCTTTTTGGAGTATATTCAGTGTTTACAAGACTTTTATATTAAGTATCATATTTTGGGCTTCTTCCATAATCCAAGATTTTGTCAGTATTCAATTTAGGATTTTTTTAAATTCTGAATGGTTAATAGGCTAATTAAGTTTAGGATTAAGAAACAAAAGGTTATCCAGTTGGTAAAGGTGTTCTTATTTAAGAATAGATAATATTATTACAATTCTGTGACCATTTTTAACGAATCACTTGGTTTTTGATATGGTTTATTTGCAAATGAATCTTTATATAAAGATTATGCTGTAAAAGGTATTGAATCACTTACACTTTAATGAGCAGGTCTTTTAAAATGTGCAGTTTCAGGTGGTCCCCAAAACTTGAATTAAGTCTAAATTTTAATTTAAATAATTTACTTTGTAACTACTGTTACCTAAGAAATCCCCTCGATGTTCTTGAGATTAAGGTCTAAGCATTTCTTATACAGGAATTTTAAATTATTTATATGATGTCTAAATCTATATTCTAAATTTACTTAATGTAAACTTTATTGATCAATAGGTTTTTAATTACAAAATTAAGTTGAATAATAAGTTTAATTTAATGGTCCAAGAGAATTGTGTCCAGTTTATTTATGTAAGAAATCCTTACCATAAACAGTATTTTGAGAAGATGAATAATTCAATTTACAAGTTTTTGAGAAATTACATTTACATTAACCACATTCACATTTATAACAAGCACAAAAACCTATAAATTATATTTAATTCATTAAGTTTACCTAATTAATGATGAAAATAATCTGGATTATCATTAATAAGTTTAGGTATGTTAACACTTTAAACATCTGGTAAAATTAATTTCCAAATTGGATGATCCAAAGGAATATCATCTACATAATTGAATTATTAATTGATTGGTTAAAAGTCTTCAATTTGATTTTCTTGACTCTTAAATCTTAATAAACCTTCTGATTTTGGAGTTCTAAGTCGAGAAGCAACTTTTTCTCGAGTTTCTGGTTTTTCTTAAACAGTTTAAGTTCCACTTTTTTATTTTGATTATTGTGTATCTGGTCGTGTTGGCATTAAAGATTTACAAGTTTCAATTATTTATTCCTCTACATTTGTGTCTGGTTATCTAATGATTCTTGATCCTAAACCTGTTTATTTTCTTAAAACTTAATATTTGACCATTCTTGGTTTATTTGTGAAGGTTTAGCTATTATTTGATTAGGATGTATATAATTTAGTATTTTCTAAATATACTAATAAAACTACATCCTTGTGAGCTCATTAGATATTTCTTTATATATTTATTAAATTTATTTTTTTTTTTTTCTTTTATTCATTATATTAATGTCAAAAAATGCTTATTAAATAATATCCAAATAATATTACATAAACATAATTATTTAATTATTGTATTAGTAAATATTAATACACATTTAATTAAAGTTTTAATAAAAAAAAGACATTTTACTTTTAAAAATTTGAATTCATATATAATTTAGAATAAAACTCAAAGGACAAAATGACTCTGGTTGCAATTATAGCGAATTTTCAATTTTATTCTTTAATATAGTCTAAATTTTATATAAATAAAGATTATATAACATAAATTAGTAAGATAATCTTCCATAAAAAAAATCAAACTAATCAAAATTTTCAGAATATTTGGCTGAATTTCATTATAAAAAGTATTGTAAAAAGATCAATCCACCTGAGGTTATCAAAGACAATAATTCAATTTTTATTAACATTGTTAAATGAAATATTAAGATAAAACTAACCATCTTAGCTTAATAACATAAACAGCTAACCTTCCCAATAAAAAAAAGATGAGAGAAGGGTTTTTTTTGAATACGACATATAATACTACATATCAAAAATTGCTGATCGAAAACCCCATAATTAAATTACATTAATTCATTAAAGTGGATGAACTATAATAGTTGAAATTAAGAAAATATAAATCTTTAACTCCAGATAAGGAACTTATTTTCGGATATTTAAGTATTTTATTCCTTATTATAAAACATATAAGTTATCTAATTAGAATAAATGTAACTTTAATTCGATATAGTGAATCACAAGGATTTTTCAAAGACTATGAATATTGAATAACATAAAATAGTAGAACCTTCTTTAGCTAAAAACTTCAATTACATTTTTTCTTTACAAAAACAAATATCCCATCTCTCTATTAGTAAACGTGATTTTTCTGGGAAAAAATTAAAGCAATCCTAAGAATAAAATTGAAATTTTATTATATATTATTTATATTAGAATTTTAGAATTATTTTCAGTAGTATTTTAACTTGAAATTTAACGTCAAGTGGTATGATATAAATTGAAATAATTTTGTTTGAAAATATTGATTTAATTAGTCAAAAAAAAAAAAAGTAAAAAATGAAATCATAAGAAGTAGATCTAAATAACAAAATTAGTAATACAAAAACAATACCAAATGATTCAGAAATAAGAGCTCATAAAAATAATCATGCATAGACATAGATTATAACTAATAAATCTACTATTCAATAATAGAACTAAAGAGTTCAAAGTTAATAAAATCGAACTTAAATCATTCAAAATGTAAATTTTTCTAATTAATTTTAGTTTTATTTACCTCTTTAGATAAAGAAAATTAAGGATGAACTTTTAATAGATAAAGAAATCCATGAAAAAGCTTAGAAAAAGGAAGATGCAAAAGAATGGTTTTAAGGTAAAATAATAATGCAACGTAAATTTGGTTATTGTAAATATTACAAGAAAAAATAATATTATTATGAAGGATAATTTTCATGTGACCTAAAACATGGAAAAGGTTTAATAATTTATGAAGATGGAACTCATTATGTAAGAATTAAAATTATATTAAGTAAGGAGAATTTTTTGCAGATAAACTTCTAAGTGATAATGGTATATTTAAAGATTTTGAAGAAGAATGCAATAAAAATAAATAACTAGAAAAAAAAAAATTAGAATTTCCAAATGGTGCAATATATTAAGGTTAAGTTCTTGATGGTAAAAGACATGGTAAAGGAATTTATACTTGGAAGGATGGTACTAAATATGAAGGTTAATTTGAAAATGATTAAATAAATGGATATGGAATCATGGAATTTGCAGATAGTAGAAAATATAGAGGAGAATGGGTGAATGGAGAAATGGAAGGATTTGGTTAATTTGTTTGGCCTAATTTAGAAGAATATAAAGGATTTTATAAATAAAGTAAAAGACATGGTTTTGGAGTATTTAAATATAAAAGTGGAATTCGATATTTTGGAGAATTCGTAAATGGATTAAATCATGGTGCTGCAGTTTTAATTTAAAAAAATTACAAACCTAAAATTTCCTAATGGTAAGATGGAAAATAAATTGAATGAACTTTATTTTTTTTGTCAATATTTTATTATTTCATAATGTTAGAAATTCCTTTTAAGAATCTCACTTATTTTGAAAATGAATTCAAAAATGCTTTAAAAGAAATTTAATCTTCAAATACAACTCTCGAAACATAAGCTGATATTAAAAATACATTAAATTCTGTATTCATTTAAGGTTCAACTTTTGAACTTATTTAAAAGGGTGTTAAACCAAAAATCTTTGCTTAATTCCAGTAGAAATAAGTTGATTAAATTATTTACAAAAGGTTCTTGAATCTACAATAGCCTTATGAGTTAAATAGTGACTTAATTTATTATGGTTAATATTATAATGAGAAAGCTCATGGTTTTGGTAAACTAGTTTCTAAAAAATCCTCTATTTTATTTGAAGGTCATTTTGTCTTTGGGCAGATCCATGGTTATGGAAGATTAATTTTAAGTAGAGGAGATATTTTTGAAGGAAAATGGTTTTTTAATAAAATTTTATATGGAACATATTATAACGAGTTTTTAAAACCTATAATTTCAATCAAAGAACATTATTTAGATTTTCCTTAAGTTAGGACTCAATAGAACTATAATGGAAATCTTATCAATAACCGAAGAGAAGGGTTTGGAAGATATTAATGGGACGACGGAACTTATTATATAGGAGATTTTGTTGATAATGAAATGAGTGGATTTGGTAAAATGATATATAAGGATGGAAGAAAATATTTTGGATATTGGAAGAATAGTTAGATGGATGGTTATGGATAATTCGAATGGCCTAATGGGTAGACTTATATTGGTTCTTATAGTAAAGATAAAAAAAATGGATTTGGTATGATGATATTAAATGGAAGAGTCTAAATCAGAAAATTTGAAAATGGTAAACTTATTTCAAAAAACAAAGTTAATGACAATTCCTATTGATAATAAATGATAAAAATATGATATTAAATTATACATAAAATAATTAAAATTTGAAGTAAATATATTTTTTGTTTCGATGAGTTTTGTAATAATATAATCATCATATCTTAATATTCGAAAAATCTGCACTTTTAACAACTTTTTCAGCTGATTCAGCAACTTCTTATTCTCTAATGTATTCATTTTTCATATCTTAATATATTTTAGTTTCTTCAGCATAGCTATCATTTTCAATATTCAACTAAGATTAAAATCTTTATCTATCAGCATCTCTCTATGCAGAGTATTCTGTTAATTCATTGATTTTAGCTTATTTATAATATATAAAATATACTTATGGTAGCTTCTAAATCAACTGTAATTTTACTGATTTATTTACCAAATCCTGAGAATTCATGATCTAATTATTAAACTCTCTCTTCAAATTCTTATTAATTTTGAGCTTCTAATGCTGTAGCATCATTAATTGCATCAACAACAGCATTTCTAAATTCATTTAATTTATTTAATATAGTTCCAACAATATCTTAATTTGAGAAATTTTATTCATTTGCTAATTAAATTAATGCTTTAATTAATGGTCCATGTTTGCTATGAGCTCTGATTTTTTATTCAATCATATTTAATTGAACATGAATTTTTCTAATATTTGATGATGACACTTATCCAAGAGATTAATTTTTTAAACTATAAAGTAATTCTAATGCTTAATCAGTTGATTCTACAGCTGAATTAAAATCTGCAAGTTATGTTTCAAATTCTTCTCTTTCATTTTCTCTCTTTAATTCAGCTTCAGCTAATGTTTTTCTAATTGAATTAATTTAATATTAATACCTATTAGCTTCTTAATATTCTTAAATTTATTCAATTTTATTTTTTAGATTCTCTCTTCTTGGATAAAGCAAATTATCAAGAGTATCTTAAGTTCTTTAATAATCAAGAACTGCTTAATTTATTTCTTATTCTAAAGTAGTCACAATTTTATGATGCTCATTAGTTCTTTGATTAAAGTTAAATTCTAAAACATCTAATTCTTCTTATAAATCAGAAATCAAGTCTTCTATAGCCTAAACTAATTCATCAACTGGTCCTTACGATTATGAATGTAATGCCATCATAGATAACAATGTTTATCCCCATTTAGATTTATGTAAGTCTTCAATATGTTTATGAATTGTTTTTTTATCAAAATGGGCTGCCATACTAAAAGTTAGCAATAATGCAATAATGATTACCTTCATTATTTTATAATATATAAAAAACGAATTTGCATCATTTAAGGTTTATTTCTAGAAAATATTTAATTTGTCTAAATATAATACCAAAAGAAATATGATAAAATTAATTAAAAGCTTAGACTAATTCGGAGCATCATTTTAACCTAATATCCAGTATAGATCATCAGAATATAAAACTGTTTAAGGAGGATTAATGTCTGTCTTACTTTATGGATTAAGTTTGGCATATCTTATTTACATGATAGTTTTATGGCAAAGTGGATAAATATTACCAAAAATTACTACTTTATCAAATTTTGAATAAGATTACAAATTGGAATTATAATAGAGATTTATATCAGTAGAAATGAGAAAATACTAATATACATCTATAGATCCATTCAACCCAAATGCTTTGGTTCTTTAACCTATTATCTATTATTTCATTAATGGAGAATCTCCTAATCATGGATATCCTATAAAATTTCAGAATAAAATTAATATGTTTAATTTCCATATCATTGAGATTCAAAACCTAACCATACAGACAAGTAGCTAATTTTCCAATGAAAACCCTTAAATTGAGATGATGCTTGTTTTTGGTTAATGCTCAGAGTTATATTTATAAGAAGGATAGAAATGCGCTGATAATGCAACAATTTAAAATTTCTTTAATTAATAAACTAATACTTTATTAGTCAAACAATCTATAAAGGAATTCAATACTAATACTGTCACATTAGATGATATTGATAAAGAATTAGTCATTCCTCTAACAAAAGATAATACATTTTTTGCTTAAGTTATTACTAAAATTTCAAATACATAAGTTGATTAAGGATTTCTATTTGAAAGTCTTGACTAATATGAATATATCACTGATTATTAAATAACTGGTAATTCCATGAATAAGGAATATTTTGAGAAAAAACTTGGCTATGAAGCTTATGCAGTATTCTATTATTAAGTTGATTAAATTCAAAGTATTTCTTAAATAAGTTATCCTAAATTAAATGAAATTCTAGCCGATGCTGGTTCTATTGCCTCAACTCTTTTATTATTATCCTACATAGTTATTCAGATGAATCAAAGTTAACTTTAATTTGAGGCAGTTAATCATATTATTTCTATTTATTATCCTCATTTCAAAAATTTCAAAATTATTAAAAATTTTTTAGGTAAAATAATTCGAGTTGAAAATAACGGAAAACTTATCAACCTTAATCTATTCTTTCCATATTATGAAAAATTAAAAAGAATTGGTGAAATGAAACTCTCTATTTCAAATCAAATTTATGAAATATCTAGATTATAGTTTATGCTATAATCTCAGTATTCAAATAAATTTATTTCTAAGTTTCATAAAATTGGCATTCCTTTAAGTAATCTGGGTTAAGATTCAATTTTAATTAAACAAGATAATTTATTTAAATTTGAAAATAGCATTATTCTATAGGATTAAAACAATAAATTTAATTCAATAGTAAGATATTTTAACATATTAGAAACCTAGTGTTGAAAATTAAGATTCATAGTTGAAATAAAAAGTTGTTTCAAGAAAAGAATCTAATTTGATGTTGGATACAGTCAAATAAGATGAAAATTCAATTGATCATCCTAGTTTTATAAAACTAGATTCTCTAAGACTCAATGAACTTAGCTTAAAAGATGAAGATTTTGAATTATTAACAATGCAAGAAGAATTTATTTAATTAGAAGAAAAGTAATTAAACTAAAAGAATTAAGAATAAGTAAACAAATTATAGCATGATCAATCTATTGTAGATTTAATAATATAGAGTTAAGCATAATGAATATGTTTTATTTTGATATTTAGTATATATAATATTACCAACTATTTAATATTTTGATTAAAATTGAAAATTGTTTGAATCTACTAAATTTAGCTAATAAGCTAGAGTTGCTGAAAGATTTAATGGATAATTTTTAGATACTTTTTTCTCTTCAGGAATTAATTTAATTATAAATATTTATTCCACTTTATAAAGTAAAAATACAAATAATCATTAGTTTAGTCTATTTTTTCAATCATAGAATGAAGATCTAAATGATCTAAGTGATCTCATTTGTTTGTTATGAATGAATTACCTTTCTGAATTGTTATTGCTTAGTATAATTTTTTCCTGTTAATCAAATTATATTTTTCTAGGCGAAATAAAATAACTATTTCTATTAATTTTTTTCATTTTTTCCTTTAATAGTTCAAATTTTTTTTCATCATCCTCCTTATTCTTCTGATGCTTTGTTATTTTTTTATGTTAAAATATTTTATGTAAATCTCCCTTACATCTTTAATTAGTAGCGTTTTTATTTTAAGATTAAATGATTTTATTAACACTACTACCATAAAGACTTGGTTCATGCTTTATAATTGTACTTTTGCTCCTTTAAGTCTTAATTTTTTCATCTTCTAAAAAATTTAAACATTAACTTATTAATTAGTATATAAGTTTTCCTAAAGAATTTTGCTATTGAGGTATTAATTGATAAAGCTTTTTGCACATAATAATATTTGCATAATCAATTTTCTTCTCAATAATAGTTTCTACCATCTATGGTAAACTGCAGCTCATCAATAATTATGCCAAAAGCCAATCTTATATTTTTACTCCTTTAACCAATAAGATAAAAGCTTAAACACATTAAAATACATCTGTGGCAGGTTTTGCAATCTATATTTCAATGAAAAAACTATTACAAGAAACTTGTTTTTATTCAGTTATCTGGCCAATTATCTCAAAGTTTCCTAAGTCATTTACAAGATAATTAATATTATAAAAAATTTATCCAAATAGAAATTCAATACTGTATTTGTTATTTAAACACAAAATGAATCCAAGTGCAATGAAACCGTAATTTCTAATTAAAGTAATCAAATAACTAATTAAATAAATAAGTTTTTCTGTTGAACTTTGTTAATGAATTGATATTAAAAAGGATTATAAATAAGTCATTAGACAGTATTTTTATCATTATGAATATACAAATTAATTAAAAATTAAATAAAATCAGCATACAAAAACAATCATTTTGATTATATGTTACAATTTATTTATAAAGTTAATGCAACATAAAAAGTAATATTAAATTTACAACTTTAAAAGTAAAAAATTGTCATAAATTTATTGAAATAAATAATAAAATCAATAATGAAGATTGTCATATTATCTTTTTTGTAATTAGTATATTATTTTAATGCTTATTCTAGTATATATTGTGAAAGGTCTTCTGTTTTTTTCTAATTATTCAAATTTAAAAGAATTTTGTAAATAGTTTGAATAGAAATTACATCCCAAAATCCATCTGTGACTTGAATTATATATTTACAATTTTGATTCAATTATAACTTGGTGATTTCAGGAATAGCCTTTAATCCATGTTCAATTAATTTTGGATGATCAAAAAGATCTGCTTACTGCCAATTCACCGTTAAACATATCTAGCCTAATTTCTTTTTAATTGTGTTATATTAAATACTCAAAATATAAATCTTGATTGTCAATAATTCTTTTGACTCATCTAATTTATAAGGTTTATGATCTTAATTTAATTTAGTTATTTAGATATCTTTGTCAATAAACTAGAGCACTTTAATTCGATTTTTAAGTTAAAGGTTTTTTCATAAAAAATGCAACAAATTTTTATATATAATGATATAAAATCAATTAATTTATCTATTCCTTAATTTATAAGTGGATTCTGTTAATTTGATCTTCTTACTGATATTTGGTTCTGGTTCAGGATTCGGGTTTTGACTAGCTAAATTTGATGATGGTTGATTATAATCAATAAATTTCGATATGGCTTCTTAATATTCTTCTAATGATATTTTACCATCACCATTTTCATCCATTTCTTATAAGAGTTGATCCCATTAATTTTCATTCTAAACATAGATTTTTCCATTAAAAATTTTTTTAATCTCATCAATTTCTAGGAATCCATCTCCATTTTGATCAAGTAAATTGAATGCATCTTTGAGTTAATCATGAGATGCTAATTTTTTCATATCAACTGCAGCTGTCAAAAATTCTGTAAATTCAATATATCCATTTTTATCAGTATCAACTCTATTAAACAAATCCTCAACATCAATATCATCATTACAATATGTTTTTAATTCTTCCATACTTAATTTCCCATCTCCATTTTTATCAAGTTCTTAAAAGGTTTATCTCAATTTTTTATATTTTTCTTATGTTAAATTTTATTGTATCATGAGATGGAAAGTAGCTTAAACCATTTTACTTTCACAACAAAATCTAGACAACCTTTGAAGTCTCGTTTACATTTCTTGTGATGAGATTTCTTTGGTTAATTGTTTACTCTATTTTTAAATCCATTCACTTTCTAAGGCTTATTAAGCACTATATCTTTTAGCAGGATCGGTCTCTAATAAATTTTTAAGTAGATTCTTTGCATCATCAGAAATTGTTTTCCAAACTTTTTATCTAAGGTTGATTTTTGATGATACAATTTTCTTTTCTATTTCTCCAGTATTATTTCCTGGAAATGGAACTTCTCCAGATAAGAGAATGTATAAAATTACGCCACATGACCATAAATCACATTTTTTATCATATCCCTTTTCTAAAAGAACTTCTGGAGCTGCATAATCAATAGTTCCAATTTTCTATTTAACAGAAACAACATTAGTCATATCTTTACTAAGTCCCCAATCTATAATTTTTATATGTTAATCGGTAGGATCAATCAGTATATTTTCAGGCTTAATATCACGATGCATTATATTCTTTTCATGAGCATATGAAATTGCACTTAAAATTTATTTGAAAATGTATCTAACTTCTTCTTCAGAAAATATTTGACTTTATTTTATTCTGTTATGGATTTCATCAAATAATTCAATCCCTTCACACAACTGACTTACTATATAATAGAAGTTATCATCTTAAGCTATTTCATAGACAGCCATAATATTAGGATGATCAAGCTTCTTCATGTTTTCAATTTCATTCTAATCTGTAAAGTCTTTTTTTGCAATTATTTTCAATGCTCGTAATTCATTTGCCTAATTTTTAACTTTATAAACTTTTCCAAAACTTCCTTATCCTATAAGACTAATTCTCTGATATCTCTACATAATATCATTTTTTATATTAACAATCAAATTTCCTGAATTGACAATCATAAATTTATTAATGGCTTAATTAACTCGTATTAGTTCAAGTTTGAAAATGGGAATCGTTGGTATGGCTAATGTTGGCAAGGTAATTTTATTCAATATTATGAAGAGTTCAACATTTAATATGTTGAGTAAACAATCAGTGCCAGCAGAAAATTTCCCATTTTGCACTATAGATCCAAATTAAGCTGTAGTCAAAGTACCTGATCCTAGATTTGAATATCTTTGTCAAATTTTTAAACCTAAATCATAGATATTTTCTACTCTAAGTATTATAGATATTGCAGGGTAAAAATTAATGCAAATTTAGTTTAGTGAAAGGAGCATCTGAAGGATATGGATTAGGAAATGAATTCTTAGCCCATATTTAAGCAGTAGATGGATTATATCAGGTTGTTAGGGCTTTTGAAAAAGAAAAAATTGTACATACTGAAGGTACTATGGATCCAATTAGGGATCTATAAATTATTTCAGAAGAATTAATGGCTAAAGATTATTAATTTGTTTCAAAGAGAGTTGATGAATTTAGCAAAAAAATAAAAAAGTATGAAGCTAATAAAAATGTTTCAGTGGAAGCTAGAGATATGGTTGAATAATTTAAAGTCTTACAAAAATGTGATGAATTATTAAAAAAGAAATAATGGGTTCGATATCAAAAATGGACTGAGTTAGAATAAATTTAATTAAGAAAGATTCAATTATTAACTGCAAAACCATCAATTTATCTAATCAATCTATCCAAAGAAGATCATGATGCCTACATGGCTAAAAAATAAAATAAATATGCAAAACCTATTGAATAATGGGTATCCAAAAATAGTCCTGATAGTAAGATTGTTTATTACTCTGTTGAAAATTAAGAATCATAATAATTACTTGATCAAATTATTATGGCAGGATATGATTTATTAGGTTTGATAAGATTCTTTACTGTTGGCTCAGATGAAGTCAGGAGTTGGACTATTAAGAAAAATCTTAAAGCACCTTAAGCAGCTTCAGTTATTCATTCAGATTTTGAAAAAGTATGACTTTATATATTTATTTAAAAGGGATTTGTTAATGCTGAAGTAATGTCTTTTGATAAATTTAAAAAACTTGGAGATAATGCCTTAGATTAATATGAAAAAAAGTTTTCAAAAGAAGGAAAGGATTATATTGTTAAAGATGGTGATATTATTCACTTTAAAACTAAATAATTTAAATGAGTCTATGTTTTTGTTTATATTGAGTATTATTATAAAAGAAATTAATAATAGTCTTCTGATCTTATATTTTTAAACTATATGTAGATATCAAATAAAGTCTAACTTTTATTATTGCTATTATGTTTATTGTTAGGGTTATGATTTTTAACCTACTGCCAAATTAAGTATATTGTCAAATTCATTTTCTGGTTTCTTTTATTAATTAGATACATCTAAAATAATTAGATTGTCTTACTGCTGATCACTGGATATTATTGTTAAGGAAATCCTTATTGTTAATAAGGTTAAGTTTATTAATATGGACTAGGTTAATTTGGTTGCTATTAGAATGCTTAATACTTATTTTATGGTTATCCAAGCTATTATGGTTGATATAATTATTGTAACTTTTAATAGATAAATAAATAATACATTTTATTGTTGTGCATATTATTACTAATTAACAAATTGTTATTGTTGGGTAGAAAATTATTATTAAGGTGGGAATGCATTTAAAGCAGAATAATTAGATTATTATGATATTTAAGAAGCAGAAGGAGGTTGCCCATATGCTTAAGTTTATATTGGTGGTTATCCATAAACCTAGGATTATATAGGTTGTTATCCATAAACTTAAGATTAAACTGGTGGTTATCCATATTACTATAGAGTTGGGGTTTATTATAAGGAGGGAATTTATTAAATAGGGGCAACTTATGAAATAGGTGGAAGTTATGAATTAGGTGGAAACTATGAAATAGGAGGAATCTATGAAAGAGGAGGGATCTATGATTATGGAATCATTGAAGCTAATAATTATTATTATTATTATGGCTAAGGATTTGACATATCTACTTCAAATAAATCAATTCTTTAGGGAACTATAAATAATAAGTATTACATGTTTTATTATTTTTCAGGTTAAACAGCTTAAGTTGGTTAAGGTCCTTTTTATTATTAAACTGCTGGCTTTGGTTCATCATATTCAAATAAATTTAGCAAATCAATTTATTAAGGTTTAGGTTAAGGAGGTTGTTATGCTGGTTACTACATAGGAGGAGGAATACTAAAAGGGTTTTATTATTATTGGAAGGGACTTTGTTAAACATTTTATGGTTATGTTAATGGTTATTAAGGTTGTTATTGTTATTATTATTGTTATTGTTATTGTTATTGTTATTATTATTGTTATTGTTATTCAGGTCTAAATGGATCTGGTTTCTTATGCTTTTTCAATGTTTCATATCTAGTAAAAGTCTATTAAAGGATAAGTTAGGATGATTACTCTGAGAAGATCATCATTTAATTCTAAACAAAAGTTCATTAAACCTTCATCATTGTTTCCCATATCAGTAATTAAACTATTTATAAGAAAAAGAGAGAATACTTTCTTAATTTTTCTTCAACTCCTCTCAAAGTAGTTGTCATGTCTTTAAGAATTTCATTTTTGCTGGCATCTTCTTATGGATTTGCATTATCAATAATTTCCTAGAAATAGTATTTAAAATTACATTAGTCAAACTAATATTGGATTTAACTATCTCGAGATCTCGTCTGAGTTTATCATTTTTGGAATTACCCTTAGATTGTTAATAAATAATTTCTTACAGATCCTAGACTGTTTACTCTAGCTCCAGAGGTATATACTGGTTATGCCTTTCTGAGTACTGCATATTTACTATCGTAATTGTTGGGTACTTGATCTAAAAAGAAAATGCTATAAAGACAGTTACGTTTAAGAGATATCTTTTGTAAAAATTGGAAGAAGGCAGGAAATAGATCCTGATGTGATTACATAAGTGACTTAAGCACTGCGATGACTTAGAGTAGTCTTTATTACATCTAGTTGGTAAATAAGAGAATTACTTAGGCATTCATCTATGGATTAAGAAGTGTGTTGAGTCTTTATAGAAAGTCATTGGTAGCAATTTAAGTATAGAAGGGTGTTTCACAAGTAAAAGCAAGATATTCTATTAGCTCCATTGTAAGAGCTTAAACCTTGCCATTACGAAGCTGCATAAGTCTCTTACCAATAGCCTAGACTGCCAATTTTGATCTAAGACTTGAATAAGAATCTTACTAGTCAGCTCTTTGATTGACCAAGTCAGCCACCTATTTCATTAGTTTCTAATCAGGCATTTAAAGTGTATCTGCAGTTGCCTCATTTACTGCTCTCTCAACAGGATTCTCCATCTTTTTTTAATTTAAATTTACAAAAATAATAATATGAGGGGAAAGGGGGGGTGCACTTGAGAGAAGTGAGATGCACAGATATTAATTATATATATATTTATATAATTTATATAAAAATGGCATAAATTTCATAAAAACAAAGAGGTGTCTTCTCAGAAGTGTTAGACCCTACTTTACCTAGTGAGTACAATGTTAAGAATTATAATCAGGGTCCTACACCTGACCTGATAATGACTACAATAAGTAGATAAACAATTCCTAAGGCGATCTCCTTGCAACGGTTACAAACATCAAGCTCTAATAGATAACAATTAAGATCTGATTTAGCTTCTCGGCAAGTGCCAAGGAATTTATTAAAGACAAGATAAAAAAATGAACAAGTTACAAGTGTAGAACCAAAAGTAATTTACTTTTTTGCATTTTATAGGTGATATTACCATATGATCCTATTCCAGGAGAAGTACCAAGGAAAGTAGCTATTGATAGAAAAAGAAAAGAATTTCGATCACTCGATTTTAACAAATTGCTTCAAGAAGCTGGAATTGAATTTAAATAAAAAGATTAAAGTGTAGAGTGGTTAAAACTTGAATATTTCGATGATACTACATATGATGATAATAGTAATGAAGATTGGATAAAAAGAGAAGAAGATGAAGAAGGAATCAAACATCCTCTTTTGGGTTTAGGATTAAGAGGAGATGAATATCAATATTTAGAAATTTTCGATTACAAAAATGAAAAATTTATAGGCAAATGGTTGAAAGATGATATTAAATTAGAATTGCATAGATTATATATTTGTTTTGATGCAGAAGATCCCCGTAAGTACGTTAAAAGATTAAAAAATGCTTTTTAATAGAGAATTTATGCTGATGCTCTTGTTAGATACAATTACTACATAGATAACATGTCACTGTTTGATCTAAGTGAATTAGATAATGAATAAAAAAAAAGAATAGAACAGAATGCAAAAACAAAGAAATTAGAAGCCATGGAAACTACTCAATTGCTCCTTGAAGTTAATATGGATTTTTAGAGAACAATGAATAAAATTATTTTCGATAAATATTTAGATGATGAATAAAATGATGAAAATTATCCTAAATTGAGAATGCCTGCGAAAGAGAGAAAAAAAGAGGTTCGTTATTATGGTTGGATGGAACTTGAAGCATCTAAGGGAGTTATGGAAAAATGGATGTTCAAATATGATGAACCATTTATAAGAAAACCATTAACTTTTGATGAGTTAAATAAGAATTTTGGATTCTCTACTTTATACGTGAGTTAAGAGGTTGTCAAGGCTTTGTAAGACATCAGACATGAATGTAATCAAGTTTTGAAGGAAAGTTTATTTGATTTTTCTAAAAGAGAAGGTGCTTTGCATTTAGATGAATTCAAACATATGTAAGAAAATGCAACTACTTCATTGATGTATTAATTAAAAGGTACATGGGTACCAACAATGATTAAAATTATCAAAGATAGATTTGCTGAGATTGGGAAAGGCTGGTTTAATATGAAAGAGACTTCTAAAATTACTTATGACTTTGGTAAGTTGAAACGTATGTTAACAGTTATCAGATTGATGATGTAAGACACTATTACAACACTCATGAAATCTAATTTTGATAGATATTAGAAGACAATTAAAAGTAATATCCCTGTTAATGTTGACATAAAAAATACAGATTGGGTTTTAAATCATTATGATGATGGAAATTAGGCAGATAATAGAGTTCAAGTTTTTAGTCATGATAGAAAATTACCATTATTTTAAATAGAATTATTGGCAAAAGATGATTACTTTTAGTATACAACTAATCCTACTTTATATGTACTCATATCGTTATAAGCAATGAAAAAAGCAGTAGATGAAATGGCAAAGATTCCAGATTTAGAACCAAGAATCTTGTCTGATTTACATAAATCTTAAAAATTAGAAACATTTATCAAGGCTCCTATGATGCCAATTTAAGAGCCTGTTGAACCAGATCCTAATGAGAGACCTAGGAAATTTGCTGATGAAAATAAATGGGTTTGGGATACTTACTATAATGTTAAAGCATCTATTGAAGAAGCATTAAAACCATTAGAACAATATAAAACTGTTTTTAATAAATATATTGCAGTCTTAAAGTTAAGACCAGATGATGTTGCTAGAGATATGGAACTTGAAGATCCTCCTAGAGAATTTGAATCTATTCGTGATGAAATTATTAAAGCAAATTAAAAAGAAAAATAATTAAATGAAGAAATATTAGATTCAATACATGTTGGGATGTTTGAAATTCATTTAAATGAAGCTAAAGGAATATTAATTGAAAGATATTAAGGACTTTAAAAAAATTTGGTTGATCTTATTGCTAGAAGAGCAAGAAATACTAGTATAAGGATATTTTAAGAATTTGGAGATATCAAGAAAACAATTCTTGAAGATCCAGATACAATTGAGAAATTGACAATATTAAAAGAATATATATCAAATTTGCCATAGGAGTTAGAAAAGATGAAGGTGAAGATGAATTAATTGTTTGATGTTTTTAAAATGTTAGAAGAATTTAATTACAGATTTCCATTAGATGATTTTTAAAGAAGATGGAAGATATTTGGAAGTCCAAAGGAGATAAAAGAGATGGTTGAGGTGAGAAATGTTTAATTGGAGAAATTGAAAGTGAAATTTTCTGATGATGCTAAAGTGTAGTAGGAAGATTTTAGGGAATAAATAGAAAATTTGGAAAGAACAATATAAGAGTTTCATAAACATTAGGATGTGAGTAAAAATAAAGATATGGCAGAAGTGGTTGAATATGTGATGAAGCAAATAAGTGAGTTTTAGGATTAAGCTAGTAAATTTAATATGTAGGAAGCATTATTTGATAAACCATAAACAGATTATTCAAAATTGAACTCAATGTCTAGAGAATTTAAACCATATTATGATTTATGGTCAAGTACTTATAAATTTAAGAGTGGCATAAAAGTGTGGTTGAATGATGATTTTATGAATATTGATGCAGATGAATGTGAAAAGATAGTAGAGGAAGGTGTAAAGAATATATAAACAGCGATGAGAACAATATAAGTGACAGGAATATAGAAGATAGCTGAAGCCGTAAAAGCAGAGATAGATGAATTCAGGCCAAAAGTTCCATTGTTATCAGCTCTGAGAAAGAAAGGAATGACTGTAAGACATTGGACATAAGTATCTTAAATGAAAGGATTAGATCATGTTATAAACCCAGATGAATAGGGATTCTGCTTTTAGGAAGTGTTGAATATGGGATTTATGGATGTAATTGATAAGGTTGTTAATATTGGAGAAACTGCAAGTAAAGAATATTAGATAGAAATGATGCTTGATAATATGCTTAATGCTTGGGAGAATATTAAATTTTAATGTGTTCAATATAAGAATACATTTATATTGAAAGGATTTGATGAAATCTAAATTGTATTAGATGAACATATTATTAATACTTCAGCAATGGTATTTTCACCTTTTAAAAAATTCTTTGAGGAAAGAATAAGTGAATGGGATAAATCGTTAAGAAAGATTTAAGATATATTAGAAGAATGGGCAAAATTTTAATAATAATGGATGTATTTATAGCCTATTTTTGATTCTTAAGATATAGCTAAATAATTGCCTGCAGAGACTAAGAAATTTAAAACAGTTGATTAAACTTGGAGAACTACAGTTACTTAGGCAAAAGCAAAAGAGAAAGTGTTAGATGTATGTATAGAGGATGGTTTATGGGAGAGATTGCATGAAGCAAATAAGACATTGGAAATGGTTTAAAAAGAGTTAAATAACTATTTAGAAAAGAAAAGAGAGAAGTTTGCTAGATTCTACTTTTTATCTAATGATGAACTATTAGAAATATTATCTTAGACGAAAGAGCCAACAGCAGTATAACCTCATCTTAAGAAAGTGTTTGAGAATATAAATTCAATAGAATTTGATAAAGATAAGAAAATTCATGCAATGTTTTCAGCTGAAAAGGAGAAAGTACCATTTGTAAAGATAGTAGATCCTAACAAAAAGAATGTTGAGGAATGGATGAACGAAGTAGAGAATATGATGAGATTATCAGTTAGATAAGCATTAATGCTTAGTATTGAGAATTACATCTAAATAAAAAGAGAAGAATGGGTATTGAGACATCCTGGTCAATGTGTATTAAATGGATCATAGGTTCATTGGACAAAAGAAGTAGAAACAGCAATTGATTCATAGAATCTTAAGGGATATTTTAAAAGATTAGAAGAATAACTTGGTAATTTAGTTGATTTGGTTAGAACTAAATTATCAAAATAAGCAATGGTTACAATAAATGCATTGATTGTTATAGATGTACATGCTAAAGATGTAGTGCAGAAAATGGTTGATAGTGAAGTTTATGATAAGTTTGCTTTTGAATGGATATCATAATTAAGATATTATTGGGAGAATCAATCAGTTGATTTTGATTGTTGGGTGAAATGTGTATAGACTAATTTTCCATATGGTTATGAATATCTCGGAAATACTCTCAGATTAGTTATTACTCCATTAACTGATAAATGTTATATGACATTGATGGGAGCATTGAGATTGAATTTAGGAGGAGCTCCAGCAGGTCCAGCTGGTACTGGTAAAACTGAATCAACTAAAGATCTAGCTAAAGCATTGGCTAAATAATGTGTGGTATTTAATTGTTCAGATTCAATGGATTTTATTATGGTTGGTAAATTCTTTAAGGGATTAGCATCTGCAGGAGCTTGGGCTTGTTTTGATGAATTCAATCGTATCAATATTGAAGTGTTATCAGTCATTGCATAATAATTATTAGTATTATTTGGAGAAAAAGCAAAAGGTACTCCATAAGTAGAATTTGAGGGTTCTTTCATTAAAATATTACCTACATTTTCAGTTTTTATTACAATGAATCCTGGTTATGCTGGAAGAACAGAATTACCTGATAATTTGAAAGCTCTCTTTAGACCAGTAGCTATGATGGTTCCTGATTATGCTATG